ACATCCAAGGCAGCTTCAACTGGCTGCTGAGAACAAGGGGTGAAATTGCTGAAGCGTGACTTTTCAGAGGTGTGTGCAGCTAGCTGGGCTTTTTGAACGAACCAAGGCGTTGTACAGTGTCCGCTATCTTGTCCGCCGCGTCGTTACCCGCACCCTTCAGCCCTTCCACAACACCTTGTCGGTCGGCATCGTTCTTGTCGCGCGACATTTTGAATTTACACGCCACACTGGTGATCGTGATCTCGATGCCGACGATAGCAGCATGCAGACGCTTGATATACGCTTCGGGAGCGTCCGAGACCTTCCACACGTGCGACTTGGGATTGGCCTCCACAAGACGATTCTCATGAAGATCACTAAGATCCTCAACGACTTGCTCGGTGGGGACGATCCGCGCATGGCCGTAAATCTGCAGCTCCGAGTAGTTCCATGTCGGAACCGTCTTGGCAGTCGCAGGTTTGGTTTCGATATACCACTGCGGCGAGATATACCCAGCCTGGTTGGTGGGATCGCTAAAGACGACCAGAATCTCGTCTGATGATGTCGCAGCGAGAAGCACTTTGGCTTGCGGATTCGCGCGTGCTAGGTGGCACCGCAGTACACCAAGATCGTTGTCCCCATCCCGAGACCATGTGCCACTGGTGCTTGTCCATTTGTCGTTCTTGATGGGATGTTGTGACGGTGGGGTGAAGAGGAACGGTGCATGCGAGGCTTGTATTGTTGGCTGGCCAGACACAGCTATGGCGGTAGTGAGCAGACCCAACGGATGGTTCGCGAGAAACTGCTCTACAACCTCCCAGTCAGTAACCTCGACCTCGGGTCGCAGATACATCGTTGTAGGTTGCCGTCGTGAGTGAAAGCTTCAACAAAGGCTAGGATGGGCATATGTAGTTGCTGGTCAAGGTTCGCGCAGTCGAAGTAGGAGGATGTACCGCAGGTGGCACCGAGTCATCCCCCGCGCCAAATGTGACACAAGTATTTTAAAGTTGGACCCTGGATGCAGGTCCAAGTCCGAGCGCCGAAGAATCGTCCGAAAATTCCGATGGCCCGAAAAATGCGGGGGGAAAAAGGCGGTTCAGAAAATGAAATCCATCCGCGTTCCTGCATCGGACTTTACTTGCAGCCGTCACAGACATCTGAAGACAAGAGGGGTACTCAGCATTGCGCATTCGTCGGGCAACAACAAGATGGCAGAAGAGGTACTGTTGCATTGAAGTTGCAGGAGACAACAGGCAAACAACCACAAGGATAGGGTATAAGATGTGAATCGAAGAACGAAGCTAGGATGTGAAGCGATGGTCGTGTATGATGTCGAGGAGGGAAGAAGCGAATTGCGCATTTTGGGGATTACTTGGGCAGGATTGGGCCCGATTGGTTCTGGCCCGAGTGGTGAGCGGTGCTGCCGGTCGAGGTGGACATGACATCAGCAGTCCTCTGGGGCGGAGAGAAGTTGCCCAAGGCGGCCTCGCCGGCGTTGCTGTCGAAGACGGGCTTGTCCTGCATCTCGCGACGCACAGCCTCGCGCTCCTCGAACTCCTGGCGCTGCTCGTTGTCGAACTGCTTGCGTGCCTCCTTGTCGTAGTGCGTGCTGCTCTCGGGGTTGAGCGCACTCGGGTTCTCGCCGTGGCGAATAAAGTTCCACAGTCGAACGTGGATAGGCTTGAGACCAGTGATCTCGGTGTCGGAGTCCTGGTCCAATACGACGCTGTTATAGTTCAACAGCTTCAGGAAGCTGAAGTAAATCACCGAGAGGATTCCTCCGCAAAGCGGGGCAATCCAATAGATCCAGTGATCGCTGTTGAAGGATCCGGCGACGACGGCAGGACCGAAGGAACGGGCAGGGTTCATACCGCAGCCGGTCCAGACGGCTCCGAACAGGTGGCACGCGAAAAGAGTGAGACCAATGGCGACGGGAGCCATGAAGGTAGCACGATGCTTCTCGACAGCCATCATGAGGACGGTGAAGACCAGGATCGAGGTGAGGAGCATTTCGATGAGGAATCCCTGCGCGATGTTGATACCGGGCTGCAGAGTCGTGGTGACCTGCTGCACACTGTTGGACGGCGTGAGACCAAGCACGAGACCCGCACCCGCGATACCGCCGAGGATCTGAGAGACGAAAAGGATGAGTGCACGGCGCGAGGTGAGCACACCTGTGAGCCAGAGTGCGACAGTGATGGCAGGGTTGAAAAGACCACCAGTAATTCGGTAGAACATCCAAGCGGTAACCAGGAGCGACAGACCGAACGACGTCGCGATGAACATGATCGTCTCGTTACTCAGCGGCGTCGCTGTCTGGGTCTGCGTCGCCGACACCGAGAGCTGCGCGGTCTTGGCACCGCCCTCGGCGAGGAAGAGGAACATGGTCGTGCCGATGAATTCACCGAGACCAGCCATGAAGTGCGGCTGGAATCCCGAGAATTTGGGCTTGCCGAAGTGGCGGCGGCGGTGTCGGCGTTCTCCATAGTAGTCGTTGTGGTGTCGGTGATGGTAGAAGGGGATGAACCTGGATCGGCGCGAGTAGGCGGTGTCGGTGGACAGGCGGTGTCCTTGCTGGGCACCGCTTTCTTCAACCGACGACATCTCGAAGCTGATATAGATGCAATGAGAGGTAGTGTCTAGGAAGTATGACCAAGGCTGCTGAGTCCCGCGAGTGAAGTAAAGTTGGTTTGGTCAAAGGAGGGCGGTGGAACAATGGTCGACTGGAGAGTATTTGTATCTTTACGTCAAGGCTGTCCTACACGGGGCAAGCAATGTCTCGAAGACCGTCTGTTGTCGGAGTGACGGGATATGCTGAGCGGCTAAGCCCGAGACATTCAGCTCACCTAGTCGCAGCGTATCTGGGCCTACGTCACTCGTACCGCAACACGGTATGATCCTATCGATCCTTGTAGCGGTGCACAGCATGGTGCTAATTTTGACATCTACACTCCGGGACTCCCGTCTTACGCCAAGCCACACAAAGGGGTTCAAGGTATGGGCGCGGCGGTCAACGCTATGAGATGCATGAATGCTAAGCCACATCGAAGGCCTCGAAGAGCTTCAAGGATGCCAATAATAGACGCCCTCCATGCGGATCGGGGCTAAGCTGGCCGAGAACACAGCATCATCACAACGTTTCGGTCTTCGGAAAAGGCATATCCGTATCGACCAAGTGTGGCTTGCTCATGGCGGCAAGCATCCGGCAGAATAGGATGAACAATGGAGGCGGCAAAGTGACTCAGGCACGATGCGAAGGGAACAGGTTGCAGCTAGGAGAGGGTCTCCGGTTGCCAGGTTATCGGTGTCGTCATCGCCAAAATTTGCGAGGCAGGTGCACGGCCAGGAGGGTCCTATGACGGGGAGACGTATCCGAGCCACGAGCTTCTGCTGCATCACAGCCGTGTCCACAGTCGAGTTGGTGCTAGACGAGGCTGCATTTGGACGAATCTCTGGCGACATCGTCTGGGCCGTCGGATGTGTGCGATGCAATGGAGACAAGACTGCGCAGGTACAGACTGTCAGGTGCCGGTAGCGAGCGACTTGCAGCCGTTCTGTCTCGGTTGCGACCTATGCCGGGCACCAGGCGAGCAAGGCAGGGGCGAGCGGCTGCCCGCGTCATACCGGATGGTGGAGCTTGGGAGGAGAGGAAAAAAGAGGCACATCGACACGCGTCTGCCGCCTGTCGTACAACGCGGGCGAGCGGGGTCCCAAAATAAGACTGGCCCAACCGGACAACACGAGGTCATGCTGTGACTGGCAGATGGCCTTGGGTTTTGGGTCTCTACCATCTCTGGCGGTACAGTGACTGGTCCAGAAGCGGCTCTGGCCAAGGCCAACCTCAACGATGGGAGCGGATAGGGGGTTACGAAGCCTGGCAACAAGATGCTAAAAATGGAACCACACGCTCAACACAAAATGGTGCCCACGACGTCACACTCTTTTTAATAAATGATTTTTCGCCGCGCAAAGAAACTGGCGTCCTCGGCCTCCACTCCGCTCTTCTTCGCAAAGCCCCCTTGCCAAGCGCCCGCGGCAGTTCTTTGTACCACAGCGGTCCACAACGAATTGTCTCACCGCGGTCCACGCGGCATGCTTGGCTGTTGCGGAAAACGCGGTCTGGATCTGTTCAGTCGCATCGCCCTCGCGGGCCTCGACCGTCTTCCTGCTCATTGTGCGCCATGCCCGTGTGCTCAATCACAGCCACCAGCGGGATTCTATTGTCTCGGGCCATATCTTCTAGCCGCTCGCATATTTTTGCACAGGCTGAAATCATGCTCATGGCCCACTGCATTGAAGCTTCGTGTTGCTATTTCGATTAAAAGAGAGTGCGATTCATGTCGAGGGGCCTACACAGCCGAATCGACTATGCGGGAGTAGCAGAAGCGTTGCTCGCAGCCATGGTGGGGTCCTGGATACCGAGCAGGCCGTAACTCCAGAGCTGGATGGCGTCGCTCTCGGTGCCCTCGGGGCTGATGTCTCCGAGGGCGGTGACGCTGAAGCGGTTGGTCTCGTTGCTCCACGTCCAGCTCCAGACCTCGGCGAAGCGCTCCTCGTAGGCGCCGTTAACAGCCTGCCACAACATGGCTTGTGCATTGGTGAGACGATCCACCAGCTGTTGGTCATCGCACCACTCGGGCCTTTCGGTCAGGCCGGACTTTTCCACCTCGGTACGCGTCGTCGAGTTGTCGCACGATGCCAGCACCCGGTCGAGACCCGAGGCCATGAAGTTGGTCTGGAATCCCCACGATACCGTGCCGTGGTACGCGGTGCGGTCAAGCTCCTCGGTCTTGGTCGTGTTCGGATCGTAGGCCGGGTTGGTGACGAGCATACCGACGTTGGTGAGGAGTCCGCGGGGGTACGGCTGGAGGGCGGTGATGACCGCCTCGATCAGCGCGCGCGAGGGACGTCGCGAGTAGAGCAGATTGAACGAAAGGTCCGAGTTCTGAACAGGTACAACCGTGCCGTCTTCGAGCAAGGAGAGACCGTACAGAGTCGTCTGGTTGCCACTACCACCCGAGCTCTGGGTCGTGTTGGTGCCGTTCGTACCCGAGGCCTGTCGAGCCGACAGGAGCGAGAACTCAGCCTCGCGGCCGAACGACACACCGCCCCAGCGACGCTGCATGCCAGACTCGGCGGTGCTGTTTCCAGTCGAGTTGCCTGCGGACGTCGAATTGAGCGAGCCTTGTCCGTAGAGCAGGGAGTCCGAGAGGTTGGCACGCTGCACGTAGCCCTGCAGACGCGACTCTGCATCTTCGGACGTGACGTTGTACTGGAAAAATTTGGGCGCCTCTTCCTCCCACACCTGCGCGTAATTTCGCGCCGTCTCGGCGAGATTGTCCTTCGAAATATTGGCCGTCTTCGACGTGAAGTTTTGCAGCAATCCTGATGTAGCAAGGTCCGAGATGGCATACAGCGCCGCTGGCACCAGCGCAGTTGAGGTATCGGACATGTATACGCCCCATCCCCCACCTTGATTTGAGTCCCTCCAGTTACCCACGGGCACTCCTTGCTTGATGCGAGCCAAGTTGGTGTAATTCGTAGGGTCGTTGGCAAAGGCGGTGGAGGTGTTGAGCACGTACCCGATGTTGGCGTACAGAAGCTCCGAGTATGCCGTGCCGTTAGCAAGGGTAGCAGGTCGAGCGAGGAACTGACGTGCCTCCTCGCTTGCAGTGAGGTTGCTCGAGGTCGCATTGTAGCGCAAGAGGTAGTCGGCGAGCTGAGGAAGCAGGGCATAATGGGTGTCCTTCATCTTGTAGTCGTAGAAAGGCTCGTTGCCCTTCTCGGGCTGACCCTCTCCGATGTTGACGAACGTGGCGTAGTCACCGATGGTCTCTTCGTGGCAGACCTCGCCCGAGGTAATGTTGATGCGCTCGAGCACGCCTCCGAGCACCGACTCGATGGCAAACGGCGTGAGCGTCTTGTTGTTCATCAACATGCGCGTCGTAAACATGGTGTCACGGCCAAAGTACGTCAGGAATCTCCAGCCACCTGCGGTGAACTTGGAGGCGTAGGTGAGGAAGGAGAACTGCGTCTGTGCCTGGGGCTGCATGGATGCCGAAGTGTTGGAGGCAAACAGCGTGTCGACCGAGAGAGGCGCGAGCGCCGTCTCGTTGACCTGCACCGTGAACGTCACCGTGGCTGGCTGAGGCATCGCGCGCGTGGTATCGTTGGTGTTGACAGGCGGGGTGAGGATGTGAACAGTGGGAGGGGTGTAGGTGCCGTTGTTCGAAGGGATCACCTCAAACGATGTGCCGTTGGTGGCCTGCAGAAGCCACTCGAGCGAGTAGCGTGCCGTGCCTGTCTGCTCGCCCTGGGCATTGCGCACGATGGTCTCGTTGAGCCACGGCTTGCTCAGCCAGATGGTCTGGTTGTCGGCTTGGGTGACGGTCCAGTTGAAAATCTGGTTGGTAAGACCATTGCCCTCGGTGTAGTCGCGCACCGTTCGGATCGAGCCAAGCAGCGTGGTGCCCAGCGTGGCGGACTGAGACAGCACAAGCTCGCCCGTGACACCGTGCAGGCCGCCGTCGCCATAAGCACCCTTGATACCGCTCTCACCCAACGTCACGGTCAGTCCCGACCCAGTTGAGTTGGTAGCGTTGGCAGTGGAGCCGTTGGTGTAGGGAAGGAAGTAGGCGACCGAGCCCGAGTTGCCGGCGGGTAGAGCAACGAGGAAGCGGTTGAGCGTCGGCTTGGTCGAGTTGTCGCTCGGGTTGGCTGCCGAGGTGTTGGTGAGCAGCACCTGCGCTGCGGTGAGGTTCGATCGATAGAAGTAGTTGTCATACGGACCCGAGGTGAGGTTGAGGGACAGGTCGACCTGCTCCGGCGGGTTGCGCGTGATGAGCGGATTGGACGGGGCCGAAGATGAAGTAGAGGCTGTCGACGACGCCGACGACGGAGCGGTGGCGGAAGCCGAGGCAGACATCGACATGCTGGCGCTGCTCGACTGCTGAGCAGCGGCCATAGCCGCTGCCACAAAGCCGACGGCGATCGCCTTGGGTTCAACGATAGGAAGCTTCATCTTGCTGTGATGATAAGAGTCCTTCGCGGGAACGTCAATTGCTTTTGGCAAACAAAGCCTGGTCTTTATAGATGGCAGGGGAAAGGAACTCAAGGCTCTGTAGCCCGAAGATCTGGGGCATTTGTGCGGGGCATCCACGGGGTATGAGTGGGCATGAACCCTCGTGCCTCAGCCAGACCGCATATCGCAGACATTGTCAAGGCCGAGGTGCCCAGTCCTGTGAAGGTGAGCACTCCGCAAAAGGAAGAAGAGCATCATGGTCGCGGAGCCACGTTTCCGAGCCGAGCGAGAGTTGTGTCCAAAAGTGGAGTGGCGAATGGGCTCGGCTAGGGTTCGCATGGTGGCGCGAAACGATCTCTGTCCAAGCGAGAGCGACCGGCTTTCATTCCATGGCGGGCAAACAGCGTCGGGGTCGCTGAGCACTCCCATCGTGCACAGCTTTGCATGTCTTGGACACCGCGCACGAAATTTCATCATAGGGCTTTGAGCCGCAACTCCGACCGCTTTTGCACTCGAAACATTTCTCCGCAAAGCGGCGACTTTGGCGCGCATACATCTCCCGTGAAATGCGTTGCCAGTATTCCTCAGTCTTGAACATCCAGCCCTTCCAGAGGACGCCATTGATCTTTGCTCGTGGCTGAAGTGATATCAGTGCTGCTCGCAGTACAAGATCTGCTCAGCATCCGCAACTGCGGGTCGAGGAAAATAAAGCCGAGCCAATGGCAGGATTGCAAGGGCACCGACGCATGCCCGTGGTCTGTCAGAGCGAGATGCTCGGCATCGTCGGCACCGTCGCCCCGCAACGGTTGTTCGGAACGAACAGAGCCGGGACTGTAGCCGAGAAGTTGTGAACGGCCAGCCGAATTCCCAAACCTCCGTGGGTCCGATGAAGCACATGGCTCGGAATGACCTCGGCGCTGGGTTCGCTTGCCCACGATGATCTGCTCGCATTTAGGAAGCCCACCGTGAACCGGCTTCGGGGCATACGAAGGCCGAGGCAGATAGTAGATTGGCGCTGTTGTCGGCCCTTGACTCGACCGAAACTCGAAAGTTTCGGTCGCATCGAGTTACACAGCCGGAGTGGTCACGCATAGGTCGTCGTTTGCAATGATGATGACTCTGTATATGAGGACTCGCACATGTTTTTGAGCTTGTAATCGCCAGAGAGCCGGTGCCAAACCGTAGCATGCAATCGGAGAGAGGCGGTCAAGTCGCCGAGGGTGTGGCACAGCGGGCGAAAAAGCAAATGCCGTGCGGGGTAGCGCAAATTACAGCAATGTTAGACCGTCGCTGATACCGCTGCTGAAAATTGGTCGCGCCGCGGGGGATTCAGGAAGGAGCGGCTCTGCCGGCGGGTTCCGAGGACCCTTCCCCACACACGTCTATCGGCACTTGGGCGGACGTCACATCTCCAACGGAGCCAGGGGCCATCGTGACTTCGGAAGGGCCCGCGACTCAAACACTGTGATGCTCCGACGAGTCACCTCGATATAAGCCGCGCTTGCCGCCGAAGCCGCTTTATCTGCTCATCCGTTAATTACGCAGCGGAGCGTAACTGGACCCTTTAGGCAGTGCCACGCCTCAGCCTCGCAGTCATCGCTGGACTGCAGCAACCATACCGGATCAGAACGGACTTGTCAGAGGAGCTTTGGGGCCACTCTTACAGCTTTGTCTTCTACCTCGTATCAGCTTGCAGGGCTGCCGCTCTAGAGTATATACACCGCTGGAGCAGGCCATTGGCAGGGCGAAGAGCTTCGAAGTTGGATCGGAGACTTGGACCACAATACAGGAAGCAACATGTCCCTATCTCCCAATTCGAGCCTCGCGGAACCCGTAGCTCCGCCGCAGCAGGTAGCTCAGCGGCGGCCGCAGAAGTCCTACGCAGATGCTATCGCAGCCGAGGCCCCGGCACCTCTCGCCAATCAGCTCGACAAGCCGCCTAGCACAACTGCTGCGAGTGTTCGTGACGGTCTCGAGACGATGCAGGTGCTGGAGGCCGGAGATGACGAAGAGATAGGCGTCGAAGGAGGATGGCAGGGCTGGCGCGTGGTGATGTGTGCCTCTCTCTACTTCTTCTTCACGCTGGGACTCGTCTACTCGTTCGGTATCATCCAGGAGACGCTTGTCTCAGCGGGCGCTTGTGACGCAGCGACGCTCGGCTGGATCTCGTCGCTGACCATCATCCCGATGCCAGTGTTCTCCATCCCATTCACCAAGGCCGTGTCGCGTCTTGGCAACCGCGTTGTTGGCGCCGCCGGGGCCGTCTCGGTCTCGGTGGGCTACGCATGTCTATCCTTCTCCTGGTCACCCACTGCGCATCCGAAGCACGCTCTGGGTGTTGGCGTAGAACAGGCGTTGGAGCTCAACATGGCTCTCATGGTCGTTTTCGCGCTGATGGTCGGAATCGGGTATGGCATGGTCTTCTTCTCCACCAGCCAAATTGCGGTGGGCTACTTCAAGAGCAAACGCGGACTGGTGATCGGCATCGTGTACAGCGCGAGTGGGTTCGGCGGCGCATGCTGTGCGATGCTGTTGCGCGTCATGGCGAATCGCCTGGGACTTGCGTGGGCGGTGCGCATCCTCGGTCTGGGCGCAGGAGCAGCTATGCTACCTCTCACATGGTGGCTGGTACCCCACCACGCCGAACGCAGCAAGAGGTGTGTCGAGGCTTTCCGCCCCTCGCTCTTTCTCGATTCGCGCTTCAACCTTTTGCTTATCGCCACGGCGCTCGGGACTTTTCCGCTTTTCGTACCGCCATTTTTGCTGCCAACGTACGCAACGTCGGCCGGACTCAGCCCCAACACGGGTGCATGGCTCGTAGCGGGATACAGTCTCGCCTCGGCTGTTGGGCGTGTGGCGTTTGGTATGGTAGCAGACACGAGAGTCGGGCCCGTCACAAGCCTGATGCTCGCTCTGGTGCTGGCAAGTACCAGCATCCTTGCCGTGTGGACTGTATCCAGCAATCTCGCCACGCTTGCACTCGCCATGGTTCTCAACGGAGGAAGCTCTGGTGCGCTCCTCTCGCTGCAGCCTCCGGTCAATGCGGCCATCTTTGGCGTGCACCAGACCGCACTCACGATGGTAAGTCGAGTTCAAGCGACGCTTTCGTGTGCATGGAAGACGGAGCAGCAGCTGACCATCTGTACCGCCGGTGAGACAGTCGATGATGATGTGCTCGCGTGCTTTTGGCTCGCTCTTGGGTGGACCTCTGGCAGGCTACCTCCTGGATGCATTTGGTGGGCCGCGAGCGGGCACCAACGCCTACCGGCCCGCCCTGCTCGTGATGGGTGGTATCTGCTTCATATCTGCCATGAGCGTGGTAGCCCTACGATTCCGAGTGGCAGGAAGTCGTAACGTCACTTGGCGCGCTCGCATTTGAATCCCTCACTCTTCTCATCGAAGACCTGCCTACAGCCATGTATGACAGGCGGATCGCCCTAGAGCCCGATTGCAATTGAATCAAAACCCGATGTGTCTCGGCGTCTTGGGCGATCTCCCGGGTTTCAAAACGAGGGGCTGAAACTGGAGAGAGAAAAGTGGAGTTTGGGTGAGCTGCACGGCACGCATCTACGCCGATATCCCCCTGCTGCAGAGACTCGCCCCGACCCCTCTTCTTTTGGTCGAGTTGACCGTGCCGGAATTTCGTGCGGTTTTTCGCCGTTCTGCGCGCACCAGCCGGGCACCGCCTCACGTAGCCTCAGCGGGCTCGCCATGCGGTCGTCTGGAGAATGCAGTGCAGCGCTGACGGGCAGTGTGCCGCAGGACCCCATGCATGAAGCTGCACCAACTGCACCGCATTGAAGCATCGTCCTCGTCTTTGTTGGCGCCACCTTCCATCTTGGCCTCTACCATCACCATCTTTCCTGCTGCAGCTCAGCGGGACTACAACTCGTGCTGATCGACTTTTCATTACACACTGGACTCATCCGAACGCAGGTCCCTTCTTCACTTCGACGTTCTCGTATCGACTGGCATACTCAGGAGCTGGTTCTCCACATTGATCAAGCGGTCAACGGCGTATTCTTGACAGCATCGGGTTGTTGTTGACGACCAACACAGACGGCATAGGCAACATGGCGAGATATGGATCGCGCAGAAATGGCAGTGGCATGGAGTTTTGCTGCTGCTATCTTCCCCTGGTCAACGTCGGAGCATACCTGCTGGTCCTCGAGACCGCGCTCGTAGCGCTGGCGGTCGGCATCTGTGCACTGGCACCGCCATCCATCGTAGCTGGCCAGGGTGTAATCCCTTCGTGGTCGAAAGGCCTGGTCGCCGCACTTGGCTTCATCACACTCGTCTGGCAAATCCTGGGACTGGTTTCGGTGGCTCGTCAGATGCCCACGCTCTACCGCACGTACATCCGCATCAACACTATCCTCACTCTCGCCATCATTGCTGCCACTGTGGCCTTCCTCGTGACTGCAGCCGTGCAGCACAACAAAGCCGTCAGCACCTGCGTCACCACGTACGGCGTGATGCCGTCGAGCTCGGCGTCGAGCTCGTCGACACTGCAGGTTTCGGGACTCGCCGAGACCGACGCCTTCTCGCAGGCGGGCAGGGACATCTGCAACATCTTTGTGTGGGCACAGACGGGTGTCATGGCAGGCCTGATCGTGCTCATGGGTCTGACGCAGTTCTACATGCTTGCTGCCCAGAAGGCGTACGGCAACAACCAGCGTGCGGCTTTCCGCGACAGCAAGGCCAACTACCAGGACATCCCTATGAACCCCAGAGACTCGGCAGTGTGGGAGCCGCATCCGGCCGATCCCTATGCTGGTCAGGGCGGATACAGGCGCGATTACGGCCATGATGCCTACGACTCGTACGCCACCACCCCGGGCGGAAAGCATGCGCACACGCCGTATTAGCTGCCCCCACTCGTAGCACTTATGAACAATCGTTTGACTGCAATGTCATGGACACTGACTTTTCTACGTGTGTTTCTGCTGTGAAGCCAGATCGAGCTTCGTGGTGATTGCGCTTCCGACTGCGAAACATCAAGCTTTGGACGTCGTTCGAGCGTCGAGGATGAGTTTGGCAAGAGAGGCTGAAGATGTAACATTTGAAAAGAAAGGCTTTTCGGCCCCGAGAATCGATGCCCTGGACCCTTGAGCATGATCCAAATTTTTGGCGCTCGTCATCACCTTCTCCCTTGCCGTCCATCACGCAACCTCTGTACAACTGTATCGACATGTCGGGACGACAGGGAGGCAAAGCTAAGCCGCTCAAGGCACCCAAGAAGCAGAACAAGGAGCTCGACGAAGACGTAAGTCATCCAAACCATCTCGAAGACGTGGAGATTGGGTTGCTGACGATGGTTTTTGGTGGGTGCAGGACCTTGCCTTCCAGAAGAAGCAGAAGGAGGACGAGGCCGCCAGGAAGGCCGCCGTTGCCAAGATGTCTGGCAAGAAGAAGTAGATGCTTTCCACGATTGATGGCGCAACTGCGTTCAAGCACTCGTTCGCTGTGACAGATTTTCGTCGACGCCGTCTCCACATGACAACACAGCAATGAAGCATCTGGATTTCACACCACCCTACGGCGTAGAAGTCCCAGCACGGAGTGTTCGATCGGCGAATGGCGAGAGTGGCGTATCGATAGCCCATGCGAGTGTGAAGCGACCCGGTATGATGCTGGATCTGCGAAAGCAAAGATATCGGGGGAGAGACGATCGCGCCGATCTGTCTCCGGTGCATCGGTCCGGGTGGACCGAAGAGGAGCAAAGCTGCTGCCTCGACTGGTGATGTTCAGCCTGGGTCTCAGTAGTGTAGCTGCAGGCTGAGCTAAATCGACCGCTAGATCCGAGCGGACGCCAGTCAGGCACCGTTTTTGTCCTCGCCAGTGTCGGTTTCAACCGCCCAGGAAGCCCCCACTTTCATACATGCTCACGATACGGGTTCCAAGCCTCGACCCTACAGGGGGAAGCTTCGGGAATGTGATTCGAGAACGAATTTGAAGAAGCGTTTCCCGGAAGAGGTCGCGCCGCAGACACCTTTGCTGAAAGATGGAGGATCCAACCGCAACCTATTGTTTCTAGACTGTGGCTTAGCCAATCGGACGAAGCAGCCAGCGAGGGAAGCCGAAAACATGCGCAGGGACGACCGACGGTTCGCAGAATGCGCTTCTGTAGCAGATTGCCGAGATTCAATTCGGGCTGCAATGATCCAACGGCGCAGCGGCAATCTCATGGCGGTAGGTGTGACTGCCGCTTTGACGATCTCGCACATGAAAAGAGTCGGTCCAAAGCTTATTAATAATTGGACGGAAGCTTATGCACATCTGCCCGTCGGGCCGGCCACCTCCATGTGAGCGCAAGTCAGCGGTCGGGAGGCCCGAGCAGGGCCAGCTTCACCAACGCAAGCTTTCAGGTCCGAACGAGCAGTCGAATGGATGCGTCGTGTGATCGCGACTTGCGACTTGGCTGAATTCAGTCGACATGGCTCGCCTCGCCGGCTGGGCTGGACCGGGTCCGTTTTGAACAGTGCTCTCGAGAGCTGTCTCGCCTCTCGAACAATACACACCCGGCATGACCGAGAGAGAAAATTCCATCGCCAATTCAGGTTCCGACGACGCCTGAAAGCAAAGGTTCTGGAATTTTGGCTCGGCTGTATGGCGGCTCGGTAGGCTCTGCGGCTCTGCGTGGCTGTTTGTGATGGCGATCCCAGTTACACTGGGGTTCTTCGGTGCTTGATCTGAACAACGCCCATCTCACACGACCTGGTGTGTGCGCTCACGGAATGTCGAAGCGAACAGGTCCAGCTGGTTGATAGGAGCACCTCTTAGAGGTCAGGACCGCACCAGACTGCTCGCTCAAACGTCCCGCCTTATCACCCCTTTCGCCACGCTGAGCGGATAGCAAGCGGCTATCGATGTGACGATGCGGAGGCAGAGCCGAACACGATCCGCCCGAGCGATGTGCAGAGCGACGATAAGGGTCGCTGCGGGTCTCGAAAAGATGCGGGCGAGCCGAGATGGGAGGTGCATCTCCGCCGTGAGAGAGTGCGTACATTTGGCCCGCGAGGTGGTGGGAAGATAAATGAAATCGAAATTCGGACAGGGTCAAAAGCAAAAGGGGTTCGATCTCAGCACGACAGGGTTGCTGCTTTTTTCTCGTGAGAATGGGCGGAGCATCCGAGCATGCAGCCGATGGTGGCTGCAGGCAGCAGCAGCAGCAGCAGCACCAGGCAGCCCAGCCAAGCCACACCTGTCTCGACAAAACAAGGCTCGCTCGCTCGTCTGCGCGCTTTCAGCCGACTGCCGCTTCGCGCTCCACATTCCGCCCTCTTTCTCACCCACGCAAGCGGTCAAGCAAGCACGCACGCACCCTTCCCTCGCACAACACACACTTCACACTTGGCTGCTTTGGGAAGAAGTGACTGGCACGGTCGTCTCGGTCTCGGTCTCGGTCTCGATCTCAATCCCTCGTCCGCCCGCCTCTGTTTTCTGCCGGCTGCATTCTGCCTTCCCATCGACAGCATTCAGCACTCAGCCTCGTGTGCCCCTGTCACACGACCTCGACACAGGATCCACCCACCCAAACGTTCAAAGAGGACCATCCGTCCCCCTTCTCCACCATCTCGACATCCTAGCCTCTTCCACGCTGCATTCCCTCCATCGACTCCTCAGCGCTGCATCTTCTCTCCGCTGGATCCATGGTCGATCCTGCTTCTTCTCGCTCCAGCAATCATGACGTCGCTACAGCCTTGAACGATACGCCCACTGGCCCCACCGTCACCTCCAACCTTATTGACGATACTTCGTTCCAAGCTCCCCACCACACTATCTCGTCCGATACCGAGGAACAAGGCGACGATGACGACGCCAGCACCAACGTAGGCAGCCTCTCGGAACTCCAAGGCGATAAAGCGTCCGATTCTAAAGCGATACAACCCCAACAGATCCGCGTCACAGACTACGATGATGACGACAATGACGAGGACAACGACGATGCCCAGACCTTGCAAGCCGGCAGCTCGGGCTACTCGGGGGCCGATCTCAAGCGCGGCACTTCGTCGATACGCAATGACATCGAAACCTCGCATCCCTCTGCACCACATCGACACGCGCTCGAGGACGACCTCGCAGACGAGTACGAGACGCAGGCATCTCTACTCGGCTCCGCTGGTTTCGTAGACCGTCGCGGCACCGCCTCGCGTCGCTCCACCCGATCACCCTTCTCTCGCTTCTGGGAGATTGCTCGCGAGGCGCTTCCCACGCTCATCATCAGTCTGCTCTCGCTCATGTTCTCCGGCGAGCTCCTCGTCCACATTGCGCGCTGGCCCGTCTTTCGCAAGGTGGACAAGCTCTTCATCCTTATCCCCATCCTGCTCAACATGAAGGGCAACCTCGAGATGAATCTTTCGCTGCGCATGTCCACGTCGGCCAACATCGGCGAGCTCGATGTCAGGCGCACGCGCGAGACGCTTATCCGAGGAAACATGGCGCTGCTCCAAGTGCAGGCCATGATCGTATCGATGTTCGCAGGCGTGCTTGCCTTTGTGCTCGGCGTCGTGACGCCTGAGCCGCAGGTCGAGGCACCCGTGGCACCCATGCCCACCACACCGCAAGCGCAGACTCCCGAAAATGCGCTGATCCACACCATCGTCAGAAGTGCGTTCTCGGCGGTGACGTTGCGCAACCGCAGGCGGGGCCTGTCGGCGTCGTCGGTCGCGCCAGCAAAGGGAGCCGGCTGGCTTCAACGTCGCCGCATCATTCACCACCACCAGCCACCAAAGGACCCAGCACTGCGGCTGCGCAACGGCTACTTTGAATTTGCCCTCGTCATCGCCACGGCCGTGCTGTCGGCTTCGCTCTCGTCGCTGATTCTCGGCTCGTTCATGTGTGCGCTCGTCGTCATGGCTCGTCGTGCAGGCGCCAACCCGGACAACATTGCATCTCCGCTCGCTGCTTCGCTCGGCGATCTGACCACGCTCGCGTTGCTCGGACTGCTCGCCAGTGCGCTCGCCCACTTTGAGGGTACCTTCCTCGCCACGGTGATTCTTGCCGCGATGGCCCTGGCGTGCATCGTCTCGTTCATCGTCACGTACAGGAACGCGTACGTGCGCGAGCTGCTCACGTCGGGATGGGTGCCGCTCATCATGGCCATGTTCATCTCGTCCGGCGCCGGCCTGGTGCTCGACAACTTTGTCGGTCGATACGAGGGCTTTGCGCTGCTCACACCGGTCATGATCGGGCTTCCAGGAGCCTGCGCAGCCATCTTTGCGTCGCGCATCACCACGGCGCTCCACTCGGGCAAGGGCGCGACGCTGCTCCGTGCCGCATCCAAGGCAGGCGACATGGGCGGGGTTCGGGGTGCTCTCGTCACTGCACGCGCCGTGCTCAGCATCCCACCCATCGAGGGCTGGCTGGTGCCCATCAGCCTGCTCATCATGGACGTCAGCATCAAGACCGCCTTCATCGTTGCCGTTCGAGTGTCGGGGCAGATGACGTTCGGATGGACGTTTGGGCTGGCGTTTGTGACGGCGTCGGTGGTAGCCGATATGTGTGCGCTGTCTCTGGCCCACGTCATCTGTCTCGTGCTCTGGAGCCGAGACTACGACCCCGACATCTACTGTCTTCCCTTTGTCTCGTCTATCGTGGACGTGATCGGGCAGAGTCTGCTCGTCACGGCGTTCACCGTGGCAACGGCGCTCGGCGACCACATCACCGCCGCCGTCAATGCTGGCGCGGGCCATGGCGGCGCGTAAACAACCATGTCCGCTCTATTCTCTGCATTCCTTGTACTTTTAGACGTTATTCGTAATACGCACTTGGCATCATCGCACATCTTCTCTCTCGCGCATTGTAACGTCGCTCGGCGCCATGATTTGCGTGCGAGTATCGTGTTGGCCTTTGCGTGGGAGTTTGAATGAGCGTGCTGAGAGGGCAAGCGCCCAGGGCCCAAGGTCTAACATCGTTTGAAATTTTCGGGCTCGTCTGGGCGCGGAAGTCGGAGAGAGTGGACGCGGACGAGCCGATTTGCGAAAGGCGCCCCGACCCTGAAGCAACACCAGATTCATCGCGCCCATCTCGTCGAGCCTGGACCTTGGTTGCTAAGTTGACCGCAACTTCTTCCTGACTATCGACACCTTCCGTATCGGCAAACAACAGCGCGATGGCGCCGACAGCCACGCAGCCGGCATCTCCCGGATCGCCTTCTCTCAAACAAGCGAATGCCGTCACGCCAAAGGATGACGGTCGATCACGGAGCGGGTCGCCATCACTGACGCCGCTGCCAGTGACGCCACCCGAGGCTGACGAGCGAGCGTCGACGTCCAAACGCACGCTGGAAGAAGAGGAGGATCTCGAAGCAGCACGTTTGTTCCCACACCACGCGTATCCTCCACCGTACAAGAAGCGAGTATGGGTGCCGACTCTGCACCTCACGCAGGCGCCGCAACCACCGCAGCCCGATCCGCGCACAGTGCAGGAGATGGCGGCACAGCAAGCGGCCACTGCGCTTGGGTACGAGGGACGTCGCATCAAAAAGTTCATGCAGCGCAGAACCGTCGATTACTTCGGTGCGCTTCCTCGTCTGGGTCTCCGACGCGCGCTTGCCTCTACCACTCGTGTCGATGGACTGCACGGACTGGTGTATCCATCCCCGCACGCCATCCCGAACTTTCTACTGCCGGCAGGGTACGACAACTTGGCAACGAGCGTGCCAAGCGTGATGGTGCATACGAGCACCAACAAGATCCGATGCCCCGTCAACGTGGTCAAGTGGATGCCCGACGGAAGACGTCTACTGACAGGAAGCACGTCGGGAGAATTTACGCTTTGGAACGGTCTCACGTTCAATTTCGAGACGATCATGCAGGCGCACGACTCGGCAGTGCGCGCAATGGCGTGGAACAAGGCCGGCACCTACCTCATCTCGGCCGACCAGAACGGTACGGTCAAGTACTTCCAGTCGAACCTCAACAATCTCCAGGCGTTTACTGCGCATGCGGATTCGGCCAGGGGTTTGGCATGGTCACCGGACGACAGCAAATTCGCCTCGGGCGGAGACGATAGCTTGCTCAAGGTGTGGGACTTTGATTCTGCCAAGCAGATTCGCGAGCTCACGGGACACGGTTGGGACGTCAAGTGTCTCGACTGGCATGCGTCCAAGGGCATGCTCATCAGTGGGTCCAAGGATAACCTCGTCAAGGTGTGGGATCCGCGTGCCAATCCTACGGGAACATGTCTGGCAACCTTCCACAACCACAAGAATACGGTGCAGGCATGCAAGTTCAGTCCGGACGGGCTGAGGTTCGCCACGGCCAGCAGGGATATGACGGTGAAGCTGTATGATCTGCGCATGATGGCCGAACAGACCACGCTCAAGGGTCACACCAAGGAGGTGTGTAGTCTCGACTTCCATCCGACGCATCACGATCTTCTCGTGTCTGGTGGAAGCGAAGGCTCGATGTTGTTCTGGGACCTTACCGCGGCTACCAACGAGGCTCTTTCGGAGAGCAACTTTGTGGAACGATCCATGATGGGTGGAGGTGGTGAGGGGATGGATGTCAGCGAGGGCAGGAGGATGGACGAAGCGCTGTTGTGGGCCAACCATACGGCGCACGAGAGCAACGTGTGGAGTTTGGAATGGCATCCCTTTGGACACATCCTGTGTTCCGGTAGCAACGATCACATGACTCGATTCTGGCAACGCGCAAGACCTTCGGCCGTAACCCAGTCGCATGCTACCAGCACCCAGGACATCCCCGTCTCGTCGTTCGTCGACAATCCAGACGACAGCTTCATCCCCGGCCTCGCCGCTGCCAACCGCTCCTTCATCCCCACCAACTCAGCTTCCAAGGAAGACGAATACGCCATCCCAGGCTTAGGCTTGCCCAGAGCCCCACCACCCCCACCGCCAGCGCAGCAGTACCATGCCCAACAGCCGTACCAACCCCAAGGCTTCACCCCGGGAACAGGCGCAAACGCTCCTCTCCCAGGAACCGGCCCCCAATTCGGTTGGTCCGCCCGTGGCCCACCCCCTCCAACCCAGCAGCAACCAGGCGGAACCTACGGCGCCTTCTACTGACCACCTCTCCCCCGCTCAATCTCAAGCCATCATCTTTGGCGCGCTGCGTACAAATCGTGCTCGTGTGTTGTCTCCGACTATGCGTGCTAGATACAGGATGAGAAAGAAGGATCGAAGCTAAGAGGGGAGCAGATGCGCAAATGCCGGCTTGACCACCCATGGCGCATTGGGCTTCTTCTCCTTGGTGGCGTAGGCGGTGAGGCGCTCGCCGATGGCGTTCTTGGATGCGGGCATGGCGAGCTGGTCGAGCATCTCCTTGAGGTCGTCCACCAGGCCGGCGCGCGTCTTGGTGCTGCCGTGGATGCGCGCGAGCAGCGGCGCGATCGCGTCGGGATGCAGCTGGTGCTTGAACGCCGTCGGCGCAGCGGCTTCGGGCTTGTCGGCAGCGGGAGCGGCATGGGCAGGAGGAGCATCGGACGCGACTGCAACATCGCCCCACAGCGCCGCCAGCACGCCGCCAGCGGGGAGGCCGCGGCGTGGCTTGGTGGGCGTATCGACGATGCCCGCCTCGTCAGGCTCGCTTGTGGAGGAGGCGGGCTCGGCCGATGTGAACGTGAACGGGTTCAGGCCGAAGCACGCGTCGTTGAGCAGCTCGATACGGTACGACGAGAAGAGGTCGTAGTCGCAGCGGCCGAACTCGCTCTCCCAGTGTGGACCGGTCGAGAACGGCACAAGCTTGGCGTCGAAGCGGCGGCCTAATAGCTTGACCTTCTTCTTCTTCTTGGGGTGGAGCAAGTTGGTGGTGACTGGCTGAGCGGGCACGGGCATGCCTAACTTGTCGACCTCGACGATCTCGTCGTCGACGTCCATCGCGTTGGCCGCAGAGCGAGCCTGCTCCTCCTCCTCCTCGACTTCGAGGTCGTCGACGAGCCAGTCGTCCATCTCCGAGTCCTCGTCCGAGTCGCCGACGCTGTCCTCCTTCTCTTCCTCGCCGTCCTGCACGTCTTCGCCCTCGACCTGACCCAGCTCCTCCCAGTCGGCGTCCGAGTCGTACGAGTAGTCGAGCGACACCGGGTCCTGTCCGAGCGGACAACGCGGGCTGATGAGGTTGGTGGATTTGGTCCACGTGCCGTACCAGCCCGGACGACGATCGCTTTCGAACTGGAGCAGCTTCATCTGCACCTTGCCGCGGTCTTGCAGCGTCTCGAGCGCCTTCTCGGCCTGCTCCTGGGCGTTCCCCCCGAGCACGTCGGACTCGGTCACGACCCGCTTGATCTCGCGTACCGACGCGGGCGGGTGGACCCCTTTGCGGCGCCTGGCACGTGTGCCGGCATTGCCGCTCAGAGCAGATGCGCGCGTGAGGAACTGCGACAGCATTTCATCGCGGCTGAGGTCGTCTTGGCCCATCTCGAGCTCTGGCTTGCTGCCGGATCTCGATGCGAAGCGGTTGATGGGTGCCAGGTCCTTGTACTGGCAAGGCAGGAAGGTGCGGTCAAAGTCGGAGACGTCTTCGGCCGGCTTCCCGGAGGCAGTGCTGCTCGCGGCAGCAGTAACAACCGACTTGGACGGGCTCTTCGGGGCGGCCTTCTTGACGAACGAGGTGAAGAAGTTGACCTGGCGCTGCTTGAGCTCCTCGGCCTTCTTCTGTTCAGCCTCCTTTGCCTCTTTCGCCTTTTGCTTTTCGAGCTCCTTGGCCTCGCGTTCGAGTCGCTTGGCCTCCTTCGCCTTGAGGCGCTCTGCCTTTGCAGCATCCTTCTCCTCCTTCTCCTTTTGCTTCTCGGGCGACAGCTCCACAGCATCCTTGGCCCTCTTCTTCTCTCTTGGTGAAGATGTAGCCGAGGCGGACGTGTCGCCGGCCATCGCCGAGCTCTTGGCAGTGGATTGCGGGGTGGAAGTGGACGAGGGCGACTTGCGCTTGCGTGAGGCAACAGGGGTCGAAGGAGCCTGTGCGGCTTTGCGGTCGTGCTCGGTGTCAGCCACGGAACCGTCGTCATTGTCATCGTCGATGGCGATTGGTTGCGAAGCGCTCGAACCCGCCGGCGTATGCACTTGAGCGTCAGCAGCAACGGTGGCTGAGATCTTGGCTTTTGTGCTCTTGGAAAGGAGCGCCTGCTTTTCCTGTTCGGTGAGACTGCTGAACAACTGTTCTGCCTGTGTGCGTGCCGATTCGCGCTCGCTTCGGCGTTGTAGGAGCTTCTCTATAAATTCGGATGGCAGCATGGTCAAGTCTGTCACCTCCCATCTCCACAGCTGGAGAGGTGCAGGCACAGCGACGGCATCGGCAGCATCGCTGCTTGACGCGTGCGGGCCTGCGATGGCGGCGTCGATGCCGTAGTTTCTCCTCTCGGCCACTGCACTGATGGCAGCCTGAATGCAGGAAAGCGGCAGCTTGGCCTTGGCTCCTGCGCCAGACGTGGCCGAGTCGTCGGACTCGCTCGAACCGAGGTCAGCCTCGGGCAAAATCTTGCTTCGAATGGCCTTGGCGAGCTCGACGAGCGACTTGTCGCTCTCCTGGGCGAGCTTAGCAATGACATGCAGATGGTCCTGGGGGATGCTGTCGAGCTTTTCGTGAACGTCGAGGAACTCTTGGAAGGTGATGACCGCCTTGAGGACGGGCATGGTGCTGGCCCAGTTGAACGGCTTCTGCTTGAGGACGAGCTTGCCATTTCTGAGCTCGACGAGCGCAGCCGAGGAGGTGAGCTTGGCCTTCTTTGCAGCCGGGGCGGGAGAAGAGGTCGATGCGGATTTGGACGGCGCCATGTCGGCGACCCCGGCAGCACGCTTTGGCTTTGCGATGGTGGAGGCCGAGCTGGACTGAATCAAAGGGCGGTTCTCGGCGTCGCTGCTCGAGGCGTGGGTGGCCGCCGCTGCCCGCGACTTTGTGCTGGATGCCTTGCGCTTGAGGCTGGTGGGTGGCATGGCTCGGTCGATGTTGATGTCCGTGTCGGAGAGCATCGCATCAAAGCACGATGAAGGCGACGGCGAAGGCGGCGGTGCAAGAACGCTCATCGCTCGGGTGCAGGCGCAACAATGCAAACGGTATCAGAAGCGTGATCCTTCGGACCCCTTCCAGCGAGTTGGTGACTGAGCAAAGCGACGACGTAGAGGGAGCGCAATAGTGAGACTGGATCGTAATGTTCACTTCGGAAGCGCCGAACAGGTTATCGTCCAGGAAAAGCCGCAACTTGCAGGCTGAGTGAGCGCGTCGGCTGAGCCGCGAGGGCGCTACTTGGCGGTTCCGTCGGTGTGATATGCGCGAGTCGCAACCGATGTGACTGCTTTGCGAGAGACGGGAGATGCAAGATGAAGGACCGAACGAGTGGGATGGAGAGGAGGAACGCGGCGAAGTGAGAGGAACGGAGTGCGGAAGGATCCAGGATCTCATCAGGCTCGAGTGGCGACCGAAACACGCACACGCTTCCCACTTTTCGCGTCAGGCAGCAGCCACTCTGACGCCCTTCACGCCTCACACGCTCTCACGCCCTCACGGCCTTTTGCTGGACGCCAGCTTCCTGACCAACTGTTGCGTGTCCGACTGTTGCTCTCAGGCTTTCCCGGACCCTCAGCAAAGTGTTGAATTTCTGCCGTCACGCGCGACGCAGGACGTGTCGTGTTCTGATCTTTGCTGCTCGGCTCCTCCACACAGTCACCCGCTTGGACCCACGCTGCTCCATTTCGCACGCCGAGGCGGCACGTTCTGAGGGCCTTTGCGGGTGCCGTCGTCTCAGCTGTACAGCAGGCTGTGAACGTTCTCCAATCCCAAGGCAGCCTGGAAGAGACAGCCCGGAAGAGCCTTGCAACTGGGTGTTGCGGTGTGCAGGGTTCAGCGGGACGCGAAGTGAGCTGAGCTGCTTTGCGGACTTTACGCGTCGCGTGTTGCTTTGTCGGAAGAAATGCTCCACAACCAACTCAGCACAAAGCGCGCAGCTACCCGTGCGAGACGCTGCTCCAGCCAAGCAACCGCCCAACACGAGCTGCTGCAGCACCATCAGCGTTGTTGTTCGCATCCTAGCATTCACCATACTGCTCGCACACGCCACCACAAACCAACGTGCGATTCAGCTCGACTCGGCCATGTTCCTGCAGCAGGCCACCAAGGCGCACAATGCCAGCCAGGCGGCGCAGAAGGAGAAGCTCGCCAAGGAGAAGGCGGCGAGGCGACCGTGGGTGGAAAAGTACCGTCCCAAGACGATCGACGAGGTGACGGCGCAGGAGCATACGGTCGCGGTGCTCAAAAAGACGCTCATGTCCAACAATCTTCCGCACATGCTCTTCTACGGTCCTCCGGGCACGGGTAAGACGTCGACCATCCTGGCGCTCGCACGGCAGCTGTTTGGGCCCGAGCTGATGAAGACGCGTGTGCTGGAGCTCAACGCCTCGGACGAGCGCGGCATCACGGTGGTGCGCGAAAAGATCAAGAACTTTGCCAAGCTGGCCGTGACCAATCCCAAGGAAGGGTTTCCGTGTCCGCCGTTCAAGATTATTATTCTCGACGAGGCGGATAGCATGACGCAGGATGCGCAGAGTGCGCTGCGTCGCATCATGGAGCAGTACAGCCGCATCACGCGATTCTGCCTCGTGTGCAACTATGTGACGCGCATCATCGAGCCGCTGGCGTCGCGATGCAGCAAGTTCCGCTTCCGCTCGCTCGACACCTCGTCCACCAAGGCACGGCTCGAGATGATCGCCAACACCGAGGCGGTCACGTTTGAAGACGACAAGGTGCTCGACACGCTCATCGGCACATCGGACGGCGATCTGCGTCGTGCAATCACGTACCTTCAATCCGCCTCTCGCCTGCACAGCGTGGTGGGCGATGACAAGAGCGCCGTCACGTCGGCATCCATCGTGGAGATCGCCGGCGTCGTGCCCAGCCGTGTCATCTCGAGCCTTGCCGATGCAGTAGGCATCGAGGCATATGCAGGCAGCGACGGCGATGTCGACATGGACGCGGGCGCCAAGAAGCGCGACGCCTTTGATCGCATCCGCCACGAGGTGCGTGTGATCACAAGAGAGGGCTACTCGATCACGCAGCTGCTCGTCCAGCTGCACGACTACGTGATCGGCCATCCAACCTTGCTCGCCATGATCAAGGCCAAAGCGGCCCTGCTGATGGCCGAGATGGACAAGTGCCTCACCGACGGTGCCGATGAGGAGCTGCAGCTGCTCAATCTGTGCCTCAAGCTGCAAGAGGTCGTCCAGAGTGACGGCAAGGCTTACGTCTGAAGAGCGACGAACACATTGTACTTTTAGCCCGCATCGCAACACGATATCTTCTACAGCACCGCCCACATCGAACGGTCACATCTAACGGAGGGGAAGTCGACGAATGCATGGCGCGGTGAAAGAAGCGGCGAATTGTTGGATTTCAAAAGGGGTGAAATTAGACTGATGGCACAGGCGACCCGAGTCACGCGGACCTCCATCTTGCTTTATCACTCTACGACGTTCTTCTCGCCTCCTTACCGTCCACCACTCCACTCGCTTCTCAATCTCTAGACCTACACACATTCAGCAGACACTCGCAGACTCAAGCATGACCGGCTCCAGTCACGTCGCAGCGGCGGCGTCTTCGTCATCTGCTGCAGCCGGGTCGACCGCGTCGAAAACGATCGTGATCAAGCTGGGCACATCATCGATCATCTCTGAGGAGACGCAGCTCCCCAAGATCGCCATCCTGAGCTCGCTGGTGGAAACCTGCCACAAGCTGCGTTCGCAGGGGCACAAAGTCATCATCGTCTGCTCCGGCGCCATTGGGATGGGTCGCATCCGCATGCACATCACCGACCGTCCTAAATCGCTTGGTGAACGGCAAGCTCTTGCAGCGCTGGGACAGTTGCGGCTGATCGCGCTGTGGGACTCGTTGTTCGGTACGGTGGGGATCGAGGTTGCCCAGGTGCTGCTTACGAGGAACGATATCGCAGACCGTCCGCGCTACAACAACGCGCGCACGACGCTCAACACGCTCATCTCGGCACCGTTCAATGCGATACCCATCGTCAACGAGAACGACACGGTCTCGGTTTCTGAACTGCGCTTTGGCGACAACGATACGCTCTCGGCCATTACGGCGGGTCTGGTGGATGCAGACTACCTCTTTCTGTGCACCGATGTGGATGGGCTGTATACGGGCAATCCGCGCAGCGATCCGAATGCACGACGGCTGGGAGTCGTCGAGGATGTGGCGGCGGCTCGCAAGGCGGTATCCGTTGCAACGATGGGATCGAGCTTCGGAACGGGTGGGATGCAGACCAAACTCATCGCGGCCGAACTCGCCACCGCCGCGGGTGTGGCGACGGTGATCCTCAACGGCGAACATCCCGAAAACATGATCCGGGTGGTGGCCAACGGAATTCCGTCGGAAGCGTCGGCTGGGGCGGGGGCGGGGGTAAAGATGGATTCGCTCGCGTCATCAGTGTCGTCGTTGGCGTCGGAGGAGAAGGAGCTGATTGGGTATCCGCCATTGGATGCACCGGCACATACGATCTTCATGCCCAAGCCGAATCCGCTTTCTTCGCGCAAGTGGAGCATCTTGCATGCACTGCACCCGGCAGGAGCGTTGATCATTGACGAGGGCGCATTCAAGCGCATTGCGCGCACCGATTCGGGCGGACGGCTGCTACCTGCGGGCGTGGTGGGTGTCGAGGGCAACTGGGAACGCATGCAGGCCATCCGTCTCGTCGTGCGCCGCCGCATCTCCAAATCCACGCCGCACTCGAGTGGGCTCGAACAGGGTGCGCCACTCACCAATTCTGCGCCCATCGCAAGGTCACTGGGACAGTACCTTCTGCGAACCGACAGCGAGGCGGGGGCGGGAACAAAGACTCCGCCCATCATCGACTCGCTACGCAAAGACGCCCCAACTCCTTCCAGCCCACTCGCTGGTGAGGCATCAGCCAAGATTGTTCCAGCGGACGCTGCGGCGGGCGGAGATGGTGTGGACGGGGATGAGGAGTGGGAGTGGCAGCTGGTCGAAGTGGGCCGTGCGCTAGCCAATTATACGTCGATCGAGAGCGAGAGGATCAAAGGGCTCAAATCGTCGCAGATCACCTCGGTGCTCGGATACGCCGATTCGGACTATGTGACTGACCAAGTTGCGCTTCACACGCTCACTCTCCCCACTGCCTAATACCACACTCTGCCACACTGTCATACACTATTTTCTACCAAGATTACACGGCGTATGTCGAGCCAAAAGTGGAAAAGGCTAGGACATGGTGGGCATGTTGACCGAGGCGCGTTCGGACATCTGTGCATCGTCGGACCTCCAGAGCGAAGTGGACGTCTTGAAGGAGGTGTAAAAGTTGAGCGCCGATTTGCCGTAGAAGCCAATGTCGCCCAGGACGGAACCCTTGTTGCCGGACCAGGCGAACATCGGCAGCGGCACGGGCACGGGAACATTCACGCCCAGCTGACCGGCATTGACGTTCTTCTCAAACTTGCGCGCGGTGGCGCCGTTGGTGGTGAAGATCGCCGCGCCGTTGCCGTACTTGTTCTTGTTGATGTAGTCGACCGCCTGGTCGAGCGTGTCGGCCTTGACCACGACGAGCGTGGGGCCAAAGATCTCCTGGTCGTACGCCTTCATGCCGGGACCAGCCTCGACCACCGAAGGCCCGACAAAGTTGCCGTTTGGATAGTCGGCGCATACAAAGTCGCGGCCGTCCAGGAGGATGCGTCCGCCCTCCTGTTCGACGCTGCCCGTGAGGCTGCGTACGCGCTCGCGCGCCTGGGGCGAGATGAGCGGACCCAGGTCCGCACCCTCCTCAAAGCCACCGGAAACCTTGAGCTGCTTGGCACGCTCGACGAGCTCAGGCACCCAGGACTGCGCCTCTCCCACGGCGACCACCACCGAAAGCGCCATGCATCGCTGACCGGCCGCACCAAACGCCGCACCGGCGATCGAGTTGAGCGCAAAGTTCTTGTTGGCGTCGGGCATGAGGATGGCGTGGTTCTTGGCGCCGAGGTTGGCCTGGACGCGCTTGCCGTTGGCGGTGCCGCGGTGGTAGATGTGTGCGCCGGCCCTGTCGGAACCGACGAAGGAGATGGCCTTGATGCGCGGGTCGTCGCAGATGCCATTGACCACGTCGACGGCGCCGTTGACGACGTTGAGCACGCCCTTGGGCATGCCTGCGCGCTCGCACAGCTCGGCGATGATCATCGACGCGCCGGGCACGCGCTCCGAGGGCTTGAGCACCAGCGTGTTGCCCGTCACCGTGGCCATGGGGATGGACCAGAGCGGGATCATGGCGGGGAAGTTGAAGGGCGCAATGGCGGCGGTGACGCCGAGCGGCTCGCGACGCGCGTACGTGTCCATGTCCTTGGACACCTCGACGCGCTCCTCCATGAGCGTGCTCGTGATACCGCACGCCACCTCGACTACCTGGAGACCGCGCAGGACGTCACCCTTGGCGTCGGCAAACGTCTTGCCTTGCTCGAGCACGATGGCGTTGGCGATGTCGTCCATGTGGTCGCGGAGGAGCGCCTGGAGCTTGAACATGACCTGCTGACGGCTGAGCAGACTGGTCTCCCTCCAGGCGGGGAAGGCGGCGTGTGCGTTGGCGACGGCGGCGTCGAACTCCGAGGGCGTGGTGAGCGGCACCTTGGAGAGGAGCGCCTGGGTGGAGGGGTCGTTGACGTCGAGCCAGGACGAGGTGGAGGAGTCGACGAACTTGCCGTCGACGTAGTTCTTTGTGGTGCCGCCGAGCATCGAGGTGCCCTGCCACTTGGACTCTACATCCTTGGCGCGCGAGAGCGCGAGCGGGCTGAGCTGCGCCTGGGCGGCGCCCGACGAGGCGGCGGCGGCGGCAGCGGGCTGGGCGAGCCTAGCGGTGGAGGAAGTGGAGAGGCATCGGACCGAGGAGGTGTTGATGGCCTTGGACGAGGCGCGGAGGAGGTTGGCGGAGTGCATGTTTGCAAGACGACCGCGCGAAAGAAGATGGCAGTGGTGGTGTAAAGTGAACGAGTGACGACGGGGACAATAAGTGCTTGGAAGGAAGACTTTTGGGCGCGGGTGTGTTGGTTCGGATTTCGAGCCTGTGACACACACAAAGCACGAGCGAGACTGACAGCCGGTCAGGTGGTCACTGCACATCGCCTTCGGCGTCAACCGCGCGGGGGCAATGAGGGGTTAAGAGAGCGGGGTACGCCGCCTGTGTTGGCAGAACGCATCTCGAGAATCGGCCAATCATCGGTCGTAACGGCACTTTGCGAACCGGCTTCCCCGCTTGAGCCCCACCGCGCCCCGCTGAATCCACCCGCCAAGTAGCCGGTGCGCCCTAATCCCGATTCGGGTCGTTATCAACGCAATTCACCGCGCAACTCGCCGGCCCTCATCCTCCTCGCACTCTTGTCACATATGCTACTCTATCGCGGCCACTGCAAGCACAGTTCATCCTATCTATCGTCGTGACAGCTCGTCTCGTCGGCCATTTGCAGATGGTTGATGGTGTCCGCAGATGGAAATTCGATACAAAGTGTGAGATTGTACTCCACCGCACATGTACGAATTTCGACCTGGGCTCGCCGGATCACTTTCCGCAGTCTTTTGGAAAAGGAGAAAATGCGGCGGGTTGGAAGTGCAAAAAAGGGGGAAGAGAGCACGCAGGCACACGCTGTGTCGGTCAATTCGCAAATTCGCCAGATGGAGTCTTCCTTCCGTCTTCCACCATCATCCTCGCGCGGGGGATCCTGACAAGAAGAGTAAGTTTCCACATTCTCGCAGCGCCACTTTCATGTTCACAGGATGAGAAACACTTTCACAGACCTGATCCGAAATACCTCTGCGCCGAATCAGCGCAGAGGGTCAGAGGACAACCACTTTATTGCCTATTTTTGGCTGATCAACATGCAACGCCGCGCGCTCTCTGCATCCCGAGCTTCGTCGTGTTCAAATGACTGACTCGTCCTTGCACTCGACGTTTGTTTGACAGGACCGTTCGTGCATCCCTGATGAACGCTTTGCAGTCGATTGGCGTCCCGTGTCTTCGGCGTTCTCGCTCGAGGTCGTGGTAGACAGCGTGCGCACAAATGTCGCATTTTGAAGTCTTTTCCAATCACAACCACACACAAGCATCGGCATCGCTGCAAGACCGCAGCCCGGATGGAACCGAGGATCGCTTCGATGCTAGGCGGGTCGAAAGCTTGCTCGTCTTTTGGCCGGCCAAGCTCGTCGACCTGTCCTATCTCATCGCTGACGATGCCTCGAACAACAAGCCGGATCAAGGCGAGGTAGCCCTCCTCGTCGGCTATATCGTGCCTGGACACCCGCACGAGGCTGCTGCGCTGGTCATCGGCACAGCTCGATCACGATGCATAGCTGCCGCTCGCAGCACGATCGAGTCCAAGGACCTCGCCATCCTTGGCATCTTGCACGACACCTCGGACGGCATCGATGCAAAGCATCAAGCGTGCGATCACTCGCCCATCTGGATCAGCGCCGTGCCGCGGTCCAGACGATGTGACCCTCCCGCACTCGTCTCTGTACGTCTGGGAGGTGGTGCGGAAGCCATCCAGGATGCCGCGTCCTGCGCCTCGGGTGTGGTGCAGTACACGGTGCCCAACTCGCGCATGATGCAGTACTTTTCGCTCGACTCCCTTCGGCTCGCGCCCGTGTCCGGCATGAAGCTCGTCTCGCTCGCAGCTGTGTTGCTCGGTTCGGACGCAGATCCGTCGGAGCTCTCGTCTCGCATGGCTGCCTACGCCGCACCTTCGGCACACGAGCAAAAGTTCCTGCGCTTGCTCATGCTCGATCCGGTGCACTGGCGATCACTCAAGGACGTCGAGCCGCACCAGAATCGAATGCCCCGCGGAACGTGCCTGCGCCGCTCCATCGAGCTGATCAATCGTCTGCAGCACCAGTACGCGCACCTCGCCCGCAGCGAGATCAAGAAGGCGTCGTCCAACGGTTCGGCATTGCCGGCGCAGCGATCGATCGTCGTCGATCAACTGCATCTGCTCGGCCGCGCACTCACTTTGGTGGCGCTTGGTGTGCAGAAAGCGCTGCGCTATCCACTCTTACGATCGGCCGGGCTTAGTCTGGTCTCGATGTCCGCGTGTGCACGTCAGCTGGACACGCGCATCTCGCAGATGGTCGTGGCACCGCGGCTGGCGTCGCGGCTGCGGCAGCTGCGCAAGCAGCAAAAGCTGGGCACGCACGAGCTGGCAGCGCCGTACATTGGGCTTTGGAATGCCATCTGGCTGATCGCCAACGACGTCATCCTGGGCCACGCAGCGAGCGTGCTGTTGGTGCAAAACGCGGCGATGCTGGCTGGAGTGGGTCGAGGCTTGGTGGAACGCTACCTGGTGGACGGCGTGTTTTGGCTGCTCTCGTGGCTGGAAAGCTGGCCGGTGGGGTTGAAGCTCAACACGGAGCTGTCGCTGTTCTTTAGCGATGCCTATGCGTCGCTCACGCATGCGTGGCATTCGCAGGCGCTGGCGTATGTGCTGCCGCGACTCGAGGCGCTGGTATTGGCGACGGCGGTGGTGGGGCGATGGATGGGTGTGACAATGGTGCTGTGCGTGATGCAAGACGTGGTGTCGATCTGCACGCTGCACATCACCATGTTCTACACGCTCTCATCGCGCACGCTGCGCGCGTTCGTCTACGTGCTCTCGGCGTTGTTCGACGTGTTTCGCGGCAAGAAGCGCAATGCGCTGCGCGGCGGACGGTTGGACGATGCGAGGTACGAGCTGGACCAGCTGGTGCTGGGTACGCTGCTGTTTACGCTCATGGCGTTCCTGATGCCCACCGTATACGTCTACTATCTGGCGTTTGGAGTGGCGCGCTTTGGCGTGGTGGCGTTGGAGGTCGGGGTGATTCAGACGTGCTTGGGACTGCTGAACCATCTGCCGCTGTTTGCACTCATGCTTCGCATCAAGGACTCGCATCGGCTGCCGGCGGGTATGTGGCTGCAGGAGCTCGAGCCGAGGCCGATGGATGTCAAGGTGGTGGGCGAGATGTCGACGGCTCGATTTCGGTTGCGATCGCGTGCGCTGGCGGTGGGCGACATCTTTGAAGGATACGGCGAGCACGTGGGCGGATTGCTCGAGGTGCCCAGCATGCTCCTCCGCTGCCTCCTCGGCCAGCCTCTGCGTCGAAGTGTCCGTTGATCAATCCAATCGGTAGTTCAAACCCCAAAGGGCAGCATGGCGAATGCGTGTGTACAGTATGCAGGCGAGGCTGTCAAGATGTGAGATTACGTGCTTTGGAGCTTTGGCCTTTTTTTCGATATGGCCGTTGAAATGCGCGCTCGATGAAATCACTGCGATTTTGCTGCGCTGCCGCCCAATTCGACTTGCGCGGGCTGAACCCAAGCTGGCTTGGACTGAGTGACTCGTGCAGTGCCCTCTCAGCGCTCACTCACACGGCCCTGACCAGCTTTGGGCGGCGCGGAGGTGCAGCAGTGTGGAGTCGTGCAGTGCAGCTCGCTTGTCTCGCCTGACTGCTCCCAGCCTCTCTCTCTCTCTCTCTCTATCAGCCACCCTCGTCCGCCTTCACCCTTCCACCCCCAACCCAACCATCTCGCTCCATCGCAACAAACGGCGAAATCGCAAAGCCATCGCAATCGCACTCCGTACCCAAGTGGCCAAGCCAAAGAATGCACTAGGCCACGCATCTTGGCGGCATCGTGCTCATCGGACGACTGGTTTGCATTCGGCTCCAACATGACCCCGGGTCCTTCCTTCACAATGCCCGCAATCTCTCGCTCTGCTTCGGCAGACCCACTCCCGCGCGCCGCCACCGCTACCACCAACGACGCTGCTGCAGATGCTCGTCCAACCCAGGCCGATCAGGCTTCGGCCTCGACATACCAACCCGCCAACAGCACCGACGAGCACATGGCCCACGATCGCACCAATGCCGCAGCCCAACCCAAGCACTGCGCTCGCTGCGGTCAGCTTCTCGACCTCGCCCCTGCTTCCGACGACACCTCACACCCCCATGCTTCGTCCAGCTCCTCCATGCCCGCGCCCAGCCCGTCCTCGTACGCTTTCGCACCCGACTCGGTCCGCTCCCACCACCGCATTCAGCCGCATCAGAGCCTCACCTCCGCCATCAACGCTGCCGCTGCCGTAGCCCTCTCCCGACACCTCGGCACCAACGACGACATCGTTGCGACAGATTCGGACGGTCACGCCATCTGCACGCATTGCTCCGCTCAGCTCGCAGATACAACCCAAGACCCCAGCCGCTCCACCATCGTCGCAGCCGGCTCCCACGAGCAGCCAGCTTCTTCGGCCAATCTCTCCGTGCCATCAGCCCCAACGCGACACACAGATACCCAGCACGCCCCTGATCCGCAAATCCCGGACACTGCGTCCGAACCGCCAATCGCGTCCACCAGCTCCGACACCAACGGCCCTCAGATTCACCTCACCATCTCGGTCAACAACATGGGGGCTGGCGGTGACGCTCCCAGATCCCACTCCATCGACGACGTCACTATGCACGACCCTTCCGCCTTCCCTCCTCTCGAAAGAGCGCCAGCGTCCCCGACATTGCGAGCGCCTTCCTCGCCCCCTTCCGTGGGCCGTTCGACAAGCCGTACCAGGATTCGCTTCGCCGACGCCTCGACCCATCGCCACCCTGCAGATGCCAATGGCGCCGATCCTGCCACGCACACCGACGCCTTGGGTCGCTCCGGCAGCTTCTCCAGAAGCCTGAGCTACAATGGTCCTGGACTCGGTCACGAGAGTGTAAGCGCTTCCTCTGCCCAAGTCGTCGTCAGCTTCCCTCCTGCCAATGCATCCGCCCTCGCACCAGAATCCACGCCCGCTCTCAACGCGCAAGACACTCACAGCTTTGCACCGTCGCCCACTCCCTCTGCCGCCGCACTGGCGCCGTCTTCCCCGCAACAGTCAAGATCGCGCAGCAGCAGCCACTTGCAGGCATCGGGCACTTCACTCGCTGCCGCATCGCATGTGCATGTCCCGGCGCCCGCCAACGCCATCCCCGGCGGAGCCAAGCAACGTCGCCCTTCGTCGGCGCGCCGCTTAAGCCGCTCCGGCTCTTCCACCGGTCCAACTACGCTGCCATTTGCTGCAGTCGGCGCGGATCCAACTTCGGCCAAGGACGACGACCCCTACGGCCCGTCGGCCATGACTCGGCCTCGACTCAGCTTGATACCCAGGCACGTCATTGCAGACACGCTCTACTATTCCGCGCACGCACAGCGGCCCGCATCGCTCGGCACCACCTCCACCTCCACCTCGCTCTCGGTGCCCTCGGCCGCGCTCGCACACACCTTCGACCCCACTCGCGCAGTCAAGTACCACACGGACCCGCTGGCGTTCCGCGACCCGAAGCCGGAGGAGGCGACGGGCGCAAAAGGCGCGGATGCGGAGAAAGAAGCGTTGGGCGTGGCTGCCAAGTGGGGCGACGTGCGCTGGTTCGACCCGTACAAGCCCGACCCCCTCGCCGAGCTGTCGCGTCTGCGCACGCCGCCCAAGGGCCGCGGCTGCCTGTATCCGGGTGCCACGTTCAACGGCACGCAAAAGTCGGGGCGCAACTCGTACGACGTGACGGTGCGCATCGTCAACGTCGACCTCGAGGCGTCGCATCTGTGCGGCTACCTCAACATCCGCGGGCTCACCGAGGACTGGCCCGAGCTCACCACCTACTTTGACGCCGAGATCATCGGCGACCGGTATGGATTCGTGACGGGCAAGTGGGGTGCTACGGAGGCGGATGATCTCAAGCACTGGGCGCGGTTTCCGCCGTTCCGACCGCTGCGTTCGGCGCTGTCCAAGCCGGGGCTGAGGTTCCACCACGCCAACAAGCCGTTTGTGTTTATGCGCTGGAAGGAGAAGTTCCTCGTGCCGGACCACCGCGTGCGCGACATCAACGGCGCCAGCTTTGCGGGCTTCTACTATGTCTGCGTCGAGCTGGGCGAGAGTGCCGCCCCGCCGGGTAGGGTCGAGGCGGAGGCGAGGCAGAGGAGCAACAGCAATGTGTCGATGACGAGTGCGAGCGGGCATACATTGTCGTCGGGCACGTCGCCGATTCTGGCGCAGGGTGGTGGGGTGGGTGCGGGCACTTCGGTGTCGGGACCGCAGTGGTATGCGGCGCGGACACAGCGACGTCGAGAGCTGTCGTTGTCTGCGCCGGGACAGCCGCATTTGGCGCATATGTACCACCAACAGCAGCAGCAGGGTTCGGCCGGGTACGGTCCGCAGTCTCCACCGGCGCTACAGTCGGGGCCTGGATTCTGGCCCGCTTCGCCCACGAGCCCGCACATGCCGCTGCCGACCGACGATCCCTTTGCAGGGCTGTGGGCCGAGGCCGATGCGGATTATGACGATTTGGGCGCGAGGGGCAAGATGTCCGGGTTTTACTTTCACGAAAACTCGGAGCCGTACCAGCAGCTCAGTTTGCACCATACGCCCGAAGCGTCGTCGTGTGCGTTCGAGATGCGTTGACGCCCCACTCCAAGGGTCTTTGGTTTCGAATGCTGCTGTTCAGCCGGTCTCGTCCGAGGCATCGTCTGCGGTGATCCTCGCTTCACTTCGTTTTCGTCTTGGTGGTTCGAATGCAATAGGTCAGCCTGCGCCGTACGCCCGAATCGTGGTCTGCGGTGATTCTCCCTTCCCTCGAATCTCTCTCGTCCTCGTGCTGTGGTTGTGGTGTGAAAGCAGGAGCTTGCCCGGCATTGTACGATGCGTCATCGTGTGCGTTCGAGATGCGGTGACATTTCGCTCTTGAACCGGGTCTATTTCGTCTTCGAGTGTTCGTGCCTCGAAAGCAGCAGCTCAGTCTGCATCGTCAGCCCGACTCACTCGCGTCTTTGTCGTCATGGATCGAATGCAGCAGCTCATCGTATGAAGACACGTCGTGCACAATTGTTCTTTCCATCCCGCAAGTTGTATTTGTTGGGTTTGCTCGAATGCAGCCCTTCAGGCTGTATCGTACGCATTCTCGTCGTGCGCGTTGGAGATGCGCTGATTCTCACCCTGACTCGGAGGTTGTTCGTATGGAATGCAGCAGTCGCAGCGTGTATCATACGTGCGAAAGCGTTGTCTGCGGTGATTCTTGCCTCACCCGACCGAAGCTCTTTTCGTCTTTGTAGTTCGAAGACAGCAGCTTGGCCTGCTCGTCATGTGCGTTTGAGATGCTCTGATTTCTCGGCCCACTCCGGTCTCGAGCAGCCCTTCAGCTTGCATCGTGCACCCGCCCCACTCGAGTCTCCTTTGTTTTCGTGGCTCGGATGTGACAACTCAGCTTGCATCATATGCTCGCCGTACTCGAGTCTCTTCAGTGTCCGTGGTTCGAACGCAGCAGCTCAGCCGGCGACGTACAAGCGTCGCCATGCGCGTTTGAGATGCGCTAACTTAACTGCCTTACCTTGAGAGGACTTTTGGGATGAAAGGCTGCTGCTGCTGCTCAGCCTGCATCAAACGCATATCCTATTAGCCGTTTGAACTCGGGATTGCACGTCACACTAGCGCTTCACATGTGGGACCATGGTTTGCACCACATCTGCTCCATTATTGCACCCGACAATCCCTCGACGCCTTTGTCCGCTGGGTTTCGAATGCAGCAGCACAGCCTGTACGCCCACCTCGCTCGAGTCTCTTTCGTCTTGACACGCAGTTTACGCGGTTGCATGGCACCAGTTCGGCATGCTTCATGCCAAGCGTCGTCGTGCGTAGTTCACGATTGTGATGCGGCGATTTCTCGCACACTCAGATACGTCCAAGCCGCGAGCAAGGGCGTCTCCCAGCAGGTAGCCCAGGACAGTCCGATTCGACGACGAAAAGGATATGGCGCAGCACGGTCTGACCTTCCGACTACCTCAACGAGATCGACCGGACTCGGGGTTGCCCGATGCGGACGCGTGTGAGCCAGCACTCGAAAGTCTCCTGGTCTCGAATGCAGTGTTTGCAAGCGGTCTCTGTGTGTTTGCAAGGAGAGAAAAGTAAAGTACATGAATCGATCGGATGATCCGACGGAATGAGACGTCTCGTAGCTTGTTGCTGGTTGCGGGCGACTATTCGGCGGCCTTCCAGAGTTGGTCGGCTAGAACCAGCGGAGAGATTTCGTTTTGCTTGAGGTGCGCCGTGTGAATGTCAAAGTGGATCGCCGAGTTGCGGGTATCCGACCTGACCAGCAGCGTTGACCATTCGTCGGATGCATCTGTGCTTTTGGACGGCAAGAATCCCAGCCCTCGGAAGATACGCAGTCTCAACCTGTCGCCCCATGTCAGCATCCTCTTCCTCTTCACCGCGGAAATTTCGGTACTTACGCATCTTTATCCATCTCCGACTCGTCCTCAACATCGATCTCCTCCAACTCTTCCGCGGCCCTTTTCAACTCGAGCAGTTCCGTCTGAAGACTCGAGAGCAGCGATTCCTGCTCGTTGATCTTCTTTGCGAGGTCGAAGTTCTTGTTGTCGAGCTTTTCGATGGTTTCGGCGTGTTGGGCTAGGGAACGCCAGTCGGCTGCTTGGCGGGTGCTCTGTTTGCGCAGGTCGGAAAGCGCCGAGTCGAGCGCATGCATCTTGGCGCGCATCTCTTCGTCCTCGCGCCGACGACGCGACTGCGTCTCGCGGATCGTCTTTTCAATCGCCCGTAGCTGGTCCAGCTCCTCGTGCGGCTGCAGCGACGAGATCAGTGCGTCAATGTCGTCGTCCGTAAGCCGCGCCTCATCCACTGCCGCCGTGTTGGGGGAAGCAGATGTGGATGGGAGCGAGGGTGGAGGCATCAACGCCGCAGAATCATCGCGCGGTGAAACGGCCGACATCGTGTGCTGAGTCCAAGCGAGGAGGTTGATCGGATCTAGCTGTGTATGGCAGAGGAGGTGAAGAGCAGGTCGAGGTGATGCAGAAACGTTTCCGATGGGGGATTGAGAGTGGGTGGTGTGGATGGTGATGCGCGGATGGTGGTGGTGATTCAACACGGATCACGGCTCGAAAGCAGCATGCAGGGTGTTGACGCAAAAAGTGTTGCTCTCTGCGCGTCTGCCTCGGCGCGCGCTTAATTTTGTTAGGCTTATTGCACCAACATTTAGAAATTAACGCGCGCCGCTCTCTCACGTGACGCCAGCCGCGGGTCCAACACCGGCGCATTCATGCATTTTGCTCCACATGCACCCGCACCTCTCCTCGCTACCACACCATACCCTCTACATCACCCACACGATGCCGCCATCAACAGCCTCGCTAGACCCACTGCCGGATCACTGGGTGAGCACATCCCTCCTTCCACCTCGAGCATATTCATCTCTGAATGCTAACGCTTGTCTCCATGTCTCCATGGCATGGTCAGTACTACTTCTTTGGCGTTTTGGAACCACTAAGCGTTCTGGCCGGAAGCTACTATGCGCTGGTGCTGCCGGAGCGCTACCACCACGAGCTCATCCCACCCGCCTTCCTGTCGAGCAGCAAGCTGCAGAGCGGGCTGCAGAACGCGGGTGTGCTGTCGGACTCGGCACGCATGGCGCTCGGCCAGCTGGGCAGCTGCTACTTCCTCATCATGCTCAACTCGGCGCTCATGTTCTACGCGCTCCGCAAGTGGCTTAGGGGCAACAACGACGTGGCGCTAGAGAGGATCCTGAGGTACCTCTTCTTTGTGCTCGGCGCAGCCGATTGTAAGTTTCAACCCCCTTTGCTGGCGATAGTGGGCATAAAGACTGATCAATTGTGTGGTTGAGGGTGGGGCAGGGACACATATTGGACTGACGATTTGGCTGCTGCCCAATGGTCCGCCGACGAGAACGGGCCTGGTGGGCGTGCACAAGGCCACGGTGGTGGACAAGTTCAGGCTGCTCGCCAATCCGGCCAGCTGGAACAGCCTCGTATGTCCCCCCCCCCCCTTTCCTCCACCCCCTCGCTGCAGTAGAGCTGAGCGCGACTGACACTTTGACGTGGACATGCGCAGCTGTTCGGCAACATCATGATCACATTCATCCTGTTCTGTGTAAGTACATCCACCACGGGCTCCTGGGTGCTGCGGCATGCTGACCTCTCGTTGCGCATTGGTTTTCTGGGCGTGGCAGTTCCGCGTGCTGTGGTGGACGGGCGTTGCACGCGGCAGCGCCATCCGCGTCGCCACTCCGCGTGTCAAGAAAGCCTAGACGGCCCTCAACCCCAGCAGAATACACCGCGTCGACATAGCTGAGGCGAAATTGCGATGGATTGACAACAGAACAGTGTGCTCGCGTGCGAACGGTTACTAAGTCACGAGGCAAGTGGATGGGTAGGCGTGCCGTCCGAATGTCGGCGAGCGGGCGAGGGGGGCACTTCGCGCTGTGCGCCATCCGGCTGGCTCGGGCGTGGCGATGGAGGGGTGGACGACGACCTTGTGCGGTTGGGATTCTGAGACAACGGAGCGGGATGCTGATGCGGGTGGTGGTACATATGCGATGCGAACGGGTTGAGATTGGCGAGATGCTGCGGCTGCATCCGCGAGAGCGGCGATGGCGAAGCGGGTTGGTGCTGTTGCAGCCCCAGGCTACTGCGCGAGTTTCGGCGTGCTGCAATGAGCGAGGCCGAGGGAAACACCCCCGGCTGGACGGTGGTTGCGTTGGCCAGGGCAGAGATCGACGGCAGCGCCATATTGGCCTGCACGGGAGAACGAGATGGCGTCGTGTAGCGCGGCTCGATAAGCAGCGGGGCAAGCACACCCGCCGTGGCGCCCGAAACCAGATTCGGTGGCCGAGCGTCCGGCAGCGCATCGAGGCGGCTGAAGAACGGCGCGGCACTCGACGGAGAGGGCGAAGCAATGGGGCTGTCGACCTGCATGGCCTGGAACGTCGACTGCACCTCGAGGTCCATGTCCACATCAGCATCCGCGCCATCGTCCTGATCGTCGTCCGCTGCAGCTGACCGCACAGCTTCCGACAGCGGTGTGGGTGCCATGGCGTGGATGCTCAACTGGTGGCGCTGTCGTGGCAGCAATGGTGACGTCGAGCGTCCCGTCCCCGGCGAGCTGCTCCTCGTACCCGCGATCCTGAACTCCGACACATAGCTGCCCAGCCTAAGCCTCACCGTCGGAGGCGCGCGTTCGTCGTCGTCCGATCCCGATGCGACGCCACTACTCGACAGCGTGCTGTGTCGTCTTCGCTTTCGTCCGTGTGATCGTGCACGCAATCCGAGGCTGCCAGAAGGTGCAGCGCTGCTACTCGCACTGCTGCTACTGCTCGCGCCGCTGCTGCTGCTTCGTCGGCTTCGGCGACCCAGCCGCAGATGCGCCAGCGGCGGTGCGGCAGTGCTGGGCGTCGCCAGCTGCGAGCTCGACGAGCCGCTCGCGGAAGTCGCCGCACTACATCCGGCTGTCATGCTTGCGAGCCCCAGGCACAGCGTACGTCGCCGCCGAATGCTGACATCCAGCCTGGCTGCAAGGTGGATGGAGGTCAGACCAAGGTTGAGGATACGCGTGGAGGAACGCGTTGCCCTGCGCTCTCTTTTTTTTTTTGGTGGCCGTGCCCCACCGTCTGTCAGATGAGGGCGGTCCGTGCTGACCTGCATGCACTGTGCATACACCCGCTTTTTTTGGACGCGTGTGGAGTGTTCAAGCCAAGAAGCGCGTTAGGCCGATCAGGCCGAGTCCAGATAATCGGGCAACGCTGGGTACGTCTTCGGCCGCAGACATCCGACCCGCGGAGCCTGACAGCTACACTTGCTGTCGACGACATCGCACTAACGAGGAGAGATGCAAACTAGGTGTGCTCTGCCGAGACAGATTCATGCCCAAGGCCTCAGCGGATGGGCTACCTTCACTGTTGGCGTGCAGCCACGTCCGCGGAGGTTGCCGGCGGCATGAGCACCGCAACTGAGCCGAGGTCATGCGCTTGCCGCTCGCGAGACTCGCTGGAACCCATCTCGACTGATCATGCCGGCGCTCTCGGGAAGCATATAAGACCGAGTTGCTGTCTGCGAGTCAAGGAGGGGGTCAACGATCTCCTTGCCTCTGCAGAATTAACGACGAACGACTTGCCAGCGATGGCAGCAGACATCCTGACAAAGCGCGGCTTGCGCGTGCTCGTCAGTGGAGCCGGGATTGCGGGACCAACTCTGGCATGGTTCCTCGCTCGCTCCGGAGCGCGCGTGACGGTGGTGGAGCGATCGCCGCAGCTGCTGTCGCAAGGCCAGAATATCGACCTGCGCGGCACTGCGCTCAACATTGTGCATCGCATGGGCATACTCGACGCCATCCGCCGCTGCACCACCACGGAGAAAGGCACCGCGTTTGTCGACCAACACGACCGCGCCTTTGCCACGTTCCCCGTCGGCGAATCTGCAAGCGTGCTGACCGCCGAGTACGAGATCCTTCGAAGCGACCTGGCCAACATCCTCTACCAAGCTGCGGTGCAGCAGCCGGGTGTAGACTTTCGTTTCGGCACGACGATCGAGCGTGTGGCGGAGAATGGCGATTCTGCAGTGCGGGTCGAACTAAGTAGTGGCGAGGAGGAGGAGTCTGATGTGTTGGTGTTGGCGGATGGGCAGTGGTCCACATTGCGCAAACAGGTGTTTGGCACCGATGGGCTCGAGGTGGTGGACAAGAACTGCTTCTTCGTCTACTTTAGAGTATCGCGCACCGAAGAGGACGACGACTATGCACGCGTATATATGGCGCCGCCCGCGCGCATGGTCATCACGCGACCCGACAACCACGGCACCACGCGCGCGCTGCTCAGCATCCGACCCGGCAGCGCTGCACAGAAGCAGCAGTGGGAAGCAGCCAGCAGGAGCCGCGATAGGAGCGTGCAGGTCGCGCTCATCAAGTCAGCCTTTAGCGATGTTGGATGGAAGGTTCCGCGTCTGCTGCGTGGCATCGATACTGCTGATGATCTTTTCTTTCAGTCGATCCAACAAATTCGCATGACCAAATGGCACCGCAATCGCATCGTGTGTTTGGGCGATACCGCCTATGCGCCCACGCCGTTTACGGGCATGGGCACCTCGCTCGCCATCGACGGCGCCTACCTCCTCGCCGGCCACCTCTCCCAGCTCGAGCCAGGCCAACGTCCCGCACTTGCGTTTGACAGGTACGACCACCAATTTCGTCCGTTTGTCGTGCACAAGCAGACGCTTCCCTTCTACGTTCCCGCCATCCGCCACCCGAAAAATGCGGTTTCCAAATGGGCGGCCGAGTCGTACTTTGCAGCCAGGGCTCGCATGGCTCGCATGCCCTGGGCCGTCAAGCGTTCCGCCGAAACGCACGCAGCGCGCGATCGCGATCTTGTCGCCGACATCGACGCCCCCTTTCCGAGCTTTCCGGCTTTCGAACGAGCGTGACTCAGTAGCATGCGCCTTTTCACTCAGACGAGCATCGAGCAGACAACAGTGACGATTAACCGGAGACATGACGGATGTTGGTACAAGGTATGAGCGAGGTGACTGCGAGAACGGGACCGAGAGGGCAAAACAAGGCGAGACTGAGCTGAGAGCCTAATTGATCGAGGAGCCACGGCGATTCCTGTCCTTGACCTCGACACACATTGTTCCGCCCATGCCGTCGGGGAAGCAGTGGTGTCGCTTTACCGGTGCAGGCTTGGTGGCCGGAGGTGCCGAAGGTGCGACTTCCGAAGTGGGTGACTCGATGGCGCTGCCAGACTGACGCGACAGCGCAGCAGCGCCTGCCAGTGACGGCGGGGGCGAGCTGCTAAGTGCCGAAGACGTTAAAGCCGAGCTCGGGGAGGACATGAAACCAAACGCGCTCAGCGCCGAGAGGCGGCCGCCATTGCTAAAGCCGGCGCCAAACGATGTGCGTCGCGGCGGCTGCGAGAGAAGTGCATTGGTGACCGGGTGCGGTGTCGTGTCGGTGTTGGATGAGGAGGTCTGGTTGGCGGAGGAGCCGAAGAAGAACTGCGGCAGCAGGAACGAGTTGCTGCGTTGCGGCTGCGATGCTGGCTGAGGTGCCGACTGCTCGGGAGACGAGCGGCCCGAAGACGAGGCCATGGACGACGAYGACGGCGATGTGGAGTACATTCTGCAGGCCAGGCTCGTAGTATAGCTGGTAATGACAAGAGCTGGTTGCCTAGGCGCTATCAAAGCTTCTGTGTTCTTGCGACGCGGAGAGCTGATGGTGGTCGTGGTTGAAGCGACGACTCCAATGAGCTCGACGGAGGAAGCGGCTCAACTTTATCATCTGACGAGTGTGGCTCAGGTCACGATGGCACCTCGAGATTAGCCGCTCAACACGTTGGCGCGCAACGTGCTGCCTCATCAGCTGGACAAGCTTCCACTGTGCTCAGCTGCGCCAGGATTTGCAACGCACGCATGCAGCACCGTGCAGATTGACCCTGTCATGCGCAGGCGAGGCGGCTTTAAAAAATTTCGCAGCGCCTCGCCAGTGTCGCGCCTGTCTCAGCCGTCTCAGCCGCGAGATTCTTTGGCTTCAACGGGTCGTGGTGCGGATGCTACCCGCGTATCCGTCGGATGTCTCCGTTTGCCCGTCCAAGGCGGCCACTCTGTCGTGGCGGTAGGGGCGGAAGCGGAAATCGAGGACGAAATTCGCCGTGGCTTTGCAGTCCAAGCTTGCAGCGTCGCCGGCAAAAACAACAGCCCTTCGCCCTCGGCCCTTACCCGTCGCCCTCGAGCATCAGGCCCCTCATCTCTCACATGGAGGCGGTTGCAGAGGCTGCATTCCGGAAGATGAAGCTGCTACAGTAGATCGAGGAGGAGCAGTCGAGTCAGAGCCGAATCAAGCGTTTTGGCAAGAGGACGTGGGGCGGCCTCGTCTGCAGTCGGCTCAGGCAGTGACGTCTGCATGCCAACTGCGGGTACTCTGATTACGTCATCCGAGCCCGTCGCAAAGCTCTAACATTGGCAAAAAAAACCCGTGGCGTCACGTGGCGGTGTGCTTGGAATACGCGTATTTCCTGGCTCAGGGTCCACAGGCAGCTGCGACTCGCGGCGGATGATGCAGCTGCGCGCCCATCTTCCTGCTGTGGCGGGCGTGGCTGAGTCGTCCGATCCGCACTTTCACAGAACCACAATTGCTCGTCCGAGCTCGAGCCTCTTCTTCTTCTCGACCGCCATCATCCACGTACTGCAACGCGTAAATCCATCCGCGAACCTCCCCTTTATCGCTGAGCCCTCCCGTCGGCCAGCACCGGACTCGGACAGCACATCATGGTCGAACGCGACGACTACATGCGCGAGGGCTTCGATCCCAGCTCGCTCACCATGCCGCAGCTGCGTGGCATCCTCGTCGAGCACGATGTTCCGTTTGGCAGCGCATTACGAAAGGCAGAGCTTGTGGATCTCTTCAATCGCAACGTCTTACCCAAGACCGCTTCGCTCCGCAAGAAGAAGGCCACCATCGTCGCGAGCTCCAGCGGCATCATCGACATGCGCGATGGCGCTCGCAGCGATACAGAGGTCACGCCCGAACAGACCCCAGCAAAGCGCAAGCCAGGACGACCCAGGAAGAGCGAGGCTTCCACTCCCGCTTCTCAGACTCCCGCCAAGACTCCTGCAAAATCAGCACGTAAAAAGTCGTCCCTCGGCAGCCAAGTGGTGGCAAACGCAGAGAGCGAGGCCGAGGCCGAGGAGGTCGTCGAGCAACCGGTGAAGCGACCTCGTGGTCGCCCGCGCAAATCAGCCTCTACCGAGGCTGCAGAGCCTGACGCCACCACGTCGCCTCGTCGCGTCACCTTTGGTACCTCGCCAGACTCTCCGCCCGCGTCCTCCAGGAAAGCTGGACGCCTCAGCCTCGGAGCAGGCGGCTCTGGACGACGCAGCGACGACGATGGGACCTTTTCCGACAGCAACCCCTTCCAGTCCGGCAGCGAAGCCTCCCCCGCCTCGGGCATCGCCGCCAAGGCAGCAGTTTCGGCCAGAAAAGCGCGTCGTAAAACCACCGACGGTACTTCGACTCTGCGCAAGAAAGCATCGGACCAGCACCTTGCCCCAAGCCCGCCCCGCTCGGCCCGAAAGTCGGCCCCAGGTGCAGGCAGCACGCTGCACAACTACATGGATCAGTCGATCGCCTCGGCTACGCCCCCTCGCATCGTTGGCGACAGCACCGTCGCCTCGTCCAAAGATACATCCACATACTCCGGCGCCGAGGCCGATGCAGACGACGATTTCGACGACCTCGACACATTCACCTCGCCCTCGGCTCTGGCCAAGATGCGCATCCTCAGGCGCAAGAGGGACAAGCAGCGACGCAAGGGTGGCAGGGCTGAACGGACCTTGGCTGACCACCTCATCCGATCGGTATGGATGATGGTGTGTGTCGGAGCCATCGCTTGGACAATGTGGTACGCGCGCGAAACGCGAGCGCTCGGCTTTTGCGACACGAACTCCGACACCAATGCCATCGTGCAAGACCGACAGCTGACGGCACTTGCCTTCGCCCGCGCCAACAACGAGTCGGTGGAAGACACCACCATCCTTCCCGAACGCTTCCAGCCGAGCTGCACTCCTTGTCCGCCGCACGCCAGCTGTGCGCACGGGCAGGTGGTTGGCTGCTCGTCGGACGACTGGGTGCTGCAGCCCAACCTGCGTTCGCACGTGCCGCTGGCCAAGTGGGTGCTGCCGCTGCGCATGACGGCGCCGCGCTGCTATCCGGACACGCAGAAGCTCGTGCTGGCGTCGGAGCTGGCGCAGGCCGTGTCGCACATGCTCGCCGACTTCAAGGGCGAGATCGTGTGCGGCACGCAGAAGACGCATGCGACGGTCAAGAAGCTGCCCAAGAAGCTGGTGGCCGAGAACGGCAACCTGACCTATGCGATCGCCGAGCAGGCGGTGAAGCGCTCCATGTCCGCCACGCGCGATGCTCGCGTGGACGATGACTACTTTGAACAGATCTGGTACATGGCGCTCTTTGAGCTCACGGATCCGAGGAGCAACATTGTGCGCGTGCCTGTTTCGGCCGCTTCGCCATCGCAGGCTGCCGAGGAGGCGGACGAGCTGCAGACCGACTACTTCCTGGCGGCCAAGCAGCCCACGCTGACGCTGGCGTGTCGATCGCGGCTGGCGCTGCGGGGGTGGATGCTGCGCGCGCGGCTGTACGTCTTTGCTCTGCTGTCGGCAGTGCTCGGCTTGTCGTATCTGCGCTACCGCGTCAGCGCCGCACGCGCAGAGTCGGCCAAGGTGGCCACGCTCGTACAGGCCGCTCTCGAAAGGTTGCAGGAGCAGGAGTATCTGCATGGCCTCGACCCCGTGCTGTATCCGGACGACTTTGTGCCGCTCTCGCATCTGCGCGACCACATCCTGAGCGAAGAGCACCAGGCAAAGGCGCGCAACCGGCTCTGGAAAAAGGTGGCGCGTGTGGTCGAGGAGAACTCCAACGTACGCACGCGCCAGGCACAGAAGAAGGGCGAGTGGCTACGAGTCTGGCAGTGGGTAGGCGTCGAGGGCTTCAAGGGCTACTCTGGCACCCCCACCCTCACACCGCAACCAGTCGCCTGATCCACTTCCCTCTCCTCAAGCAAAAGATTCACATTCCCGATATTCACCCCCCGTCCTGTCGCATTCTACACACGCATGTATCTTAGGCACACTTTCAGCACACACACACCCGCGATGGCGATGACAAGCAATTCTTGAGATGCACTTTGCGAAATGTGACAGTTTGACTGATGAACGGTGGAGACTGAGATTGAGATGCTGCTTGAGTTGATTCAGATGTCGAGGTCGGCGAGGAAGCGACCAACGACTTCGAACGAGGCGATCATGACGCCGCAAGCCGGAGCGACTTTGGCAGTTCGGGGGCTGAGACCTTTCCATAGCCCTGCTGTTCCTTCGGTGGCGATGATGTGACGCATGGTGTTCCAGACGCCGCTCGTCGCTTGCTGATTGCCACGCAGACTCGCAGAGAGTCGACCGTCGGGCTGATTCGAGCCCTGCGTTTGGAGACGCGTCTTGACTACGTCAAACGGATGCGTAAGTAGCGCAGCAACCGAGCCGCTCACGGCGCCGGAGACAAACGCAACACCAAACTCCTCTCCGCTACCGGCGGCATTACCTTCGCCGAGTCCTCCGCCCGTGAGCGAGCGTTTGCCCGCCTCGTAACCCGCAAAGTAGATGGCACTGAACGGCACATCCCTCCACAGCGTCGGCGTTAGGCCACGCCACAGAATCAGCGGGCCTCCACCAGCACCGATCGAGGTGGTGCGCATCTCGACCCACAGCCCGCGCAGGATCGACGTGAGCGAAGCCTGCGAACGCGACGAAGCCTGCAGCCGCGTGCGGATCAGCTCAAGCGGCGTCACTAGCGTCGCTGAGATCGACCTTGCCAGTGCACCCGCGAGCAAGGATGCGTACAGCGATTGCGCCGTCACCGCCGACAGGCTCGGCGCCTTGCCCGCCAATCCGAGCTCCCGGCCCGTCGCCGCCGAGTCTTGCTGGAACGCCCTCTGCACACGCTCGCTGTCCTCGGACGCCAACAGCTTGCCGCGGAAGAAGTCGTAGCACGACATGTACGTCACCTGGCCCGGGACGGTCATCATGAGCGTTGGCGCGAGCCCGCGCCACAGACCGCGGATGCCCTCGGCCCTGCCCACCTTGATGACGCCATCCCACAAGCCCGTGAGACGCCCCTGCTCCGAGGCGGCCGCCTTGAGCTCACGTGCAGCCACAGTCTCGTTGGGAAACGCACACGCGCACGAAGACGAGCCGTTCGCCGTCACAGCCGATGGCGATGGATGCAGGTAGCCGCTGGGTGCAGGCGGTGGGGACGGAAGGATGCGCACGCTGGACCGAGGCGGTGCGGATGCTGAGAACGACGTCGTGTGTCGGCCGAAGCGTGAAGAGGTGCTGCGATGGGCGGGACGTTGTGTGGACGATGAGCTGGAAGGTGTGCGCGCTGAAAAGAATGCTGGTGACGATGAGCTGTGTGACAATGCTGCGGAGGTGGAAGCGGCTGACGAAGACGAAGCTTGACGCGGGTCGTAGCGGCACAGGATCGACTCTGGTTGTCGGTTGGATGTGAAGAAGGTCTGTTGGCAACACGTGGCCGGGTGTGCGTGGAATCCACCCGCAAGACGGGAAGCGTTGCCCTTGACCGGCGCTTTGCCCTTGTCGATGCTGGTGGCGTTCGTGAGAGTAGGAGCAGTGGCAAGATGCTGTGATGGGTAGAAAAGCGGCTCGGCACTGCTCTGCGTCTGCAGCCGAGTTTTGATCACGTCGAACGGCGTCATGAGGAAGCTGGTGGTGACTGCGCCCGTGACGGCCGCCACCGCCTTCTTGGTGCGCGAGACGGGCTTGCGCGGCGCCCCCTGCCCGAAGCTGGAACGTCGCTTGCCCAATTGTGGGCGCTCGAGCGAGGTTGACGCCATGGACGGGAACGCCTCTGGCTCGGCCAGGTCGGACCTCATTGCCGACGACGAGCTGCCTGCGCGAGAAGACGCCATGGTGGCCGTGTCCACGTCGAACGAGCTTGATGTGTCTAGGTGGAGGCGAAGAGCTCGACTATCAGGTTGGATGTATGGCTGCAATGATGGCACGCCTCTATGGTGATGCGAGTGTGGATGGCATGATCCGTCCGTCTTTGCGCCGAATGACTGGCTGAGAGAGTGACGTGTGGGAGGATGGATAGGGTAGGTGGTGGGTCGAAATGGGGAGGTCAGGTGGAGTCAGAAGAGACTCTCTCGCCTGACTGAGCGTTCCTGTATCAGATCGAAATTCCTTCCTCGCGCTGCCACTTCCAGCCCGACAGCAAGTTTCGGCCTTTTCGCTGTGTGGCAGGGAGTCCAACGTGGAAATCTCAAAATGGGCCGCCACTCGTGACCGATAAGTCCACATGACGCACTTGCGCAGTGCACCCACTGCGCAGCCCAGCCACAGAAGGGTCGGTCCAAACGACTCAGGGTCAGGTGCTGAGCTAAACGCATTTGGAATTGTTTTCCTGAGCGGGCTAACATACTCATTTCCAAAATCAACTTCGCCAAGGCCATCGCCCCGTGTCCGACTTCCGACTGGTTGTCGGCTTCTGCAGAGTGTATGCAGAATTGAGCAGCTGTGCGGTGAACAGCCGGTGAAGCCACGCACAGACAGGCAGGGTCCGTTGCGCCTGCTACTCGCATCGAACCACCACGCACTTTTAGGCTCTTTCCCGGCGCACTTCAACCTCGCATCTGCATTTGCTTGCACAGGACACGCTGTCCGATGCCACCAACATGTCGTCGGTGCCCGAGGATACTCGCTCGGTAGCAGCTCCTGCCTCGGATCCAATCTGGGACCACGCCGAGCACGAGGGCGGACACAACAGCTGGATCGATCCACCAAACGGCGAGGCCGGGCCTTCGACGCAGCCGATCACGCAGACACCATCCTTTGGGTCGAGACCGCCCGAGATCGCAGCGCTCGCTGCTTCCAGCCGAGGAGGCACCTCGTCGTTGCCCGCATCGCTCCCACGGCATCTCAGTACACAGTCACTCGGACGTGCGGGACTGCGGTCTGCGCGGACGAGTGCCGATTCATCGCGCCGGCCTCGGCTCGTGGATCGGGTCACATCGTCCAGATCCCTCTTCCTGCCTTCGATCGCTTACTCGGACCTGCACGACTCGGGAAGCAATGTTGATGGCGATGCCGAGTGGCGCAGCAGCGCCGTCGGGGCCACGCCTCTCGACCGCACAATGGATCGCATCGGTATGGGCCGCTACCAGTGGACCGTGCTCATCCTCTCCGGCCTCGGATGGGCGGCGGACAACATGTGGATCCAGGCCATCGCCATCATCCTGCCCCACATCCAGCGCTACTTTATCCTCTCGGACGGCATCGTCGGCCTGGCAAGCTCGTCGATCTTTGTCGGCATGTTCATCGGCTCCATCGCTTGGGGCACCATCTCGGACTCGTTCGGTCGCCGTGCCGCATTCAACATCACACTCGCCGTCGCCGCCGTCTTTGGAGGCCTCTCGGCGCTGGCGGGCTCCTTTCCGCTGCTCTGTCTTTTGCTCTTCGCCGTCGGCACGGGCGTGGGCGGCAGCATGCCCACCGACTCGAGCAATCTCGTGGAGAATTTGCCCGTGCGCAAGCACAGCTACGTGACTGCGCTCTCCATTTTCTTCTCGGCGGGATCAGTCGTGTCGTCGCTCATCGGTCTCGCAGTGCTCTCGGCGCACAACCCACAGGGCTGGCGATGGCTCCTCGGCTCGCTAGCCTTTGTCACCGTGCTCTTCGTCTCGGCAAGGGTGGTGTTCTTCCGGCTTCTCGAGTCGCCGAAGTATCTCGTTCATGCTGGCAGGCCGCAAGAGGCGAGGGACATTCTGCAAAAGATACACAAGTACAACGGCGGCGCTACCATCGCCCTGCGCATACAGGATGTCGACGATCATAGCCGGATAGATGTCCCAGGCAGCAGTACCGACCTCGAGCGCCGGCAGTCCAGCTCGGCCGCCTCTCAGTCCAAGGATGTGGTGCAGGAGGGCAATGACGAGCGATCAGACGGAACCGCAGACGGGCATCGTGGGTCGAGATGGACAGACGGAGCATCACACACGTATTCGAACGATGAAGAGGCAGATGGGGACGTCGACGGTCACGATCTGTCGTCGAGACCCCTGCTGGATCGCGCGGAAGACGATGGCGAAGAAGAGGGGAGGAAAGATTATCAAAACGCGAGTCGGATCGGGCGCGGCGCTGGAGCTTCTTCGTCGAGCGTGCGGTCTGTTCGCAGCCTCGAGCTGCCTGCCTCGCTCGCGTGGCTCCCCGAAAGCTGGCATCCGAGTGCGGCCGACTTGTCCTCGCGCTTCGCCGAGATGTTCTCGCCAGAGTGGAAGCGCACCACGCTGCTCATCTGGATCATCTGGGGCGGCATGTCCTACGGCTTCACCACCTTCAACGTGCTTCTCCCCAAGCTGCTCGAGCAACGCTACGATTCCCCCGACTCAGCCGCTGCTGCATTGGCGGGAAGCGCGCCCGACGATGCCTCCATCCGCAGAGCCATGCTCGACATCCTCGTCTACTCGCTCTCCTCGCTCCCCGGCAGTTTGATCGCCGCCTACATGGTCGAGACCCGTCTCGGCAGGATCGGCACCATGGTCATCTCCACGTGCATCATGGCCCTCTCGATGCTCCTCTTTTCCCTCACCTTTTGGCGCTCCAGCCTCACCGTCGTGTCCGTGTCGAGCTCCATCTCGTACGCCGTCATCTACGGATACACACCCGAGGTCATGGCTCCCACCATCCGCGGCACCGCGTGTGGCACCGCCTCGGCTATAAGCCGCGTGGCCGGTATCGTTGCACCGCTGCTCGCAGGCTGGGCCTACTCCATCGTGCCTGCGCTACCGCTCTTCATCGCTACTTCGGCCCTCGTCGTCGTCACCGCAGCCATGGCATTGCTGCCCATCGAAACCCGAGGTCGTGCTGTAGATCCGGCCCAGATCGCCCACTGATGGGAATCGGACATTCGAACATTCATTATCCTACTCAGTCGATGTGCACAAACAGAGCATTTTGGTGGTATTAATTCGATTGCATTGGGATCGCGACATCGGTGCGCTGTGTTAGGGGAACGACAGCGACGTCAGTGGCGAGTGCCTACATGAGCTTAGGCAGTGTTGTTGTTGCCCAGGCCGACGGCGTTCTTGGCCTTGTCGAGGATCGACTCGTCCGACTTGTCCGAGCCAGTGACCTTGTCGCCGAGCTTCTGCGAGTCCGACTTGGTCGAGTCGGGCTGGAGGGTGGCGGCGGCCTTGTCGAGGTTCTCCTTGGCCTTCTCGCCAACGCCCTTCTGCGAGTCGGGCTTAAGGGCCGAGGAGGCCTGCAGTGCAGAAAGACAGAGGGATCAAGAGAAGAGTGGTGGTGTCAGCGAATCTGTGGGCTAGGAAGCTGCGGTGGCGGGAGAGGAGAGCGAGCGTACCTTGTCGGTGAAGTCCTGTCGTCCAGCGTCAGACATGTTTGCAAAGATGTAAGATGGGTTGGTGGTTATGTGTAAAAGAGAGAGCGGGTGTGTGGTTGGAAAGGTAGAGGGCAGGGTGCGGACGGTCGGGTATATATGCTTTTCTGACACCGTCGATCGACAGGGCTGAGGGCCGGTGAAGCGGGGGTCGTAGACCCTGGTGAAGCTCAGTTGCTCGTGCGCCAGTCAGACTGAGGGCGGGCCTACATGGCACACCAAAAGCACGAGAGACTGAGCTTGCTTGCAAGCTGGGCCTTTCAGCGGACAACCCGGCGCTGCTTCGACGCCTCACGGACGAGCAGCACGGCATGTTGCGCCTCCTCTTTCGCCGAAAGGCGCCAAGCGGCGGAGGAGGAGGCAATGACGACATTCAAGGTGGCATCACTTGGCACAGGATGCTCATCATGGGGGACGTCCGATGCTGAGACAGGCACGGGCCAAGGAACACCAGGCTCGACCTCCACTGTCAAAGCGCTGAAAACGCGGACCCGTGACGTACGATCTGGCCGCAGTTGCGGGTGAATGCGCGGTCCATGCACCAGCTGTCATCGGCTTTTCCGCCATCGGAGCTTTTCCCATTTCCATTTCCATTTTGGATCCCACTCGAGCGGGGCCCGGAACTGGAGCTCGGCTGTGCCGCTGGGAAGTGGGGCTGCATATGCAGTGACAGTCACGACGGCTACTCAGCGTGGCAACATCGATCCTCAAGGTGCAGATGGCTCAGTCCAGACCTGTGAGAAAGCCACTCTTCTGCCTTCCCTCCTCCTGCTGTGCTGGCACACGGCGTCAACATGGCGGAGCCGACACGGGCTTGCGCCTCCTCTCACTGGGCACGGGACACCCGAGCTGTTGATCCAACACGCCCTCGTGTGATCCGCCAACTCTCACGCCATCCACACAGCATCGTCACCATCCGTCGGATTCTCCATCGTCGTAGAAAGCTTTGGCCTCTTCTGTTTCATAGGCCTATATTTGGACGCTGGTGCCAAAATTGGGATGCCATGCTTGCCGATCCATCATGCACCGGCAGAGTTCGGGCTGTCGATACCCATGCAAGTCGGTTTCCGCTCTCGGCGGAGGGCTAATTTTGGTAGCACGCACCGGACAAAGTAGCCGTCAGGCAACCCTTTCCGTGACCCTGGCTCGGCTCTGTTTCTCACGCGAGCCCAAATATGCAGGCCTGAGTCGCCCCGCATTTTTTTGAGCGGTACCCGTCGCATGCGAGCTCACGCTGAAATGACGCGTTCGTGCCTCAACCCTCCACTTGAGCATCATCGTGTGTGTCTTGCAGCGTGTCGTCATCTCGGGCGCCTTTGTGCAGTCGCACGCGAGAGGGCGCCGCCCTTCCGGAACCACAGACTACCGCCTCACCGCTGAGTCATTTTTAGTATGAGGCTCATCCCGCGACGGAATGGCGTTCGGAACATGCCAGACGCCGATCCGAAACGCCCCGTACGCTCGCCTGACCTGGCCTCGCGGGCAGAGACAGGTTGCTGAGTCAGGCAATCCCACTCAACGCGCAGTCAACGCCTCCACCCGACATCGTGAGCATCCGGCCGGGAGAAAGACGGCGCCTCCGACGCTTTCAGGCTCACGATACCAAACAGCGCAGCACAGCATCACGGTGGCGCAACATCAAGGCGAGAAGAGATTGAACAAAGCTAGATTCGATGGACGCAAGGATGCACGAAACATTTTGACGAGCGTGCTAGAGAATTGAAGACGATGATGAAAGCAGTGGAGGTGGGAAAGAAGAAAGTTGATCGAGGCACAAGAGAGGGCTTTTCGAACGACTGTGAAAGTCCTGGGTGGCGGCAGCGATCAGGAGTATCAGGCCTTGGTGGCCGTCTTTTCCTCCTGCAGGCGCTTCTTGGCCAGGCGACGCTCGAGGCCTCGCTGACCGCCCGAGATCCTGGCGAGCCAGGGCCAGCGGCCTCGGCGCGCGAGGGCCTTCCACGTCTCGACAATGGCGATGAAGGCGACCGTCATGGCGATGGCGATACCCCAACCGGCACCACCCATGGGGGCGTGTCGGAAGACGTCCGTGTTGAACTTGGGCACGTAAAGCGCGACGGGGATCGTCGCCACACCGAATACGACCGACCAGAGAAGCATGGGGTTCTTCCACAGGTGCTTGGCAGGCGACATGCTGAAGAACGACTTTTCCATGCTGATGAGCTCCCAGCAGATGAGCAAGAGCTGCAGCGTCAGCGCGGTGAACACGGCCGAACGCGCCTGGAAGATGGGCTCGCACGTCGCCGCCGACGAGTGGTTGCAATCGATCGCGATGTTGCCGCCGCCGATGGGGTAGATCATGAGCAGGAAGGCCACCAGACACGTGATGCCCATCGAGACACCGTAGACGAGCGTGTCGACGATAACCGCTCGGCTCAACACACCGGCACGCAGGTCGTGGGGCGGGCGTTCCATAATGTCGCTCTCGCCTGGCTCCAGACCCAGACCGATGGCAGGCAGCGAAGCGGTGACCATGTTGACCCACAGGATACCAACGGGCGCAAGAGGGAAGACCGACTCCTCGTCCGCGTCGCGCACGCCGAGACCGCAGAGCAGCAGCAGCACCTCGGCGACGTTGGCGACGAGCAGACCAATGAGGAAGCGCTGGATGTTGTCGAAGATCGCTCGGCCCTCGCGAATGCCCTTGACGATCGAGTCGAAGCGGTCGTCGGTCAGCACGAGGTCCGAGCTGTCCTTGGCCACGTCGGTACCCGTACCCATACCAATACCGACGGGCGCCTGCTTGAGCGAGGGAGCGTCATTGATACCGTCACCCGTCATGGCGAGGTAACGACCACGTCGCTTACCCGCGGCGATCATGCGCACCTTGGTGGCGGGCGAACAGCGAGCCACGACAAGCGGCAAGTCGGGCAGCGCATCAATCTCCGCGTCGGTCAGACCATCGAACTGCGCAGCGGTCATGACGGCCGCAGCACCTTCGGTGCCGTCTACGATGGCGACCTCGCGAGCGATAGCGTGGGCAGTGGCAGGGTGATCACCCGTAAGCATGTGGACGACAATACCAGCACGCTTGCACGCCTCGACGGCAGCGCGCGTCTCGGCACGCGGCGGGTCGTAGATACCGAGCAGGCCGATGAAGCGGAAGTCCTGCTCGGCAGCGGCACGCGAAAGGCCATTGCCAGTCTCGGTGTTGCCGTTGAGCTTCTTTTCGGTGGTGTTGATCGTTCCAGACTCGTCGGATTCGTCGTCTTGCGAAGCGGCACGGGTGCGAGCGTTTTCGTCCTTGTACTGCACGTCGTCCATGCTGCGTTCAGCAAAGGCAAGCACACGCAGACCCTGGGTAGCCATGCTCTCGACCTGGTCGAGGATGCTCTTGCGGGCAGCTTCGTCCATCTCCGAGCAGCAAGCGAGCACCTGCTCGACGGCACCCTTCATGAGGAAGAGGTGGTCGGGGGTGTCGATGACGGTGCGACGGTAGACACTGGTCATGCGCTTGAGCGTGCTGTCGAAGGGGAACTCTTGCTCGTGCGTGTAGCCGGGGCGGTCGCCATGGGTGAGCGAGTCACGCGACAGCTGAAGCTTGGTAGCAAAGACCTGCAGCGCGATCTCGGTGGGATCGCCACGCGCGGTCCAGGTGCCATCCTCGGCCTGTTCGATCTCGGCGATGTTGCAGAGCGAGGCGGCGGTAGCAAGCTGGCGAACGGCGTCGGGGATCTGATCATGCTCGACAGCGGTGGGCTCGGCATCCTTCTCGGATGCAGGGAGGAGTACGCGGCCCTTGGGTTCGAAGGCGGTAGCGCCCGACTGCTCGACGTGGTAGCCCTGTTGCTGACCCGAGGCGAACGACCAACCCTGGCGGACGACCATCTTACCCTGGGTGAGGGTGCCGGTCTTGTCACTGCAAATGTCGGTGACGCCACCAAGCGCCTCGAGGGCGTCGAGACGACGAACGACGACGTTGCTCTCGGCCATACGTTTGGCACCCACACTGAAGGTGATGGTGAGCACGGCAACGAGCGACTCGGGGATGACACCGATACCCAGGGCGATGGCGTAGAGGATGACCTCGTTGTTGATGTCGAACTCGGCGACACCAAACACGATGATGGCACAGATGATGGCGAGGAAGAGGAGCACATAGGCGAATTTGTTGAGCTTGATCTGGAGTGGCGTGCCCTCTCGGACGCCGAGGAAAGTGGCGGTGGCGTCCCAGGCTCGCTTGTACCAGGGTCGCTCTTCGTCGTCCTTGTTGCCCTTTTTGGCGAGAGCGGTGGCGATCTGGCCGATCTGGGTGTGCATACCAGTGGCGACGACGATACCGACGGCGCGACCCTTGGTGACGGTGGTGCCGGCGTAGGCGAGGTTGGTGCGGTCGGCAGGGCCAAGGTGAGGTCGGGTCAATGCGCCGGTGGTCTTGATGGCGGGGACGGATTCACCAGTGAGGGGGGCCTCATCGATCTCGAGGTTGCTGATGGTGACCAGTCGGACATCGGCGGGCACGAGGTCACCGGCGCGGAAGTGGACAATGTCGCCGGGCACGAGCTCGGTCGAGGGCAGCTGGCGGATGGTCGAGTCACGGAGCACGTTGGCGCTGGGCGACGAGAGCGTGCGCAGCGAGGCCATGGTGCGCTCAGCCTTGTACTCCTGGATGAAGCCGATGAGGACGTTGGTCACGATGACCGCAGTGACGACACCGCCCTCGACCCAATCCTTGACACCGAACGAGAGAGCCATGGCGGCGAGAAGGACGAGCGTGAGCGCGTTGGCCATCTGGCGGATGAGGATCGAGGTGGCACTGACGCGGTTGGTCTCCTTGAGCTGGTTGGGACCATGCTCGGCGAGGCGAGCAGCCGCCTGGTCTGCGGCAAGACCGGTGGTTGTGTTACTTTGAAACTGCGCAATCACCTCGTCGGGCTCTAGGGAATGCGGTTGATGCAGATCAACCGTTGCGGCAACGGTGGAGGATCGACTGCTGCGAGTCGACGAGGTGCTGTGCCGATCGCCGTCAAGCTGGAGGTCGACGACCGCAACGCGAGGCTCGTCGAGCTGAGCCTTTTCGCCGGCGACATGGTGAGGCTGAAGTTGGTGTTGTTGGTGAGAGTGGGGAGAAGGGTGGGGGGAGTAGCCACTACAAGGAGGCTCTTCAGCGTCGGAAGTGGCACGGGCTTGTTCGCCAGCGAGCACTGCGGGCTGTGCAGATCCTTGTGCAGGAGCAGAGTTGCAGCCATTGCCGTGAACCATCGGTTTGCGGTTGGGAGTAAAGTTGAACAGGGACTTTCGCTGAGAGCGCGATGCACACGATCTGGTGAGATCAGGGATAGGAAGTATCGACTTGGATGGCAGCTAGAATCACCAATTGGAATGCTCTTCGAGGAGGAGAAGCGTTCCAAGATGCTGTGGTCAGATTGAGATTCCGCTTAGATGGATGACTGGGGTGTGCCCGGGCTATATAGTAGATGGCCTGCTCGAAGCGGAGACTCGAGAAGTGCTTGTTCGCTCAGATGAACATGCTCACGAGACTGGAGCAGGCAGTATTCAGCACGGGATGCCGCTCAGCTACTGCACTCCTGTGGTGCACTGCGGTGAGCTGTGTCATGGCGGTGCAGCGCAATGCTGTGCTTTGCAGTCAAGTGAAGGTCGGCTGCGGAATGGCCAAGGCCGGGGGCCAAGACGCTTGCCCTGCAGGTAGGGTGAGCACGTTGCGCCCAAGTTGCCGCCGCCTGCATGGAAGCTGGACGGCCGTGAGGGAAGCTGAGCCGATCGCGAGCTGCGGCCCGGTGAAATGCTGTCGACTGAGCTGAGCCAGCCAGGCTGCCCGGAGTGTCCAACAGTGCCCCACACACGCAGCTCTGCTAGACTGCGGGGCTGGTGCCTAAAATAAGCACACCTACTGCTTCGACACGGCGGAACAGCCACGGGCCTCGACGCGCGCGCAAAATGACGAGCAAAGGCTTGGCATCTCTTGGCATTTGGCAACCGGGCCTCTGGGCCGACTTTCTGCCGTCAGCCTGTGGCATCGCTTGCACAACGCTCCATGTCGTGCCTATCTGCTGCTGCCCTCTTATCGCTGTTCCTACCCAGTCGGCCAACTACAGACATATCCGAGCAAAGCGCGATCGCAAGCATGCTGCCAAGTATTCCCACCGTGCTTGCTTCTCCATTTATGCGAGCAGGCTTGGAAGCGCTTGGCTGCGGCTTGGCTTCGGATGAAGGAGAGCCGGCGATATCGCACGGCAGGGCCCACAACTGCAACGTGGAGCGTTTCCTACCGGGCTTCGACCGGTCAAATCGCCATGAGTTCGTGGCGGTGTGTGGCTGTGAAGCCCATCAAATTTTGATCGGGTACCGATTCGGCCGATGCCACGATTCAAGTCTTGAGATCTGTTAAATTTACCGTTAATGGAAAACGCGTCTCGCGAAGTCGGGCGAGGGTGTTGGTCTGCGGGGGTGCATTTAGCGGTCTATCGAGCCGCAGGTGGAGGAAAGGAGGGCCCAAAATCTCGACGGGGTCCAGCGATGGCTGGCTTGGGCTGGCCTGTCCTGGAAGATGAACGCGAACTTGCTCTCGACTTCCATCTCATCCAACACCAGCGTACTTACAAGCTCTAGAGCCTCAAAAGGCATCCGACGCGTCCAATCTATAGAGGCTTCTGCAAGATGGCCGACGCAGAGCAGGACTATGAAGCGATCCGGCAAGAAAACATCCGCAAGAATGCCGAGCTGATGCTCAGTCTCGGACTGGATAGCGTAAGTCATGCCCACGTCAGCCAGCTCTCGACTGCACGCAAGTCTTCAGCCAGAATCATCAGCATGGCGCGTAGCTGACCTTGCCGACCTGTCTCCCTTCCAGGCCTCTACGCGACTTCGCTCGCCGTCACCCGAGAGAAAGGCGCCGGCGACCATGAGGCGAACCAATTCGACATCGACTCCCGGTGCTACCGGCCCGGGCTCAGCGCGCAAATCGTCGCGTATCGCCTCTGGCAGCCGTCCTCGATCATACCGCGAGAAGGACCTACTCTCGTCCTTCAAGAGGCCCGTGCAGAAGAGAGAGAAGAAGGTGCGCCAGGGCACACGCAAGAGCAGCCGTGCGTCCACCTCGTCAAGAACAAAGTACACCGACTGGAACTCGGACGAAGACGACGACTCGGACGCATACGTCCCACGGTGGCGCGGTGGCAGCGCTTCGGCTCAGCCAAATGGTCATGCGAATGCAGGCAGCGACGACGACGATAGCGATGCAGCGGACAGCAGCCGGGGCTCTCGCACCTTTGACCTTTCCGGACGGCCCATCCTCAACAAGCTTTCCAACCCATCCGCTCCACCACTGCCTTCAAGCGGAGGCGACGACATTTACGAAGAGAGGATGCCGCCACCCACACGCAAATCCGTGGCCAAGGGCAAAGGTCGTGGTGAATTGGTGTTTGAAGAAGAGTTCTCGTCGTTCACTCCAAACGTGACACCCGAAGAAATGCTCCGCGGGGGCGCATTTGGTGGCACCGCATTTCGGTAAGTCGTCAGAGATAATCAAATTGCCTTTACAGCTGGGAGAGACTGCTGACGATCTGCATGCGTTCAATCTTGTTGGTGTGCTGCGTGGACTGCATGCAGCGATTATTATTCGAGGGTGCTTCAAAAACCGATCGACGTCGAAGCCGAGCTCAAGGAGCTGCCGCAAGAGTGGCTCGCCGGGCTTGATGTTGACGACATGCTCAGGAGAGACGAGCTCGATCCTTCGCGGAACAAGTTCAAGGTCAAGGCTGGGCAATCACTCGAGGACTGGGAAAAGGCCGGCTGGATTCGGCCGCTCGATCCCCGCGGCTGGTTCCAGTGGTATTACCGCTTCTACCTGGGGCGCCGTTCTGCTGATGATGCGCGACAAATCGGGCGTTGGCTCAAGGCGTGCGGCCCGGGAGGACGCTTCCGCAAGTCACTCGCTGTCAACGTCGCAACCAAGGGGGGCGGTCGGTGGGATGATCCCACCGTCAATTCGGTCGTCAGACAGACACTGTGGCAGTGGGGTTACGAGCTGACAGAGAAGCACTATAACGAATACCTCAATAAGGTTTGAGGAGCACGCCTCTTCAATCGAACATCAGCGGTCTCCCTGGCCGGAGTTGCGGCGGCAGCACGTGGTCAGGTGGCAGATATCCGGCACATACCCGTACTCTCTCACGTCTCGCCAGAGCGTTTCTCGTCGATGAGCGCCACAGCCAACCATGCTTCTGTCACCTGCTTGCACTCTGCAGACAGCGTCTTCGTCGGATATGATCGTCGGATATGATGGGCAGCCGCGGAATTGGCGAGAGACACCCATGCATGAAGGCTTCTTGGAAGCCCGAGTGGGCCGAATTTGAAAGACTCGCAATCAGGCTGTACGAGCTGCGCCTGTATTCCGTAGGAATATGCATGGGAAGCGTGGCCTCAGTTTAAGGCGGGTGACCAGGCACTGGCGTGGCGTGACCTCGTACAAGGTTCGTGACATGGCAATCCCTCCGCCCTTCAATCTTGATATCGGTGCTTCTCCTCGTGACAGTGAAAGCTACGAACGGCTGCGACTCGCCATCAAGGTGAAAAGCGGGCGGCATCGCCAGGTGTTGCATTGGATTGCCGTCGCGTAAGCCGTGATGGAATTTCCCGTAGCCTCCGCTCCGAGGCTCGACCGTGCCGAATTTCCTCCACAATCGCGCGCTGCTTTGCGACGGGAACATGTGCATTCACGACAGCCATTGTTGAGGCGGAAAATCGTTCCTGCGAGGCAGGGGCGGTTGTCCACAGCGCTTCGCCGCCGGAAGATGGCACAACTCGAATGATGTTGGCCTCTCCTGCCGGTCAATGCCTAAGGAATTCACACGGCGCGCCGCAAAGGCCTCGTCCTGCTGCCGCAATGACTGACGAGACGAAGGGCTCTGACCGGGCTGGCTCGCCTGCAATCGGCGTCTCAAGGGTCCGCGTCCGCAGCGCTTAGGCCTCAGATGCAGGCCCCTGCCCTCGTATGATTGCTAATCGAACTGGACTGGACCTGGACGTCCCAGCGCCGTCGATGGTGCCTCGGCTGCCACAAAGATTGACCTGCCGAAGAGCCCACACCGCTCCCCTTGTCCTTCCGTCCTCCCACACCATCATCATACGTGCCCCGACCCTTTCGAGCTCCTTCGCTGCATACATCTCGGCAACTGTTTCGTCCAAGATGTCGACTGCCGTGACGGATCGCGTGCTCGGCTGGGCCAGCTCGTATCCGATTTCGACCGCTGTACTCGGCTTGGTCATTGCGGCTGTCGTCTATCTCAGTGTCAAGTTCGCCAGCACAGGTCCGTCGGTATGGGCCAACTTGCCTGGTCCGGAGAGGTCCTCGTTCCTTCTGGGCTACTCGCGCGATAACAAGAAGAAGTTCGGTGTCAAGGATGCCAACGCACCGGACCGCGAGCCGATTCTGGGTGACGATGGCGACGACATCACCGAGACGCCCGGTGTGGCGACCTACCGGCTGTTCGAGGAGCACAACACCGACCACCTCGTATTCCCGCGTCCGCTCGGTGGCGAGCTGCTCATCACGCGCGACGCCGCCACCATGAACGCCGTGCTCAACGACAGCTACAACTACACGCGCAGCAGCGCCGGCACCAAAGCTACACGCTTGATCATTGGCGACGGCGTCGTCGCTGTATTTGGCGACGAACACAAGAAGCAAAGGAAGATGCTCGCACCGGCCTTCAGTGTTGACTCGCTCAAGGGGCTCATGCCGATCTTTACGCATGCGACCAACCAGATGATGGATCGCTTCGAAAAGGACACGTCGCTCGAAAAGCGCTGGGGCGCCGACGTCCGCGATGGCGTCAAGTGGTTCGGCCGTGTGACGCTCGACATCATCGGCCGCGCGGGCTTCGACTACGACTTTGGTGCCGTCGAGCAAGGGCCCAACGGCCTTGCTGTTCGTTCGACCTTCCATGCGGCCATGACATCGACGATGAACGTGTCGCCCCTCGACGCCATCGTCGGCGCCTTCATGTTCTTTGTCGTGCCCTCGCTGCTTTACATCCTGCCGCTCACAGACAACGTTCGCAAGCTGCGCGAGATGCGCTCGGAGCTCATCAAGGTGTCGCAAAAGATCGTCGCCGCCAAGGCCAAGCAGATCCGCAAGGAGCTCGCGGCGGGCGTGGACGCCAAGGAGACGTTTGCGGGCAAAAAGGACATCTTGCACTTGCTCATGCGCGCCAACATGTCGCCCGAGATCCGCGAGGAAGATCGTCTGTCGGACAGCATCCTCGCCGGTCAGATCGTGACGTTCATCTTTGCCGGACACGAGACGACAGCCACGACGCTGAGCTGGTGCACCTACTTCCTGGCGCTCAACCCGACATACCAGCAAGAGCTGCGCAACCACATCCAATCCACGCTGCGTGCGCTCGGCAAGGATGCCGATATGATTGACGAGCTCAGCTGGGCCGACCTCAACGGCGACGAGATGCGTCCGCTCGACCACTGCATCCAGGAGACGCTGCGTCTGCGTCCGCCCGTCGTCACCACGTTCCGCTACACGACCAAGGAGGACCAGCTGCCCGTCACCAGACCCTTCAAGACCAAGGACGGTCGCACGCTCAGCTCGATCCCCGTCTCGCCCGGCAAAGAGATCGCCATCTCGGTCACGAGCAACAATCTGGACCCCAAGTACTTTGGTCCGGACACGCACCTTTTCAAGCCGGACCGCTGGAACAACCTGCCCGAACTGCACGCCAAGTCGAAGCTGCCTTCGCCGTACGGCTCGTTTGTCTTCAACGGCGGACCCAAGGTGTGCATCGGCAACAAGTTCGCCATGACCGAGATGAAGATCATCCTCGTGCGCGTGCTCGCCAAGTACCGCATCGAGCCTGTCGAGGGTCTCAAGTACAAGAGCATCGAGGCGGTGGTTCAGCGTCCTGCCGTGATCGGATTCGAGAAGGAAGGAAGCCAGCTGCCGCTCCGCTTCGTCAATGACCCTCTTTGATTTATGTCTGCAACCCCCTTAGATTGCTTCCTTTGGATAAGGTTTGGAATTGCAACTCTCCGCACTCGCATCAGTCAGTCGGATCGCAATTGCATCAGTCAGTCCGTGTCAGGTAGATCGGATGTTCCAAAAGTGCTCCGGGAGAGCGGGAGGGGGATTAATTGTACAAGAGTCTAAGGGAAAAAGGGGGAGGGGTCCATGCAGGCGTGATTGTACGCCGAGATCAGGGAGCCGACTTGGTGAGATCGAGGTCCTTGAGCTGAGCCTGGGCGATGTCGTAGCAAAGGCCGTGCACCTGGACCTTGTTCATGACCTTGCCGCTGAGCGGCGAGGTGACGCCCTTCCAGTTGTCCTGGATGATGTTGGTCGACACAATGTTCTCCACCTGCAGCTTGACCGACTCGTAAATGACCTTGTCCGCAAGCTCGGCTCCCTGGAGCTCCGGGTTGGCCTCGGTGACCTTCTTGGCGACCTGGGTGAGGGGTACGAGGTGACGCAGCAATGCGCTGGACTCGAGCGCGTCCTTGGAAGGTGGGGCGCTAGCGCCAGCAATGGCGGCAAGGACACCTCCGCACGAGGTGTGGCCGACCACAACCACGTGCTCGATGCCGAGCGCCTGCACTGCAAACGTGAGCACGCTGAGCGCGTTGTCGTCGTCGAGACGGAACTGGTTGGCGATGTTGCGCGTGACAAAGATGTCTCCTGGGTTGGCGTCGCAGACTACCGACTCGGGCACACGCGAGTCCGCACAGCCGATCCACAGGATCTTGGGCGTCTGCGTCTGTGCGAGCTGCTTGGCGAGCTCGGGCTTGGTCGCCGCGAAGTTGGCACTCCACGACTGGTTCTTCTGCAAAAGATCGCTGACCTGGAACATGTTGTTAGCTGGTCGGGTGGTGGAGAGTTGACGAGTAGTGGTGGTGGTGGGAGAAGCGCAGGGGACACGGGAGGAAGAAGCAAAGGTCCGGACGGAGAGACGAGAGCCGTGACGAGGTGCCAGGCTAGAGAGCGAAGATCGAGGGATCAACGTGTACATCCAAACGTTGCCTAGAACCGAGGCGGTGCGAGGGGCAGAAGAGAAGATAACGGATAAGAAGATTGTGGTTGAAAGGAAAGCGATTACAAATGCCGAGCAATGGTGGGTGCGTTCGAGGCGGACGTGATTCTCGGTGGGAATGGCGGGACGATGTTGGGTTTGTGAGCCAGGCTTGGTTCTATGCGCAGGAGCGATGTCGTCTGGGCTCCTGACTCGAGTCAGGTTGTGCGTCTGCGCAGCCGCCTTTCATGTCGGATCTGCAGGCCAAGTGGAGAAGAGTGCAAGGGGTGGGCTGGAAGAAAACCGGCTCGTGCGTTGCCGAGGAGCCAAGACACATTTCCCCCTGGCTTGCCTGCAAGATGGCAACAAAGACCGTGCGGGATTTGGCTATCAAAAATTTCCAGTCAGCTCAAGCCTCAGGCACATGGTTGGGCTCGAGATCCGCCCTTCCGATCCCCAAAAAAGATCGAACGTCGCAAAGCCGACCCGACCAACAGAAAAGAAGAAAAACGCAACCCAAACTCGAGTCTTTGAAAAAGGCCTGCGTTTAATTCTTCCAAATGCCGGCATCTGCTGCAACCTCGCTCTGCTGCTGGATCAGCATCGGCCAATAGCGACCGAACTCAATCGGCATCAAAATCAGCACCCACATGCACACTTTTTTGGGCGTGCTGTGCTCTGTAGAGGCTGAGCTTGAATAGCTCGAGGCCCGATCTCCATCCAATCTTTTCATTTTGGCCCGCACCATCACACCATGCTTCCCCGCCCAACCTGACAGCCGCTATGTCCGGGATGCCCGGTCGCCGCTTGCGACCTGACTCACGGCACATCCGAGCCAACAAGCTCCTCGAGTCAGACAGTTAGACCAACTAACAAAGCAGTGTTTGGAAGAAAAGCCACGACAAATGTATTGTTCATGATGCAATGGGGCGGGTGCAGAGGGAAGGAAAAGCAGAAACCAGAGAGCAAAGACAGCAGCTGATGCCGAAGCTAGACCGACTAGCTGCCGCCGCGAGGCAGGTTGAAGTCGAGCAGTGGCTGGCTGTGGCGACGCTGCGATCGGTCGCCAGCTCCTTGGCTCAATCGTCGCCTGTCGGTCTCGCTCAAGCGCTTACGCTGCTGTGCGGCCTGAGCAGGGAACGGATTGGCCGTCGATCGCTCGAGTCCAGCATTGGGCTGCGGCGAAGTCGGACGAGTGCTGCTCGGCGTAGGAGGATTCGAGGGCCTCGCCGCCCGGGGGTCCAGCTGATCCATCCCAGAGACCGACTTGCGCCATTCGGCAGCCCGGCTCATGCCCGCCGAGTCACGGCTCTCTTCGCCGACAGCCTCGAGCAGTGTCGCGCTTAGCGCGCGGGACCGCCGACGTTCGTCGCGCGAGCTACCAGAGACAGGCCTCTGCATGTCGGGAGAACCGATTCGGCTATGGGAAGGCGAGACGAGCCCGTCGCCAGCCGCTGCTGCCGCTGCATGCTTGTGAGCTTCACGTTCTTGCATGCGCCTCCTCTCCAACTTCTGCTTTCGCTCCCAGTCCTCCTTGGCCCTGCGCAGAGCATCGGCTTCGTGCACCGTCTGGGTAGCAGGCGCCTGCAGCGCAGCCAGCTTGGCACGATGGCGCGCCTCCAGTTCTTCAATCGACATGGCGCGGACTCGCGGCTGCGAATCGGCACTGGCAGCGCCCTTGTGCGCAGAGCCGCCTTGTCCCGTGGCGCCGGGGTTGGTCCACGGCACCATCGGCTGATCACTGCGACGCTTCGCGAGAGACTGGCGAGCTTGCATGACCGCATTGCTCTGGCCACCGCTGATCATCTTGGAGGCGGAGATGGAAGGAGCATACGTGGGCGACGCCAGAGGACTCTGTCGCTGCATCTCTGCAGTGTAGCGTTCTGCATGCGCGTCCGCGTACAGAGCTGCCGTATGAAGCTGCAGCTGGCCCTGATGGGAATGACTCTTGGCCATTGGAGTCATGCTTGCCAACCCGGGCCCACTTGGTGCGCTTGGGTTTGAGAAGGTGCGTTCGTGTGAAACCGCTGCAGATGCTGCCGTCAGGCCGATTTGAGGTCCGGACGTCGCGCTCGCGCTGCGTTTCGGCTGAGCCGATGGAAGGAACCGAGCGGCATCTTCTGCGAAAGTAGAGCTTGTGGTGCTCATTGTCCTGTTCGAGTCGACTGTCGGGCGGCCTGTGCTGTTTTCGAGATCCAGTCTGGGCGGCGCAGGGTCCAGGAAGCTGGCATTGTTTTCCATCAAAGCAGCCGTTGAGGCTGATCGTCTGCGGAACGAGTCAGGTCCTCCAGCGGAATCAGGCGACGTGGCGCGCGCCATGTCGAGCGACTTCGGCGGCTGTGGAGTGTATGCGCCCGGTCGCGGAGCGCTGCTCATCGGACTCATGGCGAAGCTTTCAGCAGGTGGTTGCATGTCACCAAGAGGAGTGCCGATGGTGCTCAGGTCGAGCTGCAGAGGGCCTTCGGGCTCCACGCGTTCGGGCCCTCTCTGGATGTACTCGAGGAACTGCGAGCTACGACGACCGGCCGATTGGGCGGGGAAGGGGAAGGCCGCATTGTCGAGTGTGCTCGAGGCGCCCGGAGAGTCGGCGAGCTTTTCAGCATGCGAGGTCGGTGTGGCCAGCTGAGTGTTGTCGGTGTTGGAGCGGAAGAGAGTCATGAAGGAGCTCGTGCGGCTGCGGGCGTCCTTGAGATCAGGCGTCGAGGCGGCGGGAAGTGCCATCTCTTCGTCCCTCGAAGCTGGGTTGCCGGTGGCGGTCTTCTTGTATCCGTGACGAGCTTCCCACTCGGCCAGGTCGCGCTTGGCCGTTCGAGCGACGGCACGCGCTGCACGCTCGGCCTTGGAACGCAGGTTGCGCTTCTCGTCGGAACGCTTGAGCACGGCGAGCTGGGTGCGAAGATCGGACCAGAGGCGCATCTGGAATGCGAAGCCCATGAGGACGAGCGCGCCCAAGACACCGAGCTCGATCTGCATGCCTTGCACCATGGGAAAGTGACCATTCTGGAAGACGGGCGGGTACTTGTTGCTGAAGAGTGCATCGAAGCCGAGGTTGCGCACGTAGAATTCCTTGAGACCTTGGGTGGAGAAGCAGTCGATGCCGAGCGTCACGGCGGTGGCACCGATAATGGCGGTCGCCAGCGCAAGCATGAGCGGGTGGACTCGCTCTATGCAGCTAACCGTGAAGAAGAGGGCATAGAGGCCAATGTAGAGGATGAAGCGGAGGCCGATGGGGCGGATTAGTCCACCTGGGCGAACGGCTTGGATGAAGAGGCCGAAAAAGAAGCCGCCGAGGCCACAGGCGAGTAGACCGGCGCCGCGCCAAAACACGATGGAAATGATGCCACCGACTGCACCAGCAATGACGGCAGCTACGAGGAAGAGGCCACGAATCGCCTTGGACGGAGGGTTGATGGCAGGCTCGACGCCGACTTTGAGGATGATAGAGATGCAGATGAGCGCAAGGGCAAAGAAGCCGGACAGGAAGTAGCTCGACCATCGGTTGCGGTGGCCGTAAAAGCCCATGGGAAGACCGGCGCCGATGAGGATGACGCCAAGGACACCAAAGGCGGGGTCGATGATGGTGTCAAGTGGTAGTGAGGTGTTTGTAGCCTTGACGGAGGCGGGCGAGGTGGCGCTAGCGGCCGAGGATGTTGTGGACGTGGCGTTCTGGGACACAGGCACCACGGTGGAGACGGGAATGTACCAGACACTCCCGTTTGAGGACGCTGAAGCGGTGAGACTGGTAGGCAATGACTGACCGCTGCTGAGCGTGGTGGTGATGGTGGACAAGACGGTGGTATTGGCTGGCGTCGACGATGCGGGAGCCGTGGGCGCAGGCGTTGGAGAGCTTCCCGGAACGCTTGATGTCGAGGACGCTTGTTGTGCTCGGGATGCCGGAAGCGAGACCAGAGCGAGCGCGACGGCCACGCTGGCGAAGGAAGTGAAACGCATCTTGAGAACCGCTGCCGCTTGATTTGACCTTGACCGAAGTCTATAGAACGCGGAGAGAGAAGGCGGAGGACGGGACGAGGAGGGGCGGCCTAGGACGTAGGCCCGGGTCTGCGGCGAGCACGCTATGTGTTCGAGGTCGTGATTAGCAGCCAAAGTCCATCTTGCGGCCGAAGGATGGAAGGGGGAAGTGGTGGAGGCGGAAGGATGGGGTCGGATCTGGACGCTTGAGCGAGGAAGAGGAGGTCTTTGCCGTGAGCGATTCTTTGGGCTCTCGCTCCGGCACTACGGTAGGCGTCCTCCTGACAGCGGAATCGTATCCGATCTGGGCTTAGCTGAGAGGCGCAAGTCGACGAGGCGTTGGGAGATCCTTGTCGAGATCAGAAGGGCTGTGAAAGATGAGCAAGGCCGGGGTCCCTGTGTTGGTCCCGGGCTGGCTGGGCGGCGGCGAGGCGGCACGGCTGTGTAGCGGCGGACGGTCCAGCCGAAGAAGCTTTGCGCGCAAAGTCGAGCGGGGCGAGGTTTGAGCAGGTGGACCCAGAGGAAGCGAGGCCAAGCGATGCGGTCCAGGGATCGCAGTAGCGTCGGACTTGACAGGCGGAAATGGAGGCAGCGCACTCTCTAGCCGAGCCAACCTGCCAAGGAGTGTCGAAGGATGAGGAAAAGCGCTTCGGGACCAATGAGTGGCGCGTTCTGCGTCTTCTGTGCGAGCTCAGAGGGAGAAAGCGGGAGACAGAGAGAGAGAGAGGAGAGGACGGGGCGGCGCAGCAGGTTCCAGCCCTCGGCGCGGAAAATCGCTCACAATTTAAATTTCCGCCTATCCGGCCGTCATCGTGCCCATCGACACGTAGCCGTCTAACCGGTGAGTCTACTGTACGTTGTTGAACGTCTATGAAATGGGATCACCTCGCATGTAGCGCAACGCTGTGTGTTGTCTCACACATGTCTTGCAGCACGGCGGATTGAAGTCAGGAGCCTTCGCAGCACGGCAAAGAGGGGCCGTTTGCAGCTGTGGGTCGACGCCACGCTGCGGTGTGATGGTGCAGAGTCGGTCGAGATTCGTTGTTGGGTTCCGAGAATTGGAACTTGAATTGCTTGAGCATCACGTTGTTTGTCCTGCGATGCAGGCTAGAGTGATTGTACAGTCTGCCGGGCTGGGCTGGGCTCCATGCGCTGCACTGTCTCTCTACCCGCTGAAGTTTCGAAGTCTCCGGAGGGCCGTGGTCAAGGGTTCAATTGCGTGGTCGGTTCAGCCAGCCAATCACAAAAGCATCTGGTGCCGTGGCGCTCCATCTTGTTCACAGCTCCGCTCTCTTCGACCACACTTTCGTGCTTTCGTAGTTTGTGCTGACTTGATGGCAAACTTCACATTCCATGGTTGCGCTATTCCGCACCAATGGAAGTGCCATCAATAAAGGCGTCGAGGCCAGCATCAAAGCCACCTCATTTTTTCAGGGTCTACCAAGGTGTCAAACTGCGACTCGCTTAGCTTGCCGCGCGCACAGGCCGGGGCGCAGTGAGACCATGTGGATCGTGGAGATCGAATTGAGACGAGAAATAGAAGAAGGCTCCAGCAGGCGGTGTTCGGATGAGGCGCCCAAAAAAAGCCACGAAAACGAAAATCGACATCCGAAAAGAAAAAGTTAAAACGCCAGGCTCGCAACTCCACCCTGCAGTCGGACTGTGCGTGCCTGCACGACCAAGGTCACCCTGCAGCTGATAGAGTCGATTCGGTGGTTCAAGAAGCTCTTTCGAGAAAAGGCGGCATGGTGTGGCGGCATGTTTTGATCAGGCGTGGGTGTGAGTTAGACTACGTTTGCATCTCTCCCCGCAACATCTCATCATCAGCCTGTGGCTCGCTTGGCTCCAGCACACGGGCTTGCATCATGCGAAGTGCAAAAGTCGGGATCAAGCCGAATCACCGCTGTGCTGCAGCAGTGAGACTGCCCTCGATATGCAGTGCCGAACGTGCTCGTCGTTACGTTTGCCACAGTTTTGCGCCTTGGATCTACAGTATACAGGTGCCGTGAATGCCAGCACACGCCTCGAGTGCTGCCGAACTGTTGCCCCCCACAGCCCCGTCACATGCACACATCCTTCGTTTGCATCTTTCGGGAGCGTCGAGGGCGGGGTGCTGGCACGCCATGTGACCACTTCTTATGTGAACAGCATTTGCACGTCCATAGTGTCAATCACTCCGCACGGACTTGCCTCTCCGACCACAGGCTTGGCCTCCTATTCTTGCCTGCTGCGAGCGTCTCTGGAGGCCTTGAGGAAGAAGGAAGCGTAAGTCGGAGACTTTCGATGAGCGAAGCTGTCAGGTGTGTTGTTTATTGGTACCTCAATTCGAGCAGCCTTTTTCCGCGCCCCGCATTAGCTTTTCCGACAGCCGCCTTGGGACTGCGTTTCCGTTCTCAGAGCCTGCCGCAGACTCAAGCTCGCTTTAGGAAGAACCAGCAGTTGAGAGTCTTCACCACCCGTGCTCTGTCCCGAGACCGACTCGAGCATGTGGAGAGGTCCGCATGAGACAATGCGCATCCAAGCTGGAGCATGTCTACTGTACGCAGGCTTTGGAGGCGGCGCCGAGCGGAGAAGGGCAAGTCGAAATACCGCGGCGCAAAAATGGTGCGCTTGCCGACGTAACATCCTAAAATGATTTCCCTTTGTGCGGGATGCCGCGCTTTACGATTGCTGACCGTGGAATTTCCAAAGATCGCGTCGCCATGCCCAGTCAAAGGGGCGGTGCATCTCAGAGGCGGACATCGTCCGTACAGCTCCACGAAGATTTCGAAGAAATCCACTCAGACAGCAGCTGCTGAGCTGGACCCGCGAGCGGCAGACAGACACGCGCCAGCTTGAAAACTGTGACTGCTCAACCGCTCGATCAGCATCCGCACGCACACTCAAGCCTCGCCGCGCCGCACCGTGGCGGTTTTGCAGTTTGTACGTCGACCGTGCCGCCTCGACCTTTCCTTCTCTACATCCTCGACACCATCTCGACCGGGATCGCCACACATATACACCGACATGTCTGTAGCAGCCGCCGCCGCCCGAGCGGTGCCAGCCGCCGCTCCTGCCGCTGCTCCCGCACCTCAGGCTGCCGCCAAGCCCGTCTCCAGCGAGGCCCAGGCCGAGCTGGACCGTGCCGCCCTCGAGGCGCTCGAGCTCGACTCCGATGTCATCACCTCCGTCCGACTTGATGGCCTCGCTCTCACCAAGATCGTGAAGCACTGCCGCGATGCACACCCCGCCTCCGCCTCCGGCGCCCTCCTTGGCATGGACCTTGGCGGAACGCTCGAGGTCTCCAACGCCTTTGCTCTGCCCAACCCCGGCCGTGGAGGTGCCGAGCGCGACGAGGAGGACGACCGCAGCAGCCGCAACGCCACCAAATATACCACCGACATGGTCCAGCTTCTCCGCGATGTCAATGCCGACGCCAACCCCGTGGGTCTCTACCAGGGCTGCTTCCTCGGCGCTTTCCTCAACTCGTCGGTCGTCGATGGCCTCGCTGCCATCGCCGGCCTGATGGAGCGCGACGGTGCCAGCGGCCGAGGCAAGGGCGTCCTCATCGTCCACGACCTTGCCCAGTCTGCCCAGGGCAACACCGCGGTGAAGGCGTACCGCCTCTCGCCTTCGTTCGTCGAGGCTCACAAGAAGGGCAAGTTCCACACCCAGAGCCTCATCGACCACAAGCTCACCTTTGCCAACATCCTCGTCGAGATCCCCGTCTCGCTCCGAAACACCGCTCTCCTCGACGCATTCCTCAGCAGCATCTCCACACCAAGCGCACCGGGCCCTTCCATCGTGCAGCCCAGCACCTCGGACCTGCTGCGCAACCCACCCACCGCCGCGCTCGCTCCTTCGTATACCTCGCTCAACCTCGCATTGGAGCCCGTGCTCGCCTCGTCGCTCGAGGCGACGCTCGAGATCATGGACGAGCACGCCGCCGAGGCCGGCAACGTCGGCTTCCAGGCGCGCCAGCTCGCCCGTGAGAAGGCCAAGGCCGACGCCTACCTCACCCGAAAGAAGGCCGAGAACGCTGCACGCGAAGCGCAGGGTCTGGCGCCTCTTCCCATCGAGGACGTCAACCGTCTGTTCAAGATCCCCGCCGAGCCCTCGCGCCTCGAGGCGACGCTGCTGCTCGGCCAGATCGACAGCTCCGCGAAACGCCTCGCCGAGACTGCAGCCCTCGGCGTCATTCAGCTCAACGCCGCCAAGACTGGTGCTGTGTAAAAGTAGCTCGTGCTGCAAGTTTACGGACTAGACCAAAATCGTGTGCTTGTGCGTGAGCGTGCGTGCTCAGCCTTCGACATTCACCAATTGCCGTCGTCTCAGAGCCGTTCGAGCACGTACGACACACCTTGTCGACGCGTTCGGCTCGGTCGGCAGCCAACAGGCCCGGCCACGTCAATGTATCGCAACCCTTTCTCTCGCCGTCACGGCGGCTTCGTGCAACCCCTTGTAGTTATACTCATCCGGCAACTCTTCTGCATAGTGATATTCCCACCTCCGCTCGGACGGACCTCGCCGTGTAGGATGCTCATCTTGGCGCGCATGTGCATCCCATTACATTCGTGCATACCCCAGCTTGTTCAGAGGACGAAGAAGGGTCCGGCAGCTTGAGCTGGAAATCCGGACGAAGTGTTAGGGTGCGGCTTGCTGACAAATAAAAAGCAGTCTTTTGCGTGGATTTGGTGCGAGACTGGCATTCGTACGAGCAGGCGCCCGCCAAAATTCGAAATACAGTTCTACACGTGACCAAAATCGAACAACGGTGGACACGGATCCGAAGCGCTCTTCAAGAATCGAGGCTTCGCTCTGCTTTCCACAGGCGGGGGAGACGCTCGAAGCCTTGCCTTCGCAGGCGCAGCCGGGCACGGGACGAGGCAGAGTGCAAGTTCGAAGCTTGCCGTGGCTGAGGGCAAGCAGCCAAGCTGCGGGTCGGGGCGGCCAGGTGCGCCGTCTGAGTATCGCAACATCCTCCCTCTCCTGCATCTTCCGCGATACCATCACCTCAAGATCGATATCTAAAGTAAGTGTTCAGTGCATCTACCAGCATCATCCGCATCTCTACGACGACTCGACAAAGCATCGGCAGGGTACGTTGGACGCAGCATTTGGACGTCAGCAATCTGGGCACGAGAATCGAACCGTGGCGGGTCATTGGAGTGGTGCGAGCAATTCGCATCGCAGTCATAGAACACACCGACACCAACGATTGAGGACGACACTCTCTACCATTTAAACTCCAGCACGTACAACGGACATCACCATTCATCGCATCACCAACTTGATCCAGTAAGACGTAAGCGTCTCGTAGCCAAACGGCGACCACCCGAAATCATCCTGCCCCGAGATCGTCGACCGCCTCCAGCATCTGCATGCCTACTATACTGTCCCCCTTCAGTTCCGCTGCGCTGAGGCCGGCACGCACCATGGTCCATCACTCCATCGGTCCGACACCTTGCAGCAGCGGTACGGCAGTCGGGGCGCATCTTTCATCACCTCGACATTCCACCTTATGGCTGCTTGAATCAAGATCGCAGGGTCGATATCACACTCGCGACGGGAACAGCAGCACAGGATTGGATGGCGTTGAAGAGGTCGATGGGTGGAGCCCGAGCTTCGTGATCTCAGGACCTACTGTGACCGTGGGCATTGGCCCTCGTCTATCCTCTTCGGACTCGCACGTCTTCTAGCATCCCGACACAGATCAGCACCGACAGAACCGACCCGATCGACCTTTGATACAAACAGAGATGCGGATGCGGATCGCTGGTAGCGAGCGATACACCGCAGCTTGCGCACAGCCGACTCGAGCTACGTTGCTGACCATTCCGACTTTCACGCCTCCGTTGCATCGTTCTCCTGATACTCACAGATGGCGGACACCAAGCAGACTCAGAAGGGCAGGAAGACCCGCTCGGCTCTCAACGATGTTGTGACCCGCGAGTACACCGTCAACCTGCACAAGCGCGTCCACGACACCGCCTTCAAGAAGCGCGCTCCCCGCGCCATCAAGGAGGTCGTCGCCTTCGCCCAGAAGGCCATGGGCACCCAGGACGTCCGTCTCGACCCCAAGCTCAACCAGGAGGTCTGGAAGTACGGTGTCAAGAACTTCCCCCGCCGCCTGCGTGTGCGCCTCGAGCGCAAGCGTAACGACGACGAGGGCGCCAAGGAGAAGCTCTACACCTACGCCATGCCCGTCCTCGGCCTCGGCACCTGCAAGGGCCTCCAGACCACCGTCATCGACCAGGAGTAAATCATACTCTCTCTCGGTCGTGTCTCTTGGTCTCGCAATTGCATCTTCTCCCACCTCCTCTCCACCTCTTACGTCTAGGATCTATCCAGCATCACAGTGCCACGGTCTCGCAGTCAGGGCCGTCGTCTCGCTTTTTTCACACTGCTGCATCCGCTGTCGAGGCAACGCTGCGAGCTTGCGTTGTTCTCCTCGCCAGTCCCATCCGTTCCCGATACTGGGGCGATGATCTATTTAGGTCTCGCTTCATCCTGTACCTCTACAAAAAGCAAAGCTCTACCACCAAAACAAGTCTGTTTACGCCAGCACGTCGTGTGCGACCGACCGCCAGTGTGATGTCGATGCGCACTGTGTCAGCGCAGTTGTTCGGCATTGAAGGAGCATTTCCGTGGGCTGAGACGGGCGCTTTCGAGCGCAGCACGTTCGCGAGAGACTGTGAAACGCCAGTGCAACCTTCAATGAGTCGGCCACAAATGGCTCACTTCTGGTCGCAGTCAAAGAAAGCATGCGTATCGGACGCCCGCCGGCTGGGAGCAGGCTAGGGCTCCTTCGCAGCTGCTAGCCAGACTGGAGACGTCTGAATAAAAGTCGTTCTGCGGCGACCGACGGCTTTCTCGCTACCGCCGGGGTGACTGAGGCTGAGCCGAGTATGTCCAAACCATTTCTCTCACGCATTGACAGTCACATTCATAGTCACAGCCACAGCCACTTTCACAGGTGAGCTTCTTTCCGCCGATGCTGTATTGTCACTTCGCATGACTGACGCTGCTCTTGAGCCGAGTGTTAGCTTGCCTACACCAGTTCTCGCGATGGCTCGGATCTCCGGAGGCCCGGAAGCAGTCCGAGTCGCTGTCAATGTTCCCACCTTGCAAACTGGCTCTCTGCTCTATGAAGAATGGGTTCATGTGAGCCGGAATTGCTACGGACGGCACGCCGCACGGACAGCTCGGATCTCCCGGAAGGTGCAAATGTCAGCCCTCCATCGGTTTCCACGGCCCAGAATCGACGCCTCGGATGTCCCGCTTCCTTACCGCCACTTTGCAGTTCGTCGGGGCATCATCGCAGAGTCACACTCTGTGGGGCAGCGGAAAGGCTTCAGTGGGCGCAGGGCGTCCAGAGCCCACCGCTTTGGCAGCACCTCTGTGGAGGCAGCGGGCTGTCACCAGACCCTGCGTGGGTGTCCTCTTTCGCCCAAGTCGGCGATGCTGGGCTCAGCCACTCTGTGCTCTCAGGAGGTGGGCCTCGACAGTCGCCCGCCGCCTTTACCTCACGGGGTGACGAGGTGTTGTGCCGTCGGACTGGCTGGCTGGCCACCCGCCGCCCGCCTGGGACGCCAACAGGCGATCTGCTGTAGTCAACAGACCCTGCACAGTCGGCTCGCTTGGCGCGCCTCGTGCCTAGCCAACCAGCCAAAGTGGAGGAGCGGTGGCCGAAATTTGCGAGATTCGCCAAAGTGAGGGTGTGAGAGACAGACGAGAGTCGCCTTGTGCCTGTCCGCGCGCAGAATCGACGTCCGCAGCGCCGTCTGTAGCCGACGATCAGCGAGCACGGACTCCATCCCGGCTTGCCGCTGATCCCGGCTCTGCCTGCCTCCGCTCGTTTGCGCCAGAGCCTCCGCTGCTGCTGCTGCCTGTCATCGGTCTACTGCGCCTCGCAGGTCCGCTGAGCTACGACCGTGGCGTCTCATCTGCAGAGCCCCTTTGGACCCTCGATTTGCCTGGCCAACCGACGCCGTCGTTTCCTTAGCCATCGTACGTGCGCTCTTGACGAGCAGCTATATATGCTTCCGGACAACAGCCGTGCTGAGCCAAGAGTAGCGTTGCCCTACCCTCGCTTCGTTTGCATCCCGTAGCACCGCATCAAGCTACCTTTGCCTTCCACGGCTCTTTCTTTGACTAGCGAATCGTTCAACCGGTCTGCTCCTTCATCTGCACGCCTTGCCGTGCATTGTCAACGCCCAGCTTTCAAAGGATGGCCCCCTCTGCCGTTGCAGCTCCATTTTCGGACGCAACGCCCTCTCTTCCGAGCACAGTTTCGCTCAAGATGTCGGTCAAGAAGGAGGCTGCCGGACCGGCGCCAGCTCTCGGTGCCGTTCCCGTTGTCGACCTCTACTCTGGCAGCGCCGACAGCCTGTCTACCGACTCCACAGACGACCAGCTGCGCCGCCAGATCGTGGCTGGGCTACAGGCCGACCAGCTCGTCATCCCGGGCAAGGCCGGCGATCCCGAAGACCTCAAGTTCTCCTACCGCAAGACGCTGCCTACGACCATCCTGTACGACGAGCAGGGCCTCATCCTCTACGACAAGCTCACCGCAGCTCCTGAATACTACCTGTACAACGCGGAGCTGCAGATCCTCAAGGACCATGGACCAGAGATCGCTCTGCGAATGTTTGGTCATCCCACTGCATCACCCGGCACCCTCAACCACACCACTCTGAAGAGCGGTCAAGAACCACCTCGGGATCAGAAGGATTCCGAGCGCGAAGATCCTCTGCCCCCGCAGCGCGACGCAGGTAAGTCTGGCAAAGAGAGGTGGGGTGACAGCCAGGTCGGACGCTTCAATGGAGGCGTCAATGCCGAGGAAGGCCTCGACGGCGATCGAGCCGTGGGGGCCGGTTCTCTCGTCGAGCTCGGTGCAGGCTCTCTGAAGAAGACGATCCATCTCTTGCGTGCTCTCAAGCTGCTTCCTGCACTCGCTGGACGCGGACCGAGCGTTCACTACTACGCCCTTGACCTCGACAAGGCCGAATTGGAGCGCACTCTGCGTGACCTCCGACAGCAAGAGGCTGTGCAGGGCGACGACGGTACCTGGACCGTTCACGGAGGAAAGGTCGGTATCAACGGCTTGTGGGCCACGTACGATGCGGGCCTCGACTTCATCGGCCGAGGCGGCCTCAAGACGGCGTCGACTGCGGCCGGCGCTCACGAGGAGGGTCAGCGATGCCTACTTTGGCTCGGCTCGAGCATCGGCAACTTTGACCGCAAGGCTGCCGCCGAATTTCTCGCAAAGACGGCCCGCGACAGCATGCGTCCCGGTGACACGATGCTCATCTCGATCGATCGCCGCAACAAGCCGTCCGAGGTGGCGCTGGCCTACAACGATCCGGCCGGACTCACCCGCGACTTTATCCTCAATGGGCTGGACCATGCAAACCGGGCGCTCGGCGGCAACGCTATCGATAGCAGCAAGTTTGAGTACTTCGACCGGTACAATGCACGCGAGGGACGCCACGAGTCGTACTATCGTGCAAAGGTGGCGCACGAGATTCGCGTGCCAGGCCTGGCCGACACGATCAAGATGGAGCAAGGCGAGCTCATCCACATGGAGGCGAGCTACAAGTTTGGCGAACGAGAGACGCTCAATCTCTTCGACTATGCGGGTCTGAGAGTGGTGCAGCGCTGGAGCGACCAGACGGATCGCTATGATATCTGGCTAGTCGAGAAGCCTGCCTTCCACTTCTCCAATTCGGCGGCGTGCCCGGAGCTCCTGTCCTCCAAGACGGCTCCGCAGCAGCAAGAGACTCATCCGAACAGCAACGCCGCAGAGACGATCATCGACGATGGTTGGGGAGGCAGCAATCTGGACGAGATGGCGCAGAAGGCTCCTGCGGCTGGCCTGCCCAGCCTTGCGGACTGGAAGACCGTCTGGGACGCCTGGAACTGCGTCACTCTGACCATGATCCCCCAGGACAAGCTGCACGAGAAGCCCATCGACCTTCGTCACATCTGCCTCTTCTATCTTGGCCACATTCCGGCGTTTGTTGACATCCACATCTCGACGTACCTCAAACAGTCCCACACCAACGATCGCTTTTCGGCCATCTTTGAACGCGGCATCGACCCTCACATGGATGACACCACCAAGTGCAATCCGCACAGCGAGGTGCCGACCAACGCTGAAGACTGGCCCGCGCTGGAAGAGATCCTCGAATACCAGCAGACGGTGCAAAGCAGGGTGGACCGAATCTACGAAGACATTGGCCGCGGCGATCTGGTGCTGAACCGCCGGCTCGCGAGGATGCTTTGGATGACGTTGGAGCACATCAACCTGCACCTGGAAACGCTGCTGTACATGCTCATCCAGTCGCCCAACACTCGACCGCCTGCAGGCTTCATGATGCCGGACTGGCGATCGCTTTCACAGCAATGGGCTGTCCAGTACGATCAGCGCGGCGGGCCCAAGTCGCTGGAACAGCGCTTCCACTTCGAGGCGTCCTCGGTCGAGCTCGGCCATGACGACGATGACACCAAGGATTTCGACTTTGTTGCCCGGCAGGCGTCAGGCGACGTGAGCGAGCTGAACGCTCAGCTCGGCCAGCCCGAGTTCGGCTGGGACAATGAGAATCCTCGCCGTAAGGTGGACGCCAAGGCGTTCTCGATCTCGGCGCTGCCCATCTCCAACGCGCAATATCTCGACTTTCTCGAGGCCACCAAGAGCAACGATGCTCCGGCCTCGTGGATGAAAGGCGAGGGCGGCAAAGACTATCTCGTTCGCACGTTCTACGGTCCCGTTGACATGTCGGTAGCCCAGCACTGGCCTGTACAGGCGTCGGGCACCCAGCTGTCGGCCTATGCGAGCTGGAAGGGCGGTCGACTGCCAACGCAAGCAGAGCTCCGCAAGCTGATGGATGCACCGCCCGAAGCGCTGGTCCTCGACTTGACCGTGCCGCCATTCCATCGAGACTCGACTGAAGAGCAAGCCGAGGTCAACGACATTGATCCACCAGGCAAGCAGCCCGCCCCCGTGCGTGGCTCGGCGGTGCGGTACGTGCCGCGCGAAGAGCAGTCGGAGGAGGACCTCAAGTGGATGCGCGAGGCGCTGGCCATGGCTCAAGAGGCTTTGGATGCCAACGAGGTGCCGGTCGGTGGCGTATTTGTGCGCAACGGAGAGGTGATTGCACGCGGTCGCAACCGCACCAACGAGCTGCTCAATGCCACCCGACACGCCGAGCTGGAGGCGATTGACCACATCCTGTCGATCATGCCGCCGTCTGCAACCGACTTTGCCGTGGCTCCTCATTCGGGACCCGAAGGCGACAATCCATTCAAGGACACGACGCTCTACGTGACGATTGAGCCGTGCATCATGTGCGGCGCGGCGCTTCGACAAGTTGGAATCGGGCGCGTTGTGTTTGGTGCCGGCAACGAGCGTTTCGGTGGCAACGGCAGCGTGCTGGGACTGCACGACGACGACGCCATTGTGAGCTCGCCTGGGTACGAATCGGTCGGCGGATATCTGCGCGACGAGGCGATCATGATGCTGCGTCGCTTTTATGTGACGGAGAACACGAACGCACCCAAGCCGCAGAACAAGTCACGCCGGGTGCTCAAGACAGAGATCCACCCGCCGGGCATCTCGATGCACGGACCTGGCACGGCAGCAGGCAGCGGCGAAACTGCAACGGCAGGTGGCAAGCGACGCGGGTCGCAGAATCCAACGCAGGGCCAGGCGGCGCCGTGCGCCAACGTGGGCTTCCGCAACTGGCACCCGGTACCAGCGACGCTGCCGCGCTACGACTCGGACGGCACGCTACTGCCTGGCCACAATGGCGGTGTGTGGGAGTGGACGAGCACAGTGTTTGCCGAGTACGAGGGATTCCAGTCCTCGACGCTGTATCCAGGCTACAGCTCTGACTTTTTCGACGGCAAGCACAGTGTGGTGCTGGGCGGCAGCTATGCGACGGCGCCTTCGATTGCAGGGAGAAAGACGTTTGTCAACTACTACCAGACCTGCTACCCCTACATTTTTGGTGGTGGACGGGTGGCGTGGGATAAGTGATTGCGCTTAGTCTTCATTCGATGTTTATGGTTAGTATCGCTGCATTTGTCTCGTCTTTATGTGCAAGCTGTTTCAACGCAATGTGAGTGGAGACGAGTGACCAAGTACGACAACGACGGCGGCGACGACGACGACGACAGTGGGAATGTGCGAGTTGAGATGAAGGCAAGGGCGGGTCGCTGATCGGTGATCAGAGCTTGGATCGGGTTGAGCCGAATGGGATCGTATGCGAAGTCGCCGAGATGAGGGCAGCATCAAGCCGAAGAAAGACGATCGCAGTCAGAGTGAAACACTGTGAATAGACGATCGCGAGGGGACAGGGGCGATGAGCGAGCCGAGAGCCGGACGGTGGAGAATTTGGACGCCGATCCGGGGAAACGTCGAGCTGGAGCCAGTGGAGGGGAGCACAAGCATCTTGTCTTCCGTCATGCTGCCTTGGCGTTGCGTCAATGGGCGGCCAAGAGGTGGCGGAGGCGATTGGCTGACTGGCCGGTTCTTGGCCTTAGCGCCGGCCTCGGCTATGCACATGTTTGCTCGCGGCACCATTGTCGACGAAGATAGAAAGTATGGAGCCCCACTAACCGTCCGCAGGCTACCCCGGATCGATTGGTGAGGAGCTGTTGAGCTTGGCGGCGGTGCCGTTAAGGCCGTTTGAAGCCGCGGCGTCGTGGAGAAGCGTGTGCTGCAGGCGAAAGAGCGTAGGCCGAAAGATTTGACTCCGACAGTGAGGAATGACGCGCTAGTGGGAGCAAAAGCTCCGTGCCGCGGGTGCGGGGATGCAATTTCGGCCGCTCCAGCGCGTCGCCATCCTCGGGCCGGATACAGTAGCGGCTTTTTCTTTTGGCTTCCCAGCGCGCTATGCAGTCGGGCTCTTCACACCGGCGAACCCTTCCACACTGACCACAGCACCAGCAGCCTGCCTTGCCTCTACCGCGCATCTGTTGTGGCAAGCCACGGTTGTGTGCCTGGATTGTTGGGGCGGGGGACGGCATTGTCCGCGAGGGAAGTTTCGCTCAGCTGCACGAGATGCAGCCCAACGTGCAGGAGCGCGTTCCGGCATTGCCGAGACGTCTGTTTACCAGTGTCTGTCTCTTCTCATGCCTGTGATCGACTCGGGTGTGCCGGTCTGGGGCCACGGCTCTTAGCGCCTGATGAGGGGTCAAGGTCTGGTATCGGCTCGGGGTCTTTGGGAGGCACTAAAAAAGTGTCCGACGGACATAACGCATTGCGAGGAGCATGGACAGAACGTTCCTCCCACGATCGGCACCTCCGCCGTGACCGAGAGAGGGCGTGCTGAAGGAGAAAAAAAGTGGAGAGTCGGTTAGCCGAGATGGGCGCTCGCCGAGTGCATGTTGCGTGGAGGTTGAAGAGGGGAAAAAAGGGATGTCCGCTGCAGTGCCGCATGCTGCGGGGCAGATCTCTCAATGGACAGCGACGGCCGTCAAAGTGCCACTTCTCCGCCCGGCAAGCTGCATCAACATGACCCAACACTTGACATCGCCGGAGCCTGCCCTCTTGTGCGTCCATGCCTTGGAGAGCGCTGACGCATTCAAGGCGAAACTCAGCTCATTTTTTTCTTCTTCGTCCTCCTGCTCCCCGCCTCGCCTGATGCACTGTCGGTCAACTAGCGATTGGTCCCCCGCTCGCCTGCCCTCGACCCCGAATCCTACTTAAAGCGCTGCTCTCCCTGCTTCCTCGTTGCCTCTTTTCGAATCATACGCTACTTTATCTTGTCGCCATGTCTGAGATCAAGAACAACGAGAACGGCTACCAGGGTGGTGTGCAGACCATGCGCGCGCTCACGCCCGGCGGCCATCCCATGGACTCGTCCCAGCCGGCCTTCCCCGTCTACCACCGCAAGTTTGCCAACCCTGCACCGCTCGGACTGTTCGGCTTTGCCGCGACCACGTTTGTGCTGTCGATGTTCAACGTCAAGGCACGCGGTGTGACGGTGCCCAACGTCGTCGTGGGTCTTGCCATCGGCTACGGTGGATTGGCGCAGTTCCTCGCAGGCATGTGGGAGTTTGCGGCAGGTAACACGTTTGGTGCGACTGCATTCTCATCCTACGGCGCCTTCTGGTGGTCGTACGCCATCCTCCAGATCCCCTGGTTCGGCATCGCTCAGGGAACTTACAACCAGAACGGTGTGCCCGAGGCACAACTCGCCAACGCGGTCGGAATCTACCTCAGCGCCTGGTTCATCTTTACGTTCATCATGCTGCTCGCATCCTTCCGATCGTCGGTCGGCCTCGTGGCGCTCTTCTTCTTCCTCGACATCACTTTCCTCCTGCTCTTCGTAGCCGAGTTCACGGGCAACGCGAAGATCCAGACGGCAGGTGGATCGTTTGGCATCCTCACCGCCGCAATCGCCTGGTACGTCGGCGCCGCGGGTCTGCTCACCCCAGACACGAGCTTCTTCACGCTCCCCGTCATCGAGCTCTCCCGCAAGGACTAAGGCCCGCGCCTTTCCAATCCTGCAACTCTGCGTCACCCCACCATGATACCATCGCTCTAGTCTTTATTTAATCTCCTACCACCTTTCCCGTGCTTGGTCTCCTTGGCCTCTCACAACCTCCCCAACCTCTTCGACTTCAAGCTCGACACGTTTGTGCTCGATTTCAATCCCTAAAACATTGATCTTCCATGTGCAGCGTGCGTCCGCTCCGTTCGTGGCTTGTGCAGCGCATCCTCACCGCAGCGTGCAACCGGAACAATGCACGCGCTCAACCACTGCCTGCCAACCGCACGAACTGACACCAAAGACGATCTTGTCAATGCGTGAGCAGACGCACCCGAGTGAGATTTCCAGAGCGACGAGACCAAAAACATGCTTGCGAATGGGTGCAAGGGAAAGAGTGGTGTGTGCGAGCTGCAAGACTGGATGCCCTGGGGCACGAAGCGATGTCTGCGGCTGGCTACGGCTTGATCTGACCCGCGGAACCGGTAAAGAGACTCTGATTGACCTCGAGCAGGAGCTTGACTTCCTGCGCATAGCCCTTTGCGATCTCCCAGGCGCGCGAAAACTTCTCGAGCGCCGCCTCGATGTGCAAGATGCACGATCTCAGCTTGATCGCGAGCATGTAGGCCTGCCTACCCGCGATCGCAGGGATCTGCGCCGTACGATGCGGGTCCGGCTGCAGGATGGGCGAGAGCTCGTACAGCTCGCTCTCATCGATCGCATCCGAGGTGAAGTCTAAGTCGTCCTCGAGGCCCGCTGCGATCTGGGCATGCAGCGTCTCCATGAGCAGCACGTATGCCGCCAGCACGAGCGAGCAGGCCGAGAAAGGCGGCAGCGACGGAGCCGACCACTGGTCGCGGTTCTCGCGGCCATGGCTGTCCTCGACGGGCAGCACCGCCATCGACTCGCGCCGTCCGTGTCGGAAGGTGCTCGTGTTGATGTGCGTCAGTTGCAGATACATGACGCCCGCCGCAAAGCGACATCTGTCGAGCGACTCGGACGGCTCAAACGGCCCTCCGCTGAATCGCGACGGGATGCCGCACGACATAAACGTCACGGCACCACCACCGACCGATGCCGAGGAGCCCGTGAGGCTCTTGGCCACGCTGCCGTTGCCGGTGTTGCTGCTCAGCGTGCTGCCGCTTCGCGATCGAGCGCTCTGACTCGTGCTCGATGTCGGCTTTGCGCCTGCCTCCAGTAGCGGACTGTGCTCTTCGCCCGAGGCCATTGGCTTGCCCGAAGGCGGAAGCCCTTCGGCCTCGCGGTGCCACAATCGGTCGGGTCCGCCCCTGCGACTTCCGACGTCGGACGCCGTGTCGCTGTTGTCCTCGCAGGCGCCAGGAATGCCGCACGTCGGCGCCACAAAGATGCGTGCGTTTGCAAACGCCTGTGCTCGGTGCAGGATGATCAAGGCACCGCTCGTCATCAGCTTGCCCGCCACGCGCAGGCTGCGACTCAGGCGGATCTCGTTCTCCTCCTCGAACTGCGCGGTGCGGCGCGACAGACCCACGCCGGGCGCAAAGCAGCTCTCGTCGCTCCAGGCGGGGTCGGAACGCGCATACTGCATCACATCGGCGTCGACCTTCTGCATACGTTCAAAGATCATCTCCCATCCGCGTCGCTTGTCGCGCGGCTGGTTGGCCGGATCCGCCAGCTTGTTCTCCGGGCGGTTCTTGAACGAGTCGAGGTCATACAGGCTGGCATACGATCTCGAGACGAACTGAGCGCCGCGTACGAGCACCTTCCAGCTCGAGCGATCGCCGCGCAAGTCGGGCAGGAGGCCGAGGTCCGAGGGCATGTCGCGCGTGACGGAAAGCGGCTTGAAGCCACCGGTGCACGACATGACGGTAGCGGCGGTGTAGCACGTCCAGTAGGCTCTGCGCGCCCAGTCGCACTTTTGCGCGTGGCTGAACCACGATGGCGCGGAAGGGGCGCCTTCGCCCGAGTCGAGGTTGAGTGCCTGAGCGTGGTTCCATGCCTGCAAGGCGTGGTGGAAGGCGCGACGGCTGTTGGACGTTCCGTAGTGGTAGTGCGCGAGCAAGGTGTGCGTAGCGACGAGCTTAATCCTGACGAGCTCGATGTCCGAGCCCGCACTGCCGCGGTCAGTGCCCGTGAACTTGTTGGATCCCACCGCCTTGGCCGCATCGGAGGGGAAGGAGGACGCGCGTGCGAGGAGCGCCACCTTCTTGAGCAGCAGCTTTTCTGCGGATTTTGCATGGTAGGCTGCGATCTCTTCTCGCGAGGAGTGTTCGAGGTCGAGAAGCTCGGCCTTGGTCTCGTGGTCGTTGGGGTCGTGGAATAAGAGACTGCCCTTGACGATACGTTTGGCTTCGGTCTGTGGGAGCTGCAGGGCGACGCAGGCCGAAATGGCTGCGAGCAGTGCCGAGGATTCGTCTTCGGACAGATGGAAGGCGAGCGACGAGAGGTGGCCCGAAGGAAGCATGACAGGACAGGCAGGATACACGAGCTCGTAGAAGTCTTGTAGCAGAGCACGCGCCTGCTGTTCCGAGTTGACGGCGACGCTGGATTTGCTTGCGGTCTCGATCTCGAGGAGCGCCGAGGGCATGTCGACCTCGATGGTTCCGTACTCGTCCACATTGGACATGGCGAGCACGCCGGCCTTTGGCAAATCTTCGAGCTTCTGGTAGAAGTTGGAGAGCGAGAGGCCGACGGCTGCCTGGTTGGGAGAGAGCTTTTGGAAAAGGTCAAAGTTGGAGAGGGAGAGGTCATCAAACAGGCCGCCTCCGACGGCAGCATCGGGGCGGAAGAGGCTGCGGGGAGTGAGGGCGTTGCGCTCGCGATCGAAGGAGAATGCGTCGGCGGCGTCTTCGGCGGGGCCATGGCCATCTGGCGGACCCACTTGTGCGCCAAAGATGTTGGGTCCCATACGGGCAGCATCGAAACTGGGTGCATGCGGCGCAAAGTGTTTGTGTGGGTATGAGTTGGCGTGAGTGGCGGGGTCGAGCGGGGTGGATACGGAGGGAGAGTTGTTGTTGGAGGTGTGGTCGGGTGGCGAGAGGGAGTGCGAATCGTCGTGAGAGTAGTGGTCGGAGCTTCTGGAGCCCTTGACCTTGCCGGTCTTTTCGCGCTCGTCGAGCTTGCGTTTTGTGGCCTCTGCGCCCTTGATGCCTTTGAAGCGGGGGCCGCCGCGCTTGGAGGCGACGTAGACGCAGCCTCCATCGTCCTGGGGGAAGATGTCCTTGACGCCGCGGAGAGCGCAGGGCCCGCAGACGGGCTTGACGCCGTCGCATTTGCGCTTTGCGGAGCGACAAGAGAGGCAGGCTGCGCGTGAGACGTGTCTGTGGTGGAGATCTGCGGGCTGATGTCGTGAGGAGGAGGCGTACAAGGTGGCTTGGGGCGGTGGGTTGTAGGGGTGAGGATGGAGATGCGGATGCTGTGGGACGTGCTGAGGATGGGCTGGGCCTGGGCGAGATGGTTCTGCGTCGAGAGGGTGACGCTGGTCGAATGGCGGATAGGGCGCAGGACGTTGATGCTGGAAGCCAGGATGGCGGGGAGCGTATGGATCGGCTGGTGCAGTGTCCCAGGAGGTACGCGGTTGAGGCGGGTGTGGCGGCATGTTGAGATCGTACTCCTTCATGGCTCTCGGAGTATTGACGTAGAGCTGGCTCGCGGGTGCGGAGGCCGGGCCGTAGGCTGGCGGAAGGGGTGGTTGCGCCATGGCCTGGGGGTGGGGGTGGGTGTGGAGGGAGTCGTCGTGAGAGGGCGGATAGCTGCGTAGCGACATGAGCGGCGCCGGAGGGATGGTGCAGGGTGCCGGCGGCTGTGGCCAGAGGGCGATCAATCACTGCGAATTGCGATGCAAGGCTGGAAAGAGATGGCAGGGCAAGACGGAGTGAGTGTGTATGTGGGCACTATGGCATGGAGATGTGGTGGAGAGAGAGAGTTGCGTGTGACGACGATGCGACGGAGCGGGAAGACGGCTTGGAGTGTGGGGCGGAGATGGGCTTTGTTGGGGTCAGGTGGGCGGTGGGCGGGGTGCGGCGAGTTAGGAGGCGAGTGGACGCTGCAAGCACGAGTGACGTGCTAATGGCGGATGCGGGAAATGCGGTTGCGGGAGTGCGGTGAAGCAGGGGTTTGGAAGGTGGTGGGCTGACGGTAGGGTGCAGATGAGCGTGGGAGGGGTGAGATGATGGTAGCAGGAATGCATGCAAGCCGAGCGTCGGATTCGTGCGTCAATGGCGGCGTGGAGGACGGTGGGGTGGGAAGTGCGAATGCAGAGGCTTCGCCAAAGCAGAGACCGCTTGGCCGTGAAGCCGTGAAGAAGCAGCAGCAGGCACAGGAGGCAGCAGCCGGATTCGCAGATGAGGCGGCGTGAGATGAAAGCGCGAGAACGCGAGAATAAAGCGTGCCGCTGCTGGATGTCGAGATCATGCACTCTCATCCATCCCCAGGCCGGCACCAGGTACAGAGAGTAAGGGCCGACCAAAAAAAGGGAAAAAGAAGCGAAACGAGGCCAGAGTCACAGAGTGGGGCCGGAGACCGGGCAGGGCAGGGCAGGGCAGGGCAGGGCGGGCAGGGCAGGGCGGGCAGGGCAGAGATCAGTCCAAACCAAATGTAACTCAGCCTACAGTCAAACTACTGGAGCCGAGATGAGCGGCAGGCGCGGAGAAGGGCTCAACCCTCCATCACATGGCAGTCGCCACGCAACCCACGCACTCCACGCGGGCTCGCTCGCCTCGAAAGAGTGTGTCTCCTGCCCGTCTGCTCGAGCCACCGCGTCGCACCGTTTTTAGCCTTGGGCCGTGGGAGCGTGGATGTGCGTTTGCTGAGTGCTGTAGTGTATGTGCAGCAGCCCGTTGCCAAAGGGAGCATTGGCTGGTCACGGGCAGCAAGGCAGCAGCAGCAGAAAGGCCCCCGGGTGGAGAGCCGTGTCGCAGGTGCTTGCGTGCATGACTGGACCAGTGCAGGGGCGAGTGGGCGGGCGAGCCGAGCGACCTTTTGTTTGAGACAAGCGAGGTGAGGCGTGCCTGCACCCTGAAAAGAGGCCAAAAAAGCAGCACACAGCCAAAGTTCCAGGCCATGGCCATGGCCGACGCGGACTCAGCTCAGCAGAGAGAGATAGGCCAATTTCACGCATCTCGTCGCAAAAACTTTGGCTCGCTCCTGCCCGCCCTCGCTCGGCACTTTGCACGGCTCCTGCTCGCCACGGCCAAGATCCGGCCCAACTCGGTGGAATGTCCATCGCCGGGTCTGGCCTCTTGCGCCAAGCAACTGCACGTCATCCGCAGGCGCGGGCCAGCGACATGGCGCGTCCAAGCCAGCTTCATCGTCGCCGTCGTCGTCGCGGTCACCGACGAGCATCCCGTCCGTCTGAGAAATACAGGCCTGGCTTGTGTACGCTAGCTTGGCCAGCAACTGTAGCGAGTACATGGGGAGCGGAAGGCCGTTGCTGACAGTTTGCTCGCAGTTTCAAAGATCCAATGACCGCAGCCACCAAGCCGTGCACTTTGGCAGTCCGACGATTCGAATCTCGCCCGTATCTTGTTGCTTCAGCCCTGCATCTCTCGGTGCCGGCAGAGCCTCGGGAAGCTGCTCCGCATACCCTGCACGCCGTAAATGCGCTCCACCGGATCTCGGCCACCGATCGCACTCCGTTCGCTGCTCAGAACGGAAAGGCTTGAGAGCCAGTAGGGCGAGCAAGCAAGCTGTCACTTCCGAACACTCGCCTTTTTCGGCCGCGGCTGCCTCCACAAAATTGGGCGTATGCCCGATGCGCTCGGACCCGCTTGACATCCACACACCGCGGCGCGGTCATCCAGCCCGGCTGAGTTGCCGTGCTTCCTTAACCCGCCGCAGCTACTCGTCGTCCTCACTCCTTGGCTCGCACTTGACGTCGCACTAAGCGCCTCGGCGTCCAACAACGCAACCGCCATCTGAGCAGCGCGGCCAACGCGGCCGGTCGGCGCCAGGGTCCGGCTCGACAGAAATGCCGTCGCGCCCACGACATCCATCGCGAGCAACTCGCGCACACGCGGCTGCATCGTCCTCCTGGCTGACCACGCTCGGCTTCAAGCCCACCGTGAGTGGGCGCAACGTGGCCGCATTCCTGGTGCATTGCTCGGCATCCATCCTCTTTCTCGTCTTCCTCAATGCTTCCCAGCCCTTCATCATCCATCAGCTCGACGAGCGTCGGAACAAGGCGCCCAATGCTGCACCCGACCGAACCGGATCGCTCAGCGGCTCGCTCATATTCTACGACGAACTCTTGTCCACCGTAGTCTCGCTCGTGTGGGGCGCGCTTGCCGAGATCATCGGGCTGGCCGCCGTGACTTCCACATCGTACCTCTTCATCGCCCTCGGCCTGGCTTCGTACACGTTGCCGTCCAAACCATGGCCCGACCTCGTGCCGGCACGCCTCATCTTTGCGCTTGGCGGCAGCGGCGCCACCTCGATGCTCTCGGCCATCCTCTCGGAGCTATCCGGCTCGCATACAACCTCCCAGAAGCTCGCCTCGCAACCACTTGCGTCGGGTCCTCTGACTGAGGACGCTGATTCCGAGACCGCATCCGAAGCGACGCTGCGCCCCCAATCCGGTCACAATGGGCGAGAAGCATCAGTTGATGCAGGCGTGACGGATGAGAGAGAAGCTCTGATCGGCTCGCCTCCGGATGCTTTGTCGAGGACAAGCAAGGGCAAGTCGAGGCATGGCCGAGCTGCGGCTGTCGCCGGCATTTTCACGGGCATCGGAGCGCTGATTGCCGTGTTTGTGCTGGTGCGCTTGCCGCAAAAGATCGCCGAGTATCTAGAGGCTCAGCGTCCGTCAGAGCCAAGCTCGACCTCAGGTGGTCATCACGACGGAATAGCCGACGACGTGATGCTACGTCGAGCAACGGTGGTCACCTTTGGCATTGTCGCCGCGCTTGCTCTGTTGGTGGCGGCAGTCACCGCTCTGGGTCTCCGAACGGATCGTCGGTACAGCTCCGTTCGTAGCGGACGCGCGCTGTCGGAAGAGACAAGCACGCAGCAACAAGCCGATTATGGTGCTCTGCATGACAGCACGGTGGCGCTGGTGGAGGACAGCCGACAGGCACGTCGGGCGCGGCTGCGCCAACGCTTGGATCGACGATCGCATTCTTCGTGGACTCGTGTGATCCGCTCTCACATCCATCGCTTCGTGCGTGGATCCGTGGGTGGATTCCGTATGGCCGGACGCGTGCAGAGCGCCGGAGCATCTGCGGACGAGCTCGAACGCGTGCGTTGGCAGAGCGGATTGGCGAGGGAGCTGCGCATGGCATATCTGGGCGGTGCACTCGCGCGTGCATTCACGATCGGCACCACCGCCTTCCTGCCGCTACTGGTCACGCACCACTACTACACGTCGGGACTGTGCCGAAAGCTGCCCTCGCCCAACCCAGATGCACCGCTGCCCGGCGATGAACTCAAGAAGCTGTGCAGATCCGCATTTACCGCCACCGCGATCCTGGGCGGAACGGCTCAGCTCACAGCGCTGTTGGCTTCGCCCGTCATGGGACTGCTGTGTGATCTTCTGAGTCCGACAACGACGATCTCGTTGACGTCAGCTGCAGGTGCGGCAGGATTCTACCTGCTGGGTGTGGGCACTGCAGGGTTTGGTGGCGACCGCCAGACTGGCGAAGAGGTGCCCGATCCACTGGGTGCCGTATCGATCGCGGCAGCCGTACTCATCGGCGTGGGTCAGATCGGCGCCATCGTAGCAAGCCTCGCAGGATGCGCAAGAGCAAGAGCCTTGGTGCAGGATCATGCCGAGCCCAGCGGAACAGCAGGTGCAGGAGGCGACGAGGCTGCCTCGGGCAGCGCGACGCTTGTACCCGGCCGCAATGCGACAGGGAACATGGAGACAACTGGCAAGGATGAAGCTGGACAGGGTGCAGGCGCGATTGCAGGCGCGTATACGTGCACGGGCTCGCTCTCGATCCTGCTCATCTCGAAGCTCGGGGGCTTCCTGTTTGATCTGTATGTGCCCAGCCCGTTCCTGCTCATTGGCGGATTCAGCGCGCTGGTGTCGATCTGCGGCTTTGCCACGACGCTGTCCATGCACCTCAAGTCGACGTAGGCCCAGAATGTTATGCTGTACCTGCACTCTGCACTCTGCTCGTGTGACGTCTGTCCGTGTTGAAGGAGGAAGAGGGCACGGTGGGCAGTCGGTCGAAAGCGAGATCGGGCCACGATGCGGAACGCAACTTCCGGTGGTTGGGCGTAACTTCCGCGGCAAAAGGGGTCTATCGGGGATCGAATTCAACGCAGGTGCTGGGCGCGCTTTCCACTCCGCCTTTGGCCTCCAAGGGTCCACATCTGAGCGCAAGCGCGCGCAAGCGCACTGTGCGGATCACAGTGAAATTCCGGATTCGAACCAAAAGACGGTCAGATCTCCGCTCCCCGCCCTGACCCGCTCTAGGTAATCGGAGATGAGGTGGGAGGTGGGAGGAGAAGGATCGTCGGAAAGGGAATGCAAACGCCACTTTGCTCGGAGGAGTGGCATCCTGATCCAACGCGCATGATGCCGGGTGGCCCTGGATCCCGTCGGCACGGCTGAATATTCGACGCACAAGGCAGAACATCATCCGGCGATGCAGGATAGTGTGAGCAGAGTAGTGTGGGATTGACGAGTGCAGAGAGCCTATGCAAAGAAGCAGGGGATGGGTTCTGGCCGACGCATCTTGATTTGGGCGCGTTTGCCAAGCGGACGCCGGTGTGACGAGCGGACCGAATTCCGACTCTTTGACGGCACAAGAGTACAGTAGTGAGGTTTGGCGAGCTTGGATGCGGCTGACGAGGGTGACGAGTGACGAGAGCGGAGGATGAGCTTGGCGAGTGCGCCTCGATTCGATTGCGACTCGCTTGTAGCCGCTGCCTGCAGCAGAGCATGAATTTTTCCCAACAGCCGCCGCGCGCTGGCGCTCCCTTGCCTCTGATCGTGCGCGCTTTCTCGGTGCTGAGAGCCGCTCCGCCGCATCTTCGGACACTGCATCCACGCACGCACCCACGGCCTGCATCGCGCTCTGCAGTCTGAGCGTCGAGCTTCGGGATGTGCGAAGCTAGCTTCGTGAAAATGGCGCACGCTGGTGTAGCTGGCTTCGGCTCGGCCCACAAGGCTCTACGCTTGGGATGCGAAGAAGGAGCGGGAAGTGTGAGTGAAGTTTGAGCTAGATTTTGGCGGTGCGGGACTGGCGAGCGGCTGACGCGGCGGGTGTCTTAGGCGCACCCCACTGAGCTGCTGAGCTGCTGAGCTGCTGGGCTGCTGCCTTCGCCTGCCTGGCAGTGCTACATGCCAGTCGCAGAGCTCGGCCCTCGTTTGCAATCCAATCCATTCGCCGCCGCCGCTTCTTTAGACTCTCGGCGATTCGGTTTGCGCAACTCGTTTGCAGCTGCAGCTCGCCAGTGCGCATCTGCCTCTGACCTCTGCCTCTGCCTTGGGCTGTCACTCGCTGCACGGCTGTTCTGTCCTGTCGCTCCAGCCCCAGCCTCCGCCCGAGCCTCCGCCCCCAATCTGCCGTTCCGCCCCTCTTTCTCCGCAGCCCTTGCAGCACCGCAGTCGCTTCTGCCACACACTTTTCCGCCCCTCCGTCTGTCAGTCGGCACAAGCCTCGCTCGCTCGCTGACGGCCTGCCTGTCAGAGTGGGTGACCGCAAGCCGCACAAGGTTAGCCGCCGCCGCCGCCGCCGCGACTCGCCTTTCTGCGCTTGCGATTTGGCTTTGGCTTCGGACGCTAGTGGCACCACGCTTCTATGCTGGGTTCGCTTTCGACCTCGCTCTGCATCTCCATCGTCTTCCCACCCCCTTGGCCTTCTCCGAGCCTATCACGCCCACACCAGCATCCTGCCTCGCATCTCTTCATCGCTCGCCCCTGCGATTGCGCAGCTTGCACACGCACCTCTTTGCTGCATCCAACGCCCACCTCCTCATCCTCACGCAGCACGCAGTCTCGCATCCACCGACCTGCGCTCCAAGTTAACTTAGGGTCCACAATCTGGTAGCCACATCACCTCCGCACCCGCCAGTCCAGCACGCTTGGTCCCAACAAACACTCGAGCTTCATTGTTCTCTTCCAGCCGCTGCAGCCTTCTTCCACACTTTGAAAGAACGCCATCGCCTCGGCGAGAGCTCCACCACGACATTGTCAGCAGCCTTCTTTCCCTTCCTTCACCTTCGTCCGTCTCTCGCCCATGCAGACCCTCCCCTCGGCATCTTGCTCCCTATAGACCGCCATCGCGAGCCTGTCATTGTCGTTCGCGACACAGCCACGCTGGCGCTCTCTCCTTCACCATGACCTCGCCCCTTTTGCAGGCCGACGACATGGCGTGGCGCCACCGCGTGCTCCTCGTCGTCGAGGATGCTGCCACCAACCAAACCCAAGCCACCCAATTCGTCCCCGTCGAACTCGTCCGCAACGGCGTCACCTACATCATCCTCTACTCGATGTTCGCCACCCTCCTCTTTGTGCTCCTCTGCGCCGTCCTGTTCAAGAACGGTCTCAGCCCGCAGAAGCGCCGCCTCCCCGTCGTCTGGGTGCTCGGTCTCGCCATGCTCGGCGGGCTGCTCGGCTCCACGCTCAACACCGTCTTCTGGGCATACCAGCTGTTTGGCAACGTCTCCGAAGACGCCATGTTCCGCCTCTGGATGTCTTCCACCGCCATGCTCTACATCGTGCCGCTCGTCACCCACTTTGCCATCCAGCTTCGCCTGCTCGCCTTTTACCCATCTACGCTCGCCAGCAGGAAGAAGCGCATCGCCATCAGCATCCTCCCCTCGCTCATGAAGGTCGCACGGCTCACCACCATCTGCATCACCCTCAGCAACTCGGCCAAGGTGTACAAGTCCGACGGCTTTGGCTACACCGTCTCGAGAGCCGCCAACGACACCAGCAACCTGCTCACACTCATTTTCCAGCTCGTCGACACCGTCTACGCCTCGGTCATGCTGCTCTGGCGCTACTGGCACCTCGGTCGACGCGACAGCGAGCTCATGAGCAAAAAGTCGCATCCCGCCCTGCGCTGGGCCAAGCAGATCGCCTTTGCCATCGCATTTGGCTATGTGCTGCCCACCGTGTATGCGCTCGCGCTCGTGCTCTCCAAGACACTTTCGCTCTCGGCCGTCGACATGGGCTTTATGCTCGTCGCCAACGTGTACGTCCAGGCATTTGGAGCCGTGCTCGCCTCGCTCTCCAGCGCCTACAAGTGGAGGGACGACCGCTTCACCGACAGCTTGTCGCCGGACAATGCGGTGCTGCCAGGCATGCGCGGCGTCACCGACCCTTTTGCGAGCAACGACACCAAGCACCAGCCTGCTCATATGCGCGCCCTCGACTCGGGCCTCTCGGATGCAGGCACGCCGACACGACCGTCGTTCCTCAATGCGCGCCTGCCTTCGCTCGACTCGCGCAGGCGCGCAGGGCTGACGCCGGACGCAGCAGCCGCCTCGCCCGGTCTGTCCGCCATCGTCGTGGACGGAAGCGCGCCGATCAAGGCCGGCGATGTGTCACCCAAGTCGTCCGTCCCGGCGGTGTCGACGCAGTACCCCGGCACGCCCGGTACGGCCGAGTGCGTCTCGATCGACTTCCCCGACACGTATGCTCCGCAGCAGTACGAGTCGCGCCGCTCGTCGGATGCTACGCTTTTTGCGCCTGGCGGTGCGGACAAGGCCGATGCTGCGTTGGTCAAGGCCGGGTCGCGCCCAGGCAGCAGTGGCACGGGTCGCATCCAGAGGCTCGGATCTAGCCGCTCCGTGCCCCGCGAAGGAAGCCTGCGCGAGGAAGAGGAAACTCCACCACCGTCTCAGGCGGATAGCGTCTAGGCTTGTCCGCCGTGTATTTCTAAGATCTCGCCTTGTCGTCCCCGCCCGCGTGCAGGGGACGCAGGTGCGACCATGTTGTATTTGTACCGATTCTGCACGCAATCTTTCGAGTGTGGCACTTTTCTGATGCGACTGTGCGCGCGCGGGTATACGATTGCGAGGATGTGCGGCGGTTACATGTCTGACTGACCCCATGCTGTTTTTGTGTCCAAGGGCAAGATTCGAGGTTAGTACGGGTGTGTGTTTGCGATGAGGGTTTGTGAGTGGGGGTCAAGGCTTACCTCTGGCCTGTTGTTCCTGTGCGGCGAGGGCGTGTTTTCGTTCGACGAGCAGCTTTTCGAAGCCGTTACTGCGGTCTACGCCGTCCCATCTGTAGCCAGGAGGGATGTTGAACCTATTTGGAGGCCATGGACCCTTGTAAGCCGGCTTAGCTGGACCTTGGGTTCTCTTCTTTGTCAGAAAGGCGAGTGCGGGGTCGTCTGCATGCAGCTGGTCTTTGAAGTGGCGGTTGTACTCGGCGTCTGTAACGCGGCGGGCTACGGTTTGATCGCGCACCGAGGCGAGTTGAGACGCAGCATCCTTGGCTGCCTTCTGCTGCGCTAGACCTTGGGACCATGTCTTGCGCTCGGCAGCTTTGCGACGCTGCTCGGCTTCGTGCAGCGCGGCTTCGCGTTCGGCAGCGTGGATGTCGATCCGACGTCCCGAAGAGTCGCGATACACCGTCTCCTCCTCCTCCCCACCTTCCTCCACCGAAGCTGGTGCAGGAGGGGGCGAGGGAGCGGTACGACGACGTTCTTCGCGCGCAAGCCGTGCTGCTCGCATCTCTTCTTTCGTCCGAAGCCCCGCTTTGAACTCCACCTCCCCACCAGCACCAGTATCCGTGGGAGGGGCGACTTCACTTGTCAGAGTGGTAGGCGTGCTTGCAGTGCCGACCTTCTTGAAGCCGCTAGAGCCAGAAGCGGAGTCAGCTACAACCTGTGCTTCATCTTCACCATCCGAGGTGGTGGCGGCGTTGGGCCATGCATCCGAGTCGTCCTTGAACACGAGACCATTCGAGGCAGCTTCGGGGGCGGGTCTTTTCTTCTTGCGCTTGGGCTTGCCATCGCCACCACTACGCGCTAGAATCGCATCAGCCTTGGGTCCCGACAGATAGCGAGAGGCGATGTACGACTGCAGATCCGGATTGGGCATGGTTTCCCGCAACTTGATGATCGCGCACAAGCACGATTGGACGCTGGTGGAGTTACGTGCTATGTGGGGCCAAAAAAATGCGGAACTCGGAACAGCGCGTGGGAAGGCATTTCCACCATCTCCGTCCGCAACTGAGGGGGCTGTTTGCACCACTACGACCACGCAATCTTTCGAGGACAAAAATGGCTCCTGCCGGCCAAGTGACATCTGGAGGCGCGGCTGCTGCCGCCGCAGCCCTGCCTACCATTCTCCCGCTCGAGCTCATCGACAAGTGCATCGGCTCCAGCATCTGGGTCATCATGAAGTCCGAACGCGAATTCAGCGGTACCCTGCTCGGATTCGACGACTACGTCAGTAAGTACCCGCCGCTCTCAACACCACCACACACAGCACCCCTGACTTACCTGCTTGCAATGATGCTCGCACAGATATGGTGCTCGAGGACGTAACAGAATAGTGAGTACTCAAATCTTCGCTCGCTTGAAAAGAGCATCAGGCTGACGAAGGAGTTCGACTTCGGCTGTGGATGAAACAGCGAGACCGCCCAGGACGGCAAGAAGAAGAAGACCAAGCTAGGCCAGACACTTCTGAACGGAAACAACATCTGCATGGTGAGTGATGTTCAACGCAGCTCAGTCGTGACGCAGCTCTTTCTGACCACCTCCCTCGCTTTGATCGATTTCGCGTGCACAGCTCATTCCGGGCTCGGAAGGTCCCGAAGACGCATGAGCTAGCCAACGCCCACGTCTCCGCATGTACTTGTATTCCTCCTCAATCTCAACACACACACACTCACACCCACACACACGCCACTGCGTCTCGGCCCACACCAACGCAGCAAAATCCAGTGGGACGCATGGATGGCATTTATCCGCGCTTCGACCTCTTGCGCTGCTTCTTCCTGTCCTCGCCCTCTGCACCGTTTCGACGCTTGAGCTTCTGCACGAGTGCATCGAGCTCTGTATCCTTGCCACTGCCCTGCTGCTGTGGCTTTCCACTCTCGGTCGGGGTATCGCCGTTCTTGCGGTCGAGATGCATCCTTCGCTCGTGCATGATCTTCTGCATGGCGTTGGTCTTTGCAAACCCGGGGTGCGTCGGGTCGATGGCGAAGCGATGGTCGTCCATGAGTGCGGCGAATCGGTCGTCCTTGGCATCGATCTCGAACGTGTCCTGCACCAGCGGCGCACCCTTGCGTGCCTGGAAGTCGGCTTCGGCGCGCTGCTTGCTCTTGCTCAGCCGCTTGAGCAGCTTGGCGCGCTTGGCGTCCTTGCCGCTCTCGACGCGCAGCACGTCCTTCATGTCAAAGTGCTGCCGTCCATCCGGCGTGAGCTCGTCGTTGGTATCGCCGATCAGCGCAGTCAGCTGTGCACGCGCAAGTGCCGACTCGCCCGCATCCGAGTCGTCCTCGCCACGCGTCTGGTTCGCCTTGACCTTCTTCGTCTTGGTCTTGTTGGAGGGGGCAGAATCACCAAACTCGGCAGCGAGCGCAGCTTCCATATCGACGTCTTCGTTGAAGAAGGGATCGTCGAAGCCGGCGTCGGTGCTGACGATCCCGCCGTCTTCGGGCGCGGGAACGGGCTCGTCGCCACCATCCTCGCCCGCACGCTTGGCCTTCTTGCGCTCCTTCTTCTCCTTCTGCTTGCGCACGTACTTTTCGAGCGTCGTCTCGTCGCCACCCTCCTTGGTCGCATTTGCTGCCTTGCGTCCCACCGCCTCGGACAAGCCAGGCATAAAGGTGATCTGCATCTCGCCCTGCTCGTCGTCGTCGCGACTCGGGTCGTCAAACACGCCGCCACTGCGCTTGCCCTTCTTGCCGAAACCTGCGTCGTCGCCATCGACATTGAGCAGCGCCCTCAGCCTGTCGCGTCCATTCTTGGCTGCCACCTCGTCCTCGTCCGGCTCAGACTCGGTGTCCGAGGCGAGGTACGCCTTGAAGTCGTCCTGGCGCAGCTGGTCCTTGGTCAGGCCGCCGCGCGAGACGAGCCGCGTGAGCTTGGTGCGCTCGGGGTCGTCCTGGTCCCACGTGAGCTTGACGCGCGAGTGGCGCAGTGCATCCGTCTTAAAGTCGACGCCCTTGTAGTTGGCCGCGTCCTCGGTCGCTTCGTCGCGGAACTCGGCATCGCGACCCTCCTCGCCGTCCGGGAACTCCATGCCGTCCGGAACAAAGCGCAGGTCAAACACGTTGGCCGTGCGCTCCATCTCGGTGCCGTCGATCTCGTTGTACACGTGGCGTGCGGTTTCCTTGCCGTCAAACGTGGCGACGGCGTAGTAGTAGCGCAGTCGGTCCAGCTGGTACTTGCGCAGCGCCTCTTCGTCGAACTCGCCGCCCTCGTCGACTTGGACGATGGTCTTGGTGGTGATCTCTTCGTCTTCCGAGTCGCTCGCGGCACCGCTGCGTTTGCCCTTGAAGATCTCGGGCGGAGGTCCTTCGAGATCCTCCTTGGCCATGCGCTCCTTGCCAAAGTCGCTCGGATACACGCGCACGTGCAGCAGCTTGCCGCGCACCTGCGAGATCGCCGGCGCAGCTTTGCGCGACGACGACGGCTCGGCCGCAGCACGACGGTGCGCTTGGAGCGCCTCAGCCGCCGTGACGGCGGCGGTAGGCGAGACGATGCTGCTGAAGACCTTGTAGATGTCCTTGGCACGCACGTGGTCCCAGTCGAGGTTCACCGCGGCGAGGCGGTGCGTGTCGTCGCCACGCGGGATCTTCTCCTTGCTCGATTTGGCCTTCCGGCGCGCCTTGTCCTTGCCCTTGCCCTTCTTGCGCGACGAGGATGCCTCGGCCTCCGAGTCCGAGTCGTCGCCCTCGATACCGCCTTCCGCAATGGCACGCTCGGCTTGTGCGTCGAGCTGGGCGTAGACCTCCTCGTCCACCTCCTCGTCCAGATCAATGTCGCCGATGTCCGAGCCCAGACCGTCGTCGTTGTCATCGTCCTCCTCGAAGCGCGCCTCGCGAGCCGCTTTCTTCCTGCGCTCGCGGTCGACCACGCTCGACGGGCCGATCATCACGTCGTCGTCCTCGCTGCTTTCCTCGTCGCTGTCCGATTCGTCCTCGTCCGAGTCTTCTTCGGCCGATGAGGACTCTTCTTCGGAACTTGACTCGAGGTCGCCCTCGCCACGCGCATAGTCGATCGCACCAGCCTCGGAAGCAGCCTCTTCGTCGTCGTCGTCATCCTCCTCGTCGCTGCTGTCGTCTTGGTCGGCCTTGGTGGGGTCGAGGTCGTCGTCCTCCAGACGGTAGAATCGCTTCATCTGGTCGGCATCGCTCTTGCCCTTGGCGACCTTGCGGCCGTACTTGTCGGTCTTCTTCTTCTTGCCCTTCTCCTCCTCAAAGAGGCCCTTGAAGCGCTCATCTACGACCACCTTGTTGTCGTCGCGCTTGGGCTTGAGGAAGCGCGGGTCGGTGTGAACACGCGAGAAGCGCGGATCGGTCGTCTTGGGTGCATCGCCGAAGCTCGGCGCACCGCCACTGCTCTTGGCGCCTTTCGCCATGTCGGTATAGAGTCGATGTGCAGAAAGGCTGGTGACAGTTGAGAAGGTTGAGCTGCGCGAAGCAGCACCCTCAGAAGGCCAGTGCCCTTCGGAAAGGGTTTTCTGGATTTTACTCGCCCCGCTGCCGCTCAGTTTTCCCAAAAATTTTCCCGGCCAAATAACGTGGAGCACATCTCCGTCTTCCGAGCTCCCTTGCGGTCTAACAATTTAAATTGCGCCTCGCAGACGCTGTATCGACCCTGCCGTCCGTTATCGTAGCCTGTATGGAGTGGCTGCCACTACACAGCGCTACTTTCGTCCACCTCAGAACAGCTTCAGTCAGGCCCAACAAGTGGAACGCAGCCAGAACGTGATTGGATTCGATGACTTGATTGCCCGTGTGTGACCAAAACACCAAAAGAAGAGATGGGAGATTGTGTACGCGAGATTATAGAGCGTCCGATGGAAGAAGAGAGAGAGAGAGGGGGGAGAGCCGAAGAAGAGAGCGAGAGATACAGAGAAAGATAGCGAGAAACGACCAAAAAGATGAGGGTATACATGCAGAAGCATGAGAGAGGAGAGACCGCGTACGTATGTTACAGCGGCCTGTCCATGAGTCGGTAGAAGGTGGTGACGAGCTTGCGCATTGGCGCAGACATGTCGGCAGGCAGATCGAGCTTGGCGTTTCCCAGCGCATCCGGTCTGTACTCGTCGTCGGACGGGTCTCCGACCCTGAGGCCTACGTTCATGAGCTGGCTGAAGCCTTCGTTGACCTGGTCTTCGGGCGAGATTTCATGGCCGACCTCGTCCGATCCTGCAGAGGGGGATCTGTGACGGATCATGTCGAGGTCTCGGAAAGCCATGCTCCACTGCTTAAAGTCGCGCTTGGTGACGGATTGTCTCAGCACACGGATGACGCCGTGGTGACGAGGATCGCGCTCGATCGAGTCGTACAGCGCATCCACTGCCTCTGCTGGTCCTTCGAGGAACTGTGCAAAGGTGCCGTCGCGGTACAGAAGCAGACCGGTGATGCCAAGGCGCGAGTTGTTGGTGCGCGACGCACGAAGGATCGACTTGACTTCGTCTGTCGACATGTGGCGCGAACGAGCCGACGACGTATACACCGTCTGGATGAGGTCATCTTCTTCTGCGCTGCTTGCATCGGTGGTGCTGGGCGTGTCGATGCTGCTGATGGGCGACGAACGGCTGTACGAAGTCGAGCTGCTGACCGAGTCGATCGAGTCCGAAGACGACTGGCGCGATGACGGATTCGACAAGGGGCGCTTGGGAGGTGCCGACGCGTCCAAACCGCGAGACGAACTGCTGCGCGTGAACGACGCCGGCGGCCGAGCGGGCGAGGAAAGCACGTCAAACTTGACCGTGCTGTCGCTCGACATGTACGACGAGCGCGGGATGGACGGTGGATGCTCCAGGTGCACCGTGGGTCTCTGCATGCCCATCGACCCCATCGATGCACTCTGTTGATGGAGCATGTCGAAGAACTGTTTGGCCGACGATATGTGTACGTGTGGATGTGGGAGTGTCGCTCGAGGATAAGATCGAGACTATTGACGCCAAGGATGTCTAGTGCATAGGCGATGGGGACAGAATGGAGCACGCAATAATGTTACGATCGAGCACCAGGTATGGTAACGATAGAGATGAGATATGAAGATGAAGAAAAGTCGTGCACCGTATCCTCAGCTGAATTGAGCTGTTACTGGACGGCGGATGTCGATAGGCTGATCAATGGCACAGCGGCAACGACAACGGTAGATGGTGATGAGGAGAGAGAAGGTTCCAGCACGGTCTGGACAGCTAGACATGGGGCGGGCCAGCCAAGCGCGTGTGGGTTGGGTGGGTGGAGAGAAGGCGGGTGTACTGTACCGCTCTCAGACGATTGCGTGTAACGCCATCCACGCCGCTCGCGATCCTGACAAGGCCCGCCACGCTGGGACGTCAAGGGCACTTTGTCAGGCAAACCGCAAACCGTGGCCGGCATTTGCTTGCAGCTCGTCCTGCGTACCAACTCCGGCGCGGGGGCGAGCCACCTCCATCGCGGGCGGCATGGCCGTCGAATACTGCCTGGGCGGAGCCGGCAGTGCAGAGAGCCCAAGGGTTCTGAGTCAACTCGACATGCAGGTCCCTGGGTCCATTTGCCGGGCCACCCATCACGGCCTGGTAGAGTGCGGCTTGAGAGAGAAAAAAAGGAGACAGGAAAAAGCGCAAAAAAGCTGGCAAGTTTGGCGTGAGTGAGCGCGGTCTCGAATCCTCCACGTAGATCGAGAAGCGGTTCTCGCCCCGTCCTGACAGCATCCTCTGCTGAGCTGCTACCACCAGTGCGTTGCGTCTTGTTTCAGCCTCGAATCCTGCCGCCTGTGAATTTGATGAGGCAGCTCTGATCCACCTGCATCACCGTCGTCGGCCTTCCGGCTTTTGATTTTTGTGTACAGTGTGGCAATCGAGCGCTTGGGACACGACCCAAGCCTTCTCGCCAGCCTGTTGCCGCTGCCAAGTGGCTTCTTGTACCGCCGTTGTCCAACCGGAAACTCTTTGCCGGCCCGTGGCTTCCGTCCGTCTCCCGAAGGATGAGAATCTTGGCGCCTTGGCTGCAGGTTCTTTTTCGAGATGCTGTGGACAATCGTACCGGTTGTGTGTACCAGCAAAAGCGCCGATTGTTTCCGCTGCAAGGTGACCCGGGCGTGCCGCAATCCCATCCTCAAGAGTGGCACTGACTTGCCACACGCCTTAGTTAGACTATCCGAGCACTTTGAGCTCTGCCAAGCCTCGATTCCTCATTCATTGGCTTGTCCTGGACCAAGTTGCCGGGCAAGGTTGGTCCTTTGGCGCCTGCAATCCGGCTTGTGCTTGATCTCGATTGCTGTGCTGCTGACATTCGTCTCGGCAGTGGCGCACCGAGGCGGCACGGAAGCAAGCTCGCTTGGCCAACTGGATCGCCGACGCACGCCGTGGCACTGGCCTCGTTAGGCGGCTCTCAAACGCACGGCGGCATAGCTCGAGCCGAGCGGCGTCCCGGACGTCACGACCGAGGCGGGAGAAAAAGTTTAGGCTGAGCATCGAGGTGGAGTGTTGCCCAGCGCAAAGAGGCTATGTCGGTCATAGACGCTCCTAAGCGCCGCAACCGATGCGCTATTCGATCGTCGTGCACCTGGTGCGTCGACATTCGAATTGGACACCGCGATCGGCGCGTCAGATAGAGTCGAACTCCCCGCAAAAAAGGCCATATCGAGACGCACTTTTACACATCACAAATTGCATTCCGCGTCAGCTGAAGCCAAGCATCAATCGGGCCTTGCAACTCTGCCAAGGGCAGTTCCCACGCGGGTTGACCGGACTGTGCATCGGGTCAAACCTGCAAAGTTGGTTGGCCGAGTTCTAGACCACCAGACGCTTCCATTCAGCACACGCCACGGTGCCAGGTGTCTGCACTCGTCCCAGCTCCGACGATGCGATACCGGTCAATGCTTCGATGGTGTCTAGACCTATCTTTCTACCCCGCAAACATGCAGACCAAGCTTTCAGTGCAGCGTTTCATGTGTAATCAAGTCAGGGCTGTGCATGTACATATGTGCAAGACCTGCGATCGTCCCGATCGTGTTGGTTCTGACCCGAAACCCGAGGCTCTGGCTGCACCGGCCAACTGAGGTCTCGGTCTTTGGACGTGCGGCTTGGTCTGGAGCAGTTTCGTGGCTCAGTGTTGTTGGGAGGTGATGATAAGATCATTACAGTAGCTTGTGCAGAAGGGGAGCTGGCCGATGCGAGATGGCCGATACCGGCCTAACAATGGTGGTATTTCGCTCCATTTTGTAGCCATCTTTTCAGCATGGCTTTTCTCGCATTTTTCGTCCAGCAAGCAAATGTTCAACGCCCTAACATGCCCAAAACGCGGGCTGCCACGCGCATTACTTTTGGAGAGCGGCCAGGGTCTAATCGAGGCGGCGCAGCTCAGAAATGCCACACAGACCATCCCTGCACTGGTTGGCGCTGCGTGGGTGCGGTCCGGGCGGCTGAGGTGCCAGTCACCACTTGCTGCGCCTTTCCACCCCACTCCACTCTTCCACCATCCTCAACGTCGGCCCCATCTTCCCCCTCAGCACCCATAGGCACCGCTCTCTGTTCGAGACGTCGCCGTCGCCACCGCACGTCCATCAGACGCCCATCATGAACGCGCTGCAGACCCACTTTTGGGCGGTGCGCGAGTACCTGTCGCCAGTGCTGCGCGAGTCCAAGTTCAAGGAGCACGGTCGAATCACTCCAGGTACGTCGAAGCTCTTTCACCAGCGCATCGACACATTACAACGATGCTGACACCTTGATTTCCCGTGCCGTCGTTCGCATCGCAGATGAATTCGTGGCGGCAGGCGACTTTCTCTCGTACAAGTTCCCCACGTGGCAGTGGTGCGCCGGCAGCCCGTCCAAGGCGCGCGACTATCTGCCCAAGGACAAGCAGTTCCTCATCTCGTGCGGCGTTCCCTCGCTGCGCCGTGTCAGCCAGATCGAAAAGGGCGTCGGCGTCGGCGTCAAGGACGACGACGAGCGTCTCATGAGCTTTGCCGACGGCGACGAGGGCACTGACGACGACCAGTGGGTCGCCACCCACTTTGACGCCAACAAGAGCTCCAGCAGCGGCGTAGCCGACATGATCGACATTCCCGACATCGGCGAGGACCAATCAGCTCCCGAACACCAGCTCACCGAGGGCCAGGAGGACGACCTGGCCGCACGTGTCGCTGGTATCAGCGTTGGCGGCCACAACACCGTGCCGCCATCTACATACGCCGGCGAGATCGGCGACATCCCAGACATCCCCGACATTCCAGATATGGACGATGAGGCGGACGACCTTGCGGGCGGCGTCGAGGAGGAGGACGATCCTGCCACTGCCGCTGTGTCTGCTGCAGGCGCGAATGCATCGGCGGCCGACAACGGAAAGCTGCTCTCGGTGCGCAAGTACGACTGCATCATCACGTACGACAAGTACTACCAGACGCCGCGCATGTGGCTGGTCGGCTACGACGAGCACGGCGTTCCGCTCAAGCCTGCGCAGATCTTTGAGGACGTCTCGTCGGACTATGCGCAGAAGACGGTGACCATCGAGCCGTTTCCGCACGGTCATGCGGGGCCGGACAGCTCGGCGGCGTCGTCGTCGGCGAGTGCGGCGGGCGTGGCGACGGCGAGCATCCATCCGTGCAAGCACGCGAGCGTGATGAAGAAGGTCATCGAGCGCATGAACGCCAGCGTTATCGAGGAGCAGCGCAAAGCAGCAGCAGCGGGAGATGGTGGAGGTGCACCCGCGGCGGATAAGAAGAAGAAGAAGGCATGGAGCGTCGCAAGTGCCGTCAAGCGCGTCACGGGCAGCACGGGTGACGAGGCACCAGCCGCGGCGCAGTCAGAAGGCGCAGATGCTGCCGAGGAGGATGTACAGGGTCTGAGGGTCGACCAGTACATGATCATCTTCCTCAAGTTCATGGCGTCCATCGTGCCCGCCATCGAGATAGACGCCACACAGGCACTCTAGACCTCCACCCCCGCTCCTTTTGTTTGTCGCAACTCGCATGTCACAGTCTCAGCGTCGCGAGTGCTTTGGCTTGTGCAGGATGAAAGGGAGATTTCGCTCGTTCGTTCCGGGGTATATGATTGACACGACAAAATGGGAAGGGATGATGGCGTTTACTCCTGCGAGTCGGGATCGGGATGGACTGGTCTGCGCAGAGCAGCCTTCTGCTTACCCTGGCGGATCTTTTCCTCGTTCCTCCTCTGTTTTTCCTCGTCGGGCGTACGGCGCTTGACATTGTTCCGATGCACTCTGCCCTTTCGATGCGTATCCCTGTCGACGTATCGGACGAGGACGGGTTGGGTGGGGTCCCACGTGCACACGTCGCAGGTGTACAGTCGGTTAGCCTGGATGGTCTGCATCCCCTCTGGTGCGCTTTCATCCGCGCCGAGTTTGGTGAGTGCTTGGTTGGCAGTTCGCCCTGCCAACAAGTACTGTTCGGCAGCTTGGGGGTTGGACACGCCGGCAGGATCTGGCAGTGTTTCGCGGTTTAGGAAACGCGCAAGGATATCCAGTGCCGGTGTGCGAACCTTATCGTCCCAGTCCGCAGGGTTAGTGGCGTCGAGAAGGTACAGCTCGACGTCGCCGTGAGCGATTGCCGCCTGGGCACGACGCACTTCGGGGACCAGCTTATTTTGCACCCACTTGAGTTGCGACTTGGCATACTGTCGTGTCGCCGTCTTGGTGCCCTCGACCGCCTCGACAAACGCAGCCGCTTTCGCCGCACTCGTAGCGAGCGTGTCGAGTCGATCGAGGTACTCGGCAAACTGCCGGTATCCGATAGTCTGAAAGATACCGCTGGTGTAGGTGTGCGTGAGCGTTTGGGCGATAGCATGCATCTGGCGGACTTCGGCCTCCAACCCGCGTGTGACCATCTCATCCACCCGAGTATCGAGTCGGTCTCGAAGAACGGGTGGATCACACCATAGCCAGAATAGCAGCTTGCGATAGCCACTCACGCCTTCGACAGGGGCGATGGGGGAGGAGTCCTGTTGAGCGATCCACTGCGAGTGAGGGATGCCGGTTTCCTTGTACACGCGCAGCGAGTTGGCGATCTTGCGTGCATCGCGGTAGTGCCATCGCTGCGCCATAGCCGGATCGACGCGCTGCAGAAGCTGCCAGAGCTTCATCCCCAACTCGCCGTCCTGCGTCGCACGCGTTGCAAGATCCACTTTGGCCTCATTTTCCGGCGAGACCTGGTGCAGCAGCTCGCGCTCCTCACTGCCAAGACCGCGGTACGTCTCGTTCTGCTCCAGATCAACCCCGGCAGCCGCGTTGGGAGTGCTAACCAGTCGACCTGGGAAGAGCAGGTGCTGGAGATAGTACGTTGTGCCTCCGCAGATGATGGGCAGTTTAGCCTCCGCACGCAGCTTCGATACGATCCGGTTGGTGTCCGCCACAAACCGCGTCACGTCGTAGCTCTCCCCCTCCGTCGCCGCTGGGTCGAGGAAGCCGATGAGGTGGTGTGGGATGTCCTGCATCTCGGACGGCGTCGCCTTGTTCGTGATGATGTCGAGGCCTTTGTAGATCTGCATGCTGTCGCACGAAATCACCTCGCCACTCGTGTATGCACCGAACCGTCCTGCCTGCGCTTGCAATGCAACCGCCAGCTCGACAGATAGCTTGGTCTTACCCGTCCCCGTACTTCCGAACACCGTCACCACCTCCCCCTCCATCCGCACCGCGCCAGCCAGACCCAAATCCTGTCCCACGCCCACAGCCACAAGAGGGAAAAGAAAACACAGAATTGCAAGTGTCGTGTAAGAATAGGCTCTTCCAGTGCGCGCGCTCTCAGAGACCAAGATCCTAGAGTGGGAGAGAAGAGAAAGATCGGACCGCACCGAAGCGACACCGCAACGATGCATGTCAGCACCACGGTCCGCACGTGAACCTCGACCCTCATCCCCAGCCCTCTGACGAGAATTCTTCGTACTTACCTTTTCAATCTGAGCCGCCGCAATGGGGTGGTAGAAGCTCCTGTTGTCCGTAAACGTCTTCTTGGCCAGCTGCGGTTCGACCTTGTTGAGCGCGCGGTAGACGGTCCTGCAGAACTTCATCCTGCCCTGGCCCTTGACCCACTCTGCGGCCTGCTGTGCATACTTGCCACCCTCCACCTCGAGGGCCACCTCGAAGAAGCGCAGCAGCACCTCGCCGTTGGTCGCCTTGCTGAAGCCGTACACCTCGTCCAGCTTCTGCGTCACGGCGAGCGGCACCTTGGGACCGGAGTGAAGACGCTCGAGGAAGACTACCACCTGGTTGGCGTTCCAGCCCTTGATGTCGTCGAGGCTAAAGTGCGCCTTCTCGCCCGCAGAGCCGTCGACGAACTTGATCCAGCGATCGGCGAGCGAGAAGGCCTGCTCGGCCAGCGTGGTGTCGTACTCCATCTTGACGGGCAGCTCCATGCCCTCGCCATGCAGCCATGCGTCCCAGTCGACCTTGTTGAGCGCGGCGGTGACATCGGGGTTGGACTCGAAGAACTTGAACAGATGCTCGCGCCACTCGTGCGTGGTGACGGAGCGATTGTAGAAGGCGTGGAAGTAGCTCTTTGCGTACGGGAGGAAGTTGTCGAGCCCGCCGACGGTGCGCTCGAGGTAGAGGAGGAAGTTGGAGCCCTTCTCGTAGGGGATGGAGCTGAAGGCGTCGTCCGGGTCCTCGCCGTCCTTGAAGGCGGGGATGAGGCGCTGGAAGCGCGGGTTGTCGGCAAACTGCGCGAGCGCATCCTTGAGCGCCTTGGATCCGATGATGTACGAGAAGCCGCGGTGGGCAGGGCCCTCCTTGGCGCCGTGCACGTCCTGGAGCAGCAGACGCTCGAGATAGACGGTCCAGCCTTCGTTGAGCCAGAAGTGGGTCCAGTTGGCGCACGAGGTGAGGTTGCCGGACCACGAGTGGCACAGCTCGTGCAGCAGCACGTCGGTCAGGCTGCGGTCGCCGCACACGAGCGAAGGCGTGAGCGTGGTGAGGTTGGCGTTCTCCATACCGCCATAGGGGAAGGAAGGCGGCAGCACGACCGAGTCGTATCGCGTCCACGAGTAGGGCGAGATGACCTTCTCGGCGTGCTCGAGGAATCGCTCTGCGTCCGCCTCGAACTCCCACTGGACGGCGTCGGCGTTGGGGGGCTCGGCCCAGATGCCGGTGCGCTCGCCGAGCTTGCGGAACTCGAGATCGCCGCCGACGATGGCGATGAGGTACGAGGGGATGCCGACAGGCTGCTTGAAATGATAGGTGCCGTTCTGGCTCGGCTTGTCGTCGTCCTTGAGCGCGGACATGAGCACGGGGATGCGCGAGTGCACGGTGGCGGTGTAGGTGATCTTGTGCGAGGGCGAGTCGATGCAGGGGACGAGGGAGCGGCAGTGGATGGCCTGGCACTGCGAATAGAGGAAAGGGTTGGTCTTGCCGGCGGTCTGCTGCTTGGTGAGCCAACCGAGAGCGGTGCAGTGCTCGGTGGTGGCGTAGTCGATCTCGACGTGCAGCCTGTCGCCCTTCTTGTTGGCGGTGGCGGGGATGGGGATGTGGAGAGGAGCGCCGAGGGTGCCGCGCTGTGTGCCGAGCGAGTAGTCGACCTTGGCGCCCTGTACGGAGACCGAGTTGATCTTGAGGTAGCTGGCGTCGAGGGTGATGGAGTCGAGGCCGGGCTGGATGAGCTCGATGTCGTGCGAGACGCGACCGGAGATGATGCGTGCGTCCCAGTCGATGTCCCAGTCGAGGTGGAGGTGTACGGGCTTGTACTGGGCGACCTTTGCGTGAGTGTGGTTGTCCTCGGGCACTCGCGGGGCGGGGGCGCCGACCGAGGTAGGGTCCGGAGCAGTCCAGGTCATGTTGGCGAGTCGTACGCTGGAGGCGGTGAAGAGGTTGCGACGCGGAGTGTAGGCAATGAGAGATGTGGGAGATGTGCTTGGAGAAAGGTGACTGTGGCAGAGGGTCCTGCTAGAGGTGTAGCGGGCGAAGGGAGCAAGAGAAGCTGAACGGAGCGATGGAACGAACGAGCGAATCGAGCGAGAGACCGGAAAGGGCGGGATGATGGTGGCGGCCAGGCGACTTGTGACGAGCATGTACTCGAGCGGCGAGATGGGGAAGTACTGCCACACGTCGTAGGTGAGCCAGGGTGATGGAGGGGCTAAGGAGGATGAGGATGAGCATTAGCGTCGGACGACATGGACCCGGCGGCGGGTGGGGTCCCTGCGCTCGGCTCGCTTTTCTGATTTTTTCGCTGGCTCGACAGCCGCCGCTCAGCTTTTCGGCCCAGACGGACTCTGCCTCGGAAGTCGGTCGCCCACCAACAGAGTCGGCCGACTGGCGAGAGTTAACAGAGTGTCGCCAAATCGAAGCGCTCTAACAGGATCGGATTGGCTCAAAAGTCGCCAAACGCGCTTCCCCGCATTCCGGAGCAAAGCTTTGATTTTCCTCGCCAAGGCAAAGCCAACTCCGACATCTATGCGAACGGTGGTCATGGCTGCGACGAGCCCCTAAAGAGAGGCGCACATTGTCTCTCTGCCGAGTGCCTCATCAAATGAGTCTGCTAGTGAATGGATGGATGTCGATCGATGGCGCAGAACAGCTAGTTGTCTCGCATCAGGCGCCAATCGGGGAATGCCAGAGCATGTCTTCCGAGCCGACGGACGAGGTGAGGCGGGGCGAGGCGCTTGGCACTCGACGGGCGGATCGTCGAGGCTCAGCAGCGCAGGGGCGCGGGATAGGAGCTCGTCCTGTGGGGCAGCATGCAGCTCAGCCTGTCAGCCGTCTCGCTTAGATCGAAGGGATGCGTTGCTCTGGTAGGGCTTCATCCAACTCGGCTGCTGCTGCGGGCGGCGCACGCTCCCATCGGCGCTTCGCTGTCGGCGCGATCCGCACCGGCGCTGGTCCGAACGCATCTCGCCCTCGCCGTCATCTCGCGCAGATTGGTCTCCGCATCGGAAGCAGTCCGTCGCTGACTCGAGGTCATGTGCTTTTTGGAGGGCTGCAAATTTTGACTCAACGTTTGCAAAGTGCACTTGCCCCTGCATCCTCTGCTCGGCATAAGTTTGGTGGTGAAGAGCCGCCATGGAAGCTCGTCGGCTCGTATGCTCGCCCGCTCACCCGCTCGAGCTGCCCCACGGGACCCTGAGCGACTGCATCCCCGCTGTCTCAAGCAACTCCACACGCTGTCATCACGCTCTCTCTCTGCAGCTGTATTTTTTTTTGTTTATTTATTTTTTCTTCACCCGACCCGACCTCGCAACCGTTGGAAAGGGCATCTGCAGGGCTGAGGCGGACCTCGCTTTCAACAGGCTGAGCGAAGGAGAGTGTGCTGTCTCGTTCTAGACTTTTTTTTTCTCCCGCTCGCTGATGCTTCGGCGGGTTCATCCCGAGCAGCAGCAGCAGCTCATCAAGCAGCGGTGGGGACTTGCGTCTTGACCCCCACCAACTCGACTCGCATATAGGCCTCGCCGTCATTCCGCCGCCCCTGAAGCTGCGACTTTCTACTTCTCCTCCCTCCCAAGCAGGTCGCAGCAAGCTTTCCTTCTCTTACGCATCGCAGCAAGCATCTTGGACCACATCGGCTCCTTCTCTCTCGGATACTCTCACGTCACGCTCTCCCCAACGACAGTCGGCTTGGCTCAGGGCGCGCATATACCCACGCTCATCGCATCGTCTGGCTCGGCAGAGCCTACTTGGATTTAAGCTCTAGCATCTGCCACCTCCTTTCTCGCAAGCATCTTGGTCGAGCATCTGGGCGAGCATGACGGGCTCCGAGACCGCACGCGCGGTGCTGTTCGTGAGCCTCGCCATCCTGGGCTGTCTCATCCGCACGTACATCCGCACCGCCAACGGCGAAAAAGAAGACGAGGTGCATTTCTGGTCGTCGCGCTTCAGCCAGCTCGCGGACGCGCCACCGTCGCCTGCGCCAGCCGCTCCCGTCGGCCAGGTGCGCCCGCGCAGCACCAACACGTCGAGCGGCGAGGTGAGCCAGGCAGTGTCGGTGCTGCATGACCAGCCGCCGCGGTTTGCGCCCTTCCTCGCCGACAGTGTCGAGCCGCAGCACGAGGAGGTGCCGTTGGCACCGGTGGCGTGCCAGGGCGCCGAGATCGACGAGGCGTATGAGGACTGGGCGGCCATGCACCATGCTAGGGGCGCCGTGTCCGAGGATGCCGAGGCGAGCATCGACAAGCTGTGGCAAAGCAGGCAGCTGCAAAAGGCCATGGGAGTGCATGCGCTCCCGCATCTCGAACCGCTAGGCACGAGCGGAGCCAACACGCCCACCATCTGGACCTCCCACTTTCCCCCCGCTCAACTTCGTCCCTACTAGCCTTTCCGCCCGTCCGCGCGCCACCAGCCAGCAACGTTAGAGTTCAGAGCTGTGGCTCTTTTCAAGATCGTCTTTTTGACTGCATCGTATACTCATCGCTGACGTCTGCCCACCCTCGCCTTGGGAGGATGGACAGACGACGGCGACGATACCCTACCCCAGCCCTTCGTTTGCGGAGGGAGGGGGTGCTGCAGTGTTCGCATTTGCATTCGCATTGTCTTCGTCTTTCTGCGCATGTATCCTATATAACCCGGTTTGCCCATTCGCAATACCACTCTCTCCACCCATCGAACCCGGCATGTTTTACAGTACCGACATTCTATCCCGTCGCAAGAGCGGCTTGGGCATCGTGTGGCTCGCGGCTACACTGGGTGATCGGAGTGTGATCCGACGTCTGAGTCGGCGCGAGATCCTCGGTGTTGACATAGCGAAAGCGTGCGCGTACCTCCGCACTCCCACCGAGCCACTGGCACTGCGGCTGTCGAGCCAGCTTCTGTTTGGCGTGGTGCGGCTGTACGGCCACCAAGCCGAACTGCTCTTTCAAGACGTCTTTCACGTCCAAGCCGATATTCGACGGCGTGTCCTCACGACGGTGACGCCCACGACAGCCACGGCCGATATCGACATGCGCGCAACTACCAAATCCCTGAGCGCCATTACGCTGCCTCTGGACTTGACATTCTTCGCTCTCGACTTCAACCAGGCCACCATCGAGCTGCTGGGAAGATGGAGTGTGGAACCACCGCAAAGGGAGGAGGTGGAGCTGGAGGACGGATTCCGTACGCCGACTCCGGCGAGGTTCGTCGAGGCAGAGGAGAGGATCACGCTGCCCGGGCGTGCGTTTGAGGAGGACGATTTGGGCATGCCGCGAGCGTTTGGCGACGAGACCATGCCCATGCCGGGCGACGCCGAAGAGTTCGAAGCGGAAGCGCTCGACCTGGGTCTGGACGTAGAGCCGGTGGGGATGGAGCCTTTCTTGCCGGGCGAATTCGAGGGCGCGCCGCGAGAAGGCGAGGACGAAACCATGGGCACTGCACCCGTGGTGGAATGGCCCGAGCTCGAAGATCGGCTGCTGGAGGAAGCTGCGCGGCTCGATGTGGGGCCTGCACCGGAAGGCGTGGCTGCAGTCACACCAGCTCGCCGGGCAAGGGAGGAAGAGCAAGCGCAGCGTCGACAGCGTGCACGCCTTACACCGCTCGAAGACGCCGAGACGATGCTGAGCGAGACGCATCTGCGTGCAAGTCGAGCCGACTACGTCGCGCGCATGACCACCGAGCGTGACCTCCAGCAACGTCGCCAAGCAGCTCGACAAGCCGACGCAACTGTGCGCCGTCTGGTATTCGAGCCACCTGCAGACTTGACTCTGAACCCGCAGCTGGCAGAGTTGTGGCAGACCACAGTGGGCGCAAACATGTTGTCTCGCCGCGCGCGCTTTCGAGCCATGCGCACCGATGCCGGCATGTCCCCACTTGTGGACGCGCCACCTTCGCCGCCACCCCCAACGCCGTGGGTGCCCATGGACGAGGACGTCGATGTGGGCGTAGCCCGTGCTGCCTCACCTGCACTCCCGGCTGAGCTGCGCGGCGCGCGCGAGTCGCTGCCCTGGAACGTCTTCATGGAGCACCGACGTCGGTCGTCCATGCTGCCCTCGGTCTCGTACGATCGCCCCACATTCGAGCGTGAACTCACACCCGTGCGTCCGCGCGAGGTGTCGGTGGAAACACCCACCGGCCTCCGTCGCTTCCCTGTCGAATCCCCAGCCTACGTGCCTGCGTCACCATCGACACTGGCGCAGCTGGAAGAGTACCCGCCTCCTGTGGGTGGGACGCCGGAAGTCGAGCGGCTGCGTCTGGGTCTACCCACAGCCGCGCAGAGGGAGGTGTCGCATACGCCCCCGGCGCAGGTGTTCGAGGAGGACATGGAGGAGGAGACGCGCAACTTTCTCGAGTACGCACGAAGCATCCGGCGCGAGCTCGAGGATCCTACGTTCTTGTTCTTTAGCGATCTCGCGCCGGTGGCGGCCAGCACGCCCGCCGTGGCTGCACAGGCGTTCTACCATACGCTGGCGCTGGCGAGCGCGAGGAGCATCAGGGTGCAGCAGGATGAAGCGTACCAGCAGATCCAAATCACGTTTGTACAGCCCTAGCCCCAGCCTTACACAGGACAATGACAGCACAATGACATTTGGCAAGCCAGAGCTGTCGGACTTGGGCGGTGGCGGGCGGAGGCGTTGAGTGCGCCGTGCATACAGGCTGTGGGCTGCGCGGCTACGAAATTGAAGAGCAGCCAACGCTGTTTCCCACCGGCCTCAGCTGCTGGGCGCCAAATTCAGCTGCGACCTCCGCGCCGATGCCCACTTCACCCTCGCCTCGACGTTCGCGCGCTAATCTCTCGCATTCCTCGGCTTCTTACAAAAGGCCACCACATCTAGACACCACCTCCAGGCTCTCAGCACACCTTCATCACACTCCTTTACAACATCGACCGGGCGCTCTCTCGCACATATAGCCACGCTTCGGTTCTCGCCTCTCGCCTGCCGCAACGATGGCACGTACCGACACCGCCGCCGCGCGCCACCTCGACGCCGAGCAGCACCAGCGTCTGCTGCGGCGCAAGCTCGTCTCGCTCGCCGGTTCCGTGTGCGTCTCGCTGTCGGCCGGCTCCAACTATGCCTTTTCGTCGTTCGCGCCGCAGCTGCAGGAGTCGCTGCACCTCTCTTCGACGCAGATCAACCTGATTGGCATTGCGGGCAATGCGGGCGTCTACCTCTCGTCGCCGCTCTGGGGGCGGTTTATCGACAAGCGCGGCCCACACACCGCACTTGTGGTTGCAGCCGTGCTGGTGCCGCTTGGATATGCGGGGCTGTCTGCGAGCTACACGGGCGAGTGGAGGATGCATTCGACGCCGCTGCTGTTCGTGCTCAACCTGCTCACCGGGCTGGGTAACAGCGGTGGGTTTACGGCAGCCATGAATGCGCAGGCCAAGTCGTGGGGTGGGAGTAGGAGGGGCACGGCGACCGCGCTTGTGCTGTCAGGATTCGGGCTCAGTGCGTTCTTCTACTCGACGCTGAGCCATCTGTTGTTCCCAGGCAATACGGGCGATTATTTGCTGCTGCTCGCGTTTGGCAGTATGGCCAGCATGCTCATCGGCTTGGGACTCATCAAGATCATCCCGCCGCTGGAGACGCCTGCGCCTGCGCATGCCGAGAGGAGCGAGGGCGGGTCGGGTTACCTGCGCAGGAGGACGTCGTCGGACATCGGCGCACGTGCTACGGTGTGGCACCAGCCCGAAGCACTGAGTGCCGAGGCGACGGACGATGAAGACGACGCGCGAGCTCCGCATGCCGGTGGCTCGCGGGACATCACCCCCGCCGAAGAGGTGGATCCCGAGGCACAAGGTCTGCTGTCTGGGCGCGACGAGTCCAAGCGCCCAGGCCGCGAGGTGGATCCTGCGCACATCGACATTTCGGGACGCAAGCTGTTCGGCCAACCGGACTTCTACCTGATCTTTCTGGTCATGACGCTCGTCTCGGGCGCCGGGCTGCTGCTCATCAACAACGTCGGCACCATCACCAAGACTCTGTGGGACTACAATCACCGCACCGATGCCGTACTCGTTGCCGCTTCCAACGCTGATTTGCGTCGTCGTCGCGCTCTGGTATCGAGCGAGGCGTTCGAGGCGGCCAAGAAGAGCGCAAAGAGTTCGGTGCAGCAGATGCAGGCTCGTCAGGTCTCGCTCATCTCGCTGTGCAACTTTAGCGGACGTATCATCATCGGTCTGCTCTCGGACTGGCTCGTCAACCGCACCGCTTCGGCGGCTAATAGGGTGTGGTTGCTCGTGGTGGTGACCACGCTGGCATTTGGGAGTCAGCTGCTGGCCGCTTTCCCCGGGGCAGTGGATACGGTGGATCGACTGTTTGCTGTGTCGGCGCTGACGGGGTTGGCGTACGGTACGCTGTTCGGTGTGTGCCCCACGCTCGTGTTCGAGTGGTTTGGCATGAAACACTTTAGCCAGAACTATGGCTTTGTAAGTCTGTCGCCCGTTGTGGCGGGCAACGTGTTCAACCTGCTCTTTGGACATATTTACGACAGCCATGTGCCGGCCGATGCGAGCGTGCTCAGCGCGGTGTCGGACGTGCTGGCATCGGTGCGTGGGAAGAACGACCATCCCGCAACACGACACCTGTGCATGGACGGCGAGGAGTGTTATCGCCAAGTGTTTGTCGTCACTTCAGTAGGCTGCGCCGTAGCCATCCTGCTCAGTCTCGTGCTTATTGCAAGAAGAGCCACAAACGTGCCCTCTTTTCTTCGTCGCTAGAAACTTCCCATAGCTAGAACAATTACATTCGTTTTGCAGTAGAGAGGTCATGTGTATCCCCAGAATGCGGCTCGTAGGGGTGACCCGAAAAGCTTGTACCGATTAAACACTAACCCCGACCCAAACATCAGTCTTTGCGTTCCTTTCGAAGGAGGGGCTAAGGGGGTGACTTACAAAAGTATCCGAACTTTCGACCGAAAAACTTGCCGACAAAGGGGCACACTACGATCTGGAAGAGCAGTTTGAACTGGTCCACTTGTTGTTCCCACTCGCGCTGGAGGGCGAGTTCGTCGTCGGAGTCAAATTCGCTTGAACTCGCAGTGCTGGAGGAAGTATGCCATTGCGAGGCATCGTCGTATGAGCGTTGTGATTGTTGTCGATGCGCTAGGTGCGACATCAACGATGTTGGCGCTAAGCCGTCGTCGAGGTAACTCATTGCCTCCCCGCCCAACCAGGACTACAATGGTGATGATGATGGTAGGATGCCAAAAGGGAAGCTAGGTCGATGGGTAAAGGGTCTTGATGCCGCGCGCGCACGTGCGTCCAAAAATGTGGAGGCATTTCACCTCACACTCGCATCCCAAAAGCCTCTCCCGGTCCACACTTCGTTGCACTAAGCCCAAGTCGTCGTTCTGTATCCGGTTCTCTGTGTCGTTCTCATCCAGTACACGGAATCGGATCCCATCGCATCGGTGAAGCTGAGTCGCATCGCGGGTCCCACAAAACCAAGCAGCAACGACGTACACCATAATCAGACTGACAACGGCACAGTGAAAGCATGAGAATCGATGATGCGGATGCTGGAGTGAAGATGGCTGTGAGCGAGCAACCGGCTTCTCCGTGGACTTTTACGATCATTGGCGACGTGGGGACGGATCCACTTGGTGCAGAAGTCGCGGCTATGAACGTCTGTCTGATCGGAGTCCAGATCGATGCCTTCGCCGAGGATACCGTCGTTGACCCAGATCCTGGCGTTGCTGTCGTCGGGTGCCATAACCTGGAGATTGTAGCAGCCCTTCTTCGTAGCGATGGGGTTGTAGATGAGCATGACGTGCGTATCCATCCAATACATCGAGAAGCTCTTGCTCGTATCGTCGATCGTAAAATCTACCCCCCGCACAATGCACGAAGATCAGTATCTTGAAAGCAAGGCTGTTTGGAGAGAGGAGGGTGCTTACCGTGATATGCATCGTCCTTGACCAGTACATCAGTGGCAGGGTAGGCAAATTCGCCCTTGGTGATCGAGACATCGACGTTCGACGCGTCACCAGCGAGGAAGGTGAAGCAAACATGGTCGGGCGGACTACCTGAGCCACAGCGCTTCTCGTACTCGGCATTGTTGACTGTCAGCGGCGTCTGACGCTCGTAGATAGCGACATCCAACATCGCGCACACAATCCGAGACCAACAAGAAGATGCTTAACGAACATGGTCGAGGAGTGCAAGGCAAGAAGACGTGGTTGAGGGAGAGACTAACAGCGTCCCCAGGTGGCCTTATATACGCTAACCAAAGCATCACCCCCTGGAAAGCGACAGTTGGGAAGGCATGGCAAAGCGAGCGACCAACCCTCAATCTGTGAATGTACCCACTGCCACCCACCTGTCGTGATTGCAAGTGAAACCAAACCAACCCAAGCCTGAGTGATCTCATCGTGCCCCACCCAACACATCTGTGTACCAGGTCCATCGACAATCCTACTGCGACACACACATAGCCGCTTCTGCCCACTCAAACCCCTCTTGACACAACGCCTGCAAAGCCATTCATGCTTTCTGTGCGGGGATATCAATACAAGCCTGCGCAGCACTAGTACGGTTGCTGACCGCCGTAGCCGCCGCCGCCACCGTAGTTCGGATCGGCCCCACTGCTGGCTCCGCCGTACATGGCCTGCGCGTAGCGGTCGGGATGCATGCCCCTGGGCACCTGCGGTCGCGACGGCGGCGGACCAGGCTCACCGCTGCCACCCGGTGCACCGCCATACGCCGGCGGATACCCGGGCGGTCCACCGCTCATCATGCCCGGTGGCATCATGGGTGGCGCACCGGGCATCGCAGGCGGTCTACCTGGCGGAGGTGGTCCGCCGTAGCCACCCACAGGCGGGCCTCGTCCACCGCCGTACCCGGGAGCGCCGTACGGGTTGGGTGTGGCCGAAGCCATGTTGACCATCGGCGTGCCGTATCCGCCCGCCGCCGCCGATGCGCCCATGCCCATGCCCATGCCTGCCCCGCGCGGGGTAGCACCGCCGCCCATCCCGTTGCGGGCACCGTAGGGCGTGCGTCCTCCCATGGGCGTCGCGCCACCCATGCCCGGTGCCGGCGTGCGTCCGCCTCCATACGGCGTCTTGGCGCCGCGCGCCATACTCGCCTGCGTCGTGTACTGCGTCTTGAACGCATTGCACAGCGCCGCCACATCCGCCAGCTGGTCGGCCGGCCCGAGCTTGAACGCGTTCGGCAGCACCTTGACCGGCCACGTCTGGATCGCCGCATCCCTGCTCGCCTTGAAGGACAGATTGAAATAGCCCGGACGGTCGCGGTTGAGGCCAAACGCATACACGGAGCGCTGCGGATTGGCGAGCGACCAGTTGGTGAGGAAGCGGTGCAGATCCTCCTCGTCGGCGCCCTTGTACTTTTCGTGGTTCATCATCATCTCCACCATGTGCACCATCGGTTTGACGTGGTTGACAATCAGCTCGTCCAGGTCCGAGTACGAGCCCATGCCGTCGATGCGCAGCACGCGCCCGAGCGAGTACTCGCTCTCCTTGTCCAGCTCGAGCACGTCGATGTTCTGGTACACGCCCTCGTCCACCTTCCACGTGACCGCCAGATGGTCGTCGCCCTTGCTGCTCGGCCGCACCACCACCGAGCCCCTCGGCTGTCCGCCGAGGAACTGCACGGCGTCCTTGTAGTTGAAGTTGTGGTAGTTCGGATGGTCGATCACGCGGTTCTGCCGACGCGCCTGGACGCGCGCCTTGGCCTTGGCCGCCGCCTGCTCGTTCCACTTGTCCGCCTTGGTCTTGTCGTAGAACTTGTCGATGGGCGTCTTGCCCTGGTCGCGCGCACGGTGCTGCTCCTGCAGGTCCCACGGCCGGATGCTCAGCTTGACTGTGCAGCTGTCCGTGTCGATCTGGCGCACGAGCGCGTCGAGCGTCTGCTGCGGCCGCACCAGGTCGCGCAGCCGCACCGAGCCGGGCGTGTAGTTGTCCGTGGTGTACTCGGCCTCGATGATGCCCTCGATGCCCGAGTCGAGGCGGCAGCGCACGCTGCCCTCGGCCATCCGGTTGCCCTCCTGCACGCGCATCACCTCCACCGACACCACAAAGCCCTCGCTGAGCGTCTTGGGCGTCTCGCCGGTAAACATGGTGAGCATCTCGGCCGCCGACGGCTCGCGCTGCTGCTTGCGCAGGTCGTCGTACGGCTTGATCAGCTCCTGCTTGCACAGCAGCAGCGTCGCGCGCTTCTTCTCGCCCTTGCGCTCGTACAGCATCTGCGCATAGTTGTCCAGATCCAGCGTCGACAGCTTGTCCGCCGGATCCGCATCCTCCATGAGCTCCTTGCACGGCAGACTCGCATGCTCGCCCTCGAGATCCTCCTCGTGCTTGTTGAGCGCGTCGGCAGCCATCTTGCGCGGGAAGTCATAGTCCTCGGGATGGATGCGCGTGCTGTCGAGCACGTCCGGCACGTCGTCCTCGTCGGCCTCGAGCAGCATGTCCTGCTCGATGCGCAGGAAGGACGCGCAGTTCTGGAACACCTGGAAGGGCAGGATGCTGCGCGACAGCAGAAGCGTGCGGTTGATCAGCGTGCCCTCGAGCTTGGTGTTGATGGCGTTGACGAGCGCATGCGCCTTCCTCGGACCGAGACCCGCAACGTAGGGCAGCATGGTCTGCAGGTAGGTGCTCGTCACGGCCTGGTTGATATCGACGCCACTGTCATTGACCTCGGCACCGATGCAGCGTTCAAAGTGGAGGCGCAGACGGTCCTGCGGCAAGAGGCGCTGGTTCGGGTCGAGGATGACGGCGGTGAGGTCGTTGCCAAGCGCCGCGAACTGGTTGACGGGCGACTGGGCGTAGCGGGCCAAGGCGAGACAGTAGCGGCCGAGCTCGTTGAGCTCTGGGAACTCTTCGGCGGCGCGGCTGCTGTGCTGGTAGATGCGGGCGACGTCGTCGTGGCAGGTGACGACGTCGATGAGAGCCTGGTTGCGTTCCGACTCGGAGTCGAGTCGGTCGTCGTCGCAGATCTCCTGATGCGCCATGTCGACGAGCTCGCGGACGTTCTTCTTGAGCTCGGCGGTGCGCACACTCCAGCCGCTGACGACGACCACGTCGGGACGACGCTGCTTGAGCAGCTTGACAAAGTCGGCGCGGTGGTCGACGAACTCGGCCTTTCCGCGCGTGCGCTCGGTCTCGAGCTCTCGTTCCTGCAGCTGGCGGGCGGTGAGCGGGCGCAGGTCGTCAAAGGTGGCGTGTTCACGGAAGCGACCACGCTCGTCGAGGTAGACGGCCTGGACAACGTCCTTCCTGGGGTCGCCGCCGCCGTGCGACACGGCGAGGACGCGAGGGATGCGATCCTCCTCCTCGATCTTGGGGTTGGCGTTCCTAGCAGCCATGCTCCTGGACATGAAGGGCCCTTCCTGGAGACGCTTGGCCATGAGGAAGTCGCAGTGTCGCAAGAGCGTCTCGCGCGACTCCTCGCGGAGCCATTCCTTGAGCCAGAGTCGACCGTTTGGCACGAGGTGCGACTTGAGTGCCTCCTGGATGACCTCGCGGCGCTGCGTGTTCCATGCCTGGCTCACCTCGCCGATGCCCTCGCTGGCGTAGTTGGTGTAGAGGCGATTCTCGAAGCGCGAGAGGACGACGTCCTTGAGGCCGATGTCGAGCTTGATGAGCAGCTCGTCCTCGGCTTGGAGCATCTGGAGATACTGTGCGGGTTGCTGTGGGACGAGGCGTGCGGGCTTGTTGAGGATAAATTTGAAGTTGGCGTACGGATGCTGGTCGTCGATGACGGTCATGCCGCGCTCGGTAGGCTCGATGTTGATCTCGGCGGCGTCCTTGAAGAGCTGGCGGATCTCGCGCTTGAGGATGGGATCCTTGCCGATCTCCTGGCTGAGCATCATCTTTGCCTTTGCAAGCGCGATCTCTGGCGACTGGGCGCCCCAGGCTGCGCCGGTGAACTGCTCGGCGAACTTGAAGGGCGACTGGTCGGGATCGCGCGGCGAGTACTGACGGGACGAGCTGGAGATATTGGCGGCGAGCTCGTCGGACGAGATGCCAAACTTTTTAGCGAGTTCGGAGAGGACGGTGTTCTTGGTGCGCTCGTACTGACCGACCAGACTGGGCTTCTTGAAGCCGGGCGTGGTGCTGGTCAAGGGCTCGCCATCGATGGTGAGACCGTCCATGTCGTCGGCAGCCGAGTCGGCGGCGGTGCTGCTGGCAAGGCCTTGGGCATCGCGCATCTTCTGGCCGTAGCGGAGCGTGAGCCACTCGGTGATGTCCGAGATCTCCTCGAGGCTGGAAGCTTGGGCGAGCATGTCCTCGAAGACGGCGCGCTGGTTGCGCGAGACCTGGGCACCGGCGCCCTCCTGCTTGGGCTCACCTTCTGCGGCAACGCCATCGTCGCCGGCCTCGGCCTTGACGTCGATGTGGATCTTGTTGAAGGTGGCGCGGAGCTGGTCCTTGCGGATGAGGATGGTCTTGAACTTGAGGCCGAGTGCGCTGAGGGTGTAGAGCTCTCTGCGGTTGAGCAGGATGGTCCTTTGGAAGTCGCGGAGGTTTTCGTCGTACCAGAGATGTTCGAGGTCGTCGACGCGGTGCTGGAAGAGGAAGGGGACTTCGAGGAGGTCGTTGAGCATGTAGGAGAGCATGAGCTGTACGGCGTTGAGGAACTCGGAGCGGAAGCGGAAGTAGAGGCCGGCGTCGTCGAGGAATTCGGCCATAGACTTTGCCGAGATGCGGGTGGAGGCCCACTTTGCGGCTTCGAAGAGCTCTGGATCTGTGAGCTTGCGTTCGAGCAGCTTGAGGCCCTCTTCGCCGGGGCATGCGAGCTGGAGACGTTCTGGGATGTCGATGCGCTTGATGCGCTCGTCCTCCTCGGTGAGCATGCGCTCTGCGATCTGTGCGGGCTCAAAGATGTCCTTGTATTCCATCTTGTTCTTGTTCTCGGCGTCGAAGGCGTCCTCGTCGTCGTCTTCGAGCGCCCAGTAGTAGTCCTCGCCGTTGCCAAAGATCTCGTGGATCTCGTCCCAGGCCTCGCGGTCGATGCCAGCCTTGGCAGGGTCGGCGGCGGAGCCGGACATGCGCGCCTTGCGCTTCTCCTCGCGGCGTTGCTGGCGCCTCGCCTCTCGCTCGTCCTCGTCGAGGCCCTGCATCTCGTCGTCGTCTTCGTCCTCTTCGATAAAGTCGTCGAGGCCGTCGTCCTCGTAGCCTGCGCCGGTGTCGCGGTGCTTGCGGGCGACGCCTGCGCGGAGAGCGTTGCCGACGGAGGGGAGATCGTCGTCGTCATCGTCGTAGTTTGCGCCTCTGCGGCCTGAGCGGATGTCGTCGTCTTCGTCGTCGTCGTCGTCGTCGTCCTCGAAGATCTGGTCGAGCGTCTTTTGCCTGGCAGCGGCTTCGTCGTCGGCGGGCGGGGAGGCGGAGCCGCGACGGAAGCGCTTGAGACGGCCTGCGGACTTGCGACCTGCTTGGCCTGTGTTTTCAGCGAGGAGTTCGAGATCGTCCTCGTCGACCTCAAAGTCCTCCTCGTTCTGCTTTCTCTTCTTCTTCCTGCGCCTTCTGCGTTCGCGTCGGGCCTCGTCGTCTTCGTCGTCCTCCTCGTCGTCCTCGGCGATGAAACCGTCTGCGACGCGACGAGCCTCTTCTGGGTCGTCTTCTTCGTCTTCGTCGCTGCTGTCTTCGCCGCCGGAGCCGACGAGGTTGCCGTCGGATCTCATGAGGTCCACGCCTTCGCCTTCGTCGGACGCAGCGCCCTCCTCGTCATCCTGAAAGTAAGGGGCGGGCACCTTGTCGTTGTCCGCCATTGTGAGTGAAAACAGCAAGCTGCGATGCAGCGAGCGGTCGCTAGGAGGAGGGAGTCAATGGGAGTTCGGGGTCTGGAGGGCGAAGGAGTGTGATAATTGGGTTGCCGGTGAAAAGGGGGTACAGGGCCGTACGGGGCTGGCAGCCTTGAGCTGCGGTAGCTACGTGCTGCGCTGTATCAAGCCCCGGGATGGCTGTCTGTGTGTGTTTGTGTGTGTGTTGCGGGTGAGGTAGCGAGGATGGTGGTGGAAAGTAGGAGACGTGGTTGAGGGGGAGCAGCTGCTGCTTCTGCGCATGGCCGAGCGAACGAGGCTTGAGCAACAGTCACGATGCCTCTCGATCAGATCAGCCCGACTCTTGTCCCCAGCGCGCCGCGCCTGTCCTTTTTTTCCGACTTGCTGAAATCGGAATGTCGATCTCACATCGTTTAAGGGCGCAAAATGGCCGGCGTCGACTGCCCTTTGTGTGCGGTGAAGCGGCGGTGAAGCAGCTTGAATTGGTGCGCAGACCAGTTTGTATTCAAAGAGCAACAACGCGTGCAATTGGAGCAGCTGCTGCTCGAATACAGCCAGCGCGGCTCGAGAAGAAATCGTGAAATGGGAATTTTTTTCGCCTTTCGTTGGTTGGACTCAGCTGAGCTGGCTGGGCTGGCTGGCTGGCTGTGAGCGGCTGAGCAAGAAGATTGATTGATTGCAGGTCGCGCTGTCGTGAAGGTGAGAGGCGCTCGCTCTGTTACTTGCGGCTGGAGAGGCGAGCCCTACAAGGCGCACGGCACAGACAGCTAAAGAGCGCGGCTGCCACTGCTGCCTACCGCAGCGGTGCAAGAAGGCGAGAGAGAGGATAGCTTGCTCGTCACCATCGTCTTGTCAACCTACACCTTTTGTCAACCGCTTCAGACTTCCGACCCTCTCGCCCTCACAGAGCTGTTCTGGTCTGCAGAGAACATCCGTCGCTCATCTCAGTGCCTGCGCCGCCTTCTCAAGCTTTTCACCCGCCTCATCTAGAGCGTCTTGCATCATTGCCAGCATCGCCAGCATCACCGATACCAACATCACACGCGCATCAGCATCCATAGCATCACAGCCACCATGTCGCTCGCTCCCGCTTCGTCGTCGTCGGCGCTCCACATCGACTTCCCCGCCTCGGCAGGCTCGGGCGTGATGCACTCGCGCTCCGTCACCGGCGTCCAGGTGCACCCCGTGGCGCTCTTCTCCATCCTCGACCACTACCTGCGCCGCAACGACGGCCAGCACCGCGTGATTGGCACGCTGCTCGGCACACGCACCGAGTCCGAGATCGAGATCAAGAACTGCTTTGCGGTGCCGCATCTGGAGGACGAGGAGGAGGGCCAGGTGCAGGTCGACATGGAGTACCACCGCAACATGTTTGAGCTGTGCCAAAAGGTGCGTCCGGACGAGGTGATCGTCGGCTGGTACGCCACCTCGCCCGAGCTCAACACGTACAGCGCGCTCATCCAGGACTTCTACTCGCGCGAGACCGCGCCGCACCAGGCGGTCCACCTCACCATGGACACCTCCGTCGACGCCTCCAAAGCCGACGGCCTCGGCATCAAGTCGTACATCTCGTCGCCGCTCGGCGCCGCCCCCAAGCCCGAGAACTGCGTCTTCCTCCCGCTCCCCACCACCCTGCTCCACTCGACACCAGAGCACTCGGCGCTCTCGCTCCTCGCCTCGCACAACGTCGCCTCGCCCCTCACCGACCTCGATGCGCTCGCCGTCAGCCTCAACCAGGTGCAGGCGCAGCTCGACCGCGTGCTCACCTACGTCCGCGCCGTCATTGCCGGCGAAAAGGAGGGCGACAAGGCCGTCGGCCGCTTCCTCAACGACACCATCAGCGTCGTGCCCGCCGGCATGGACGACAACAAGCTCGAGACGCTCTTCAACGCCCACCTCCAAGACGTCCTCATGGTCTCCTACCTCGCCAACGTCGTCCGTGCCCAGGCCGAGGTGTCGTCGCGCCTCACCCTGCTCACCTAGACGCTGCATCTTCCCCTGATCGAGTGCATCCGCTCAGCACCAACTGCACCACCCCAAAATGTTCATTGCCCTCCATCTTGTACATGTAGCCAGGCTGCGATATCCAAACCTTTACCTCGACACCCTTGATTGACCGTGTGAGCCGGACGTTGCTTGCAAGCCAAAAGCGGCTGGAGGCGAATTCGATCGGACGATTTGCCATCATGGATCGGCCGATGGGATGGATTCGCGTGGCCTTTTCACGCCCTCCCCCTGCATGTGCAGCTGGAAATTCGAGTGACGACACACGAAGCCGCGCTTCACGCCAGAGCCGCCCAGCGCCAGAGCCACGCTCTCTGTCTCCCTCTCTCCCTCTCTCTTTGCCCCTCGCTCGGCTTCTCCGCAAACGTGAATGCGCTCACGGGCCTCAAACACAAATCTGTCAAACCGCGGCGTCCTTCTCAAGAAGTGCTTCGCCACCATCCACCATCCTCCTCCCTCCCAGTCTTGACTCTCTCGCCATGTCGTCCGCCAACAGCCTGCCCCAGCTTTGGGATGGCTTTCGCATGACCATCTCGCCCCAGGCGTACACGTTTGAGCCTACCTCGTCGTCCGACGCCGCTCGCTCCGAAGCGCTCGTGATCGACCGCAACGACTCGTCCGTGCGCCTCACCAAGCAGGGCTCCACTTCCAACCGCGGCGATGCCAAGTCGATGGCAGTGCACGGCCTGGTGGGCATCATCAAGCTGCACACGTCCGAGTTCCTGGTGGTGATCACCTCCAAGAAGAAGGTCGCCGAGATCGCAGGCGCCGACGTGTTCATGGCCACCGAGTTCCGCGTGCTCCCGCTCGAGAAGCAGGCCAATCCGTCGCTGCTCAAGCATCCCGTCGAAAAGACGCTGCTCGGTCTGCTCAAGTCGCACCTCTACAGCGCTCCGTTTTATTTCAGCTATGGATACGATCTCACGAGCAGCATGCAGCGCCAGGCGTCCATCTCGAACAAGACGGCGCCGCTGTGGCAGCGCACTGACGACCGCTTCTTCTGGAACCGCTTCCTGATGCAGCGCTTCGTAGAGGCGACACAGGCGGGCCACGACGTGTCGCGCTTCATGCTGCCGTGCGTGTTTGGCTTCCTCGAGGTGAAGCAGGTGACGATCAACAACCACGCGTTTGTGCTCGGGCTGATTGCGCGTCGCTCGCGCCACCGCGTGGGCACGCGCTACTTTTCGCGCGGCATCGACCTGGACGGCAACGTGAGCAACTTCAACGAGACCGAGCAGTTTGTCATCACCAACCCCCAGGGCGGCCCTGACATGGTCAAGGCGGACGGCTCGATTCGCAAGAGCTACGTGCAGACGCGCGGCTCCGTACCCGTCTTCTGGGCCGAGGTGAACAACCTGCGCTACAAGCCCGATCTGCAGATCATGGAAAAGCCCGAGACGGCCGAAGCTACGCGCCGCCACTTTGACGACCAAGTGCAGCGCTACGGCGACAACTACCTCGTCAACCTCGTCAATCAGAAGGGCTACGAGAAGCCCGTCAAGGAGGCGTACGAGCGCGCCGTCGAGAAGCTCGCCAACGCACACGTGCACTATACCTACTACGACTTCCACCACGAGTGCAAGGGGATGAAGTTCGAGCGTGTCATGGACCTCATCGAGCGGCTGCAGTCCAAGGGGCTCAAGAGCACCGACTACTTTGCCTCCGAGGCGGGCAAGGTGGTGAGCGAGCAGCGCTCCGTGGTGCGTACCAACTGTATGGACTGTTTGGACCGCACCAACGTTGTGCAGGGTACGCTGGCACGGTGGATGCTCAACGAGCAGCTTTCGGCCATCGGCATCTTGGGAGCGGGCGATCAGGTGGAGAAGCACGCCGAGTTTATGCACGTCTACCGCAACGTGTGGGCGGACCATGCGGATGTGATCAGCAAGGCCTATTCGGGAACAGGGGCTCTCAAGACCGACTTTACACGCACGGGGAAGCGGTCCAAGGAAGGAGCGCTGCAGGATGGCGTCAACTCGGTCACGCGCTACATCAAGAACAACTACTTTGACGGTGCACGTCAGGATGCCTACGACCTCTTCACGGGTGCATGGGAGCCCTCCAAGGGTCTACCGCACCCGGACCAGCGTGCACTGCTCGTACGCGCCATGCCATGGATCCTCCTCTTCGCCCTCGCCATGCTTTTCGCCAGCATCGTTCTGCCGCGCCATGCCGTTGCTACCGTTGCGGGAGCTACCGGTGCCGACGTCAAGAACACGTCGAGCGTGTGGTTCTTTACGCTTTGGCTCGTGGTGGCGGTGGGCAGCGCCCAGTTCATGGTCTCGCGCGGACTCGACTACGTCGCCTGGCCCACACTCAACCGACCGGACGAGACCATCTTTTACGACGGCCCGGGCTTCAAGTCGGGCGCCAAGGGTCGTACTGGCGTGGTGAACCCTCTGAGCAAGGCGAATGGAGGGGTCAAGGCGAGAGCTGCACCGACGAATGCAGGTCGACGTGGCCAGGCGTACTCGATCGACTCGTAGCCGCCTTCCACTGTGATAGACAAAGTGCTTTACGAATGCCGAATGGTTTGATTAGATGTGCAGGCATGTGCGTGTGCGTGTGTGTGTGTGTGTG